TAATTAAGAATTCTAATAAATATAGTTCTAATTCAGCTAAATGATAGTATTAAAATAACAACTTAAAATCTTGTTGAAATAATGTTTTATAATTTCATCATCCATTTAACAAATTGGCTTAAAATACGACCAATTAAATCGCTACTTTAATAAAATTTCTTGAGATTTTCATAAATTTGGAATCATCTTTTGGCAGCTTTCAAATTATATCGCCAATCCTGAAATTTATTACAAAGGGATTAAAAATGCTTTTTTAATTATATACAGATCAATCAAGATATAATTTATGTAATTCGAACTATGTATATATGATTGCTTTTTGTAAAATTATCTACTTATTTTTTAAAATTTGTAATAAATAGTATAATTATTTTTCACATTTCCGTTTTAAAGAATTGACATACATTCTTTCGCAATTTACTTGACTTAATGGAATTTAATAATTAAAAATGTATGCTTTCAAATGGCTAAATAATTTTATTGCTTTCAACATTATGATAATCTAAATACCAAACTATCTTGTTAAAATATAAATTTCTTTTAAGATAATATTTCTAAAATATGTATAAATAGTACATTTTTTTTGTAAAGAATATTTCATTAATATTAATTTATAGTAATTACAATAATCTTAAATAAGGTGTGACTTTTCCTTGAAAAATAATTTATATTTTTCTCCAAAAATCTTAATTCAGTCTTCCAAAATTTCTATTTGTACTGTCTTGAATTAATTTAACTTTCTTATTTAGTCCTTAGTTTTGCTTATTAAAGACTTAATGGTTGAGCATTTTTATTCGAATATGTATGTAAGGAATTTTACAATTTCTCATGTCTTATTAATGAATGACTACAACAAGTTTTTATCTAAAAATTGTTAGTATAGCTTCATTACTATCTATTTTAGTTTGATAAAGACTTCAGCTAAAATTTTAGACTTTATTTACAAGGTTTTTATGGGAATTTAGAGTTTTTAAATTATAATGTTATTTGATTTTCCCTCATAATTAAAATTAGTCAGACGCTGGGTAATATTGCTATTAAAAGGTAAGATTTGTTAAAGAAAAACTGAGGATATTAGTTTTATCGATTTGTGTAAGGTAAGATTGTCAAAGGATAAGCCTAAATATATGTAATTTGAAATATATTTAATATAATAGAGATTAAAAACTTTGTATTAGAATTTTTAGATATTAAAAGTTGACTGATTTTTGTTATCTAATCTAATTATTAGCTATGTATCCTGATCATCAATATATATAAACTATGAGATTATTGTATAACTATTGTATATTTGAATTTTCTGTTGTGGTTTTGTTTGTAATAATCAATACTTTGGTCTGTTACAATTTATTTTTTCTTTTTTATCAATTGAGACGATCTAACGGGATAGGAATATAGATAGTAGATTATTATTTTATTTATTTGAAATATATCAGTATTATAGATGATAAATACAATTGATTGATTACAGTTGACCTAGTTTATTATTAATATAAGTGATATGCTAATCAGAGTGATGTTATAAATATTTATAAAACTTAAACAGGAACATCAGTAGCTAATGGAAGAAAAAGAACTAGAGATATATATAAAAAAAAAGTGGAAGGATTTATTTGTTTAGAATATAAAGGATAATATCACGGTGTAATAATGGGAATATTGAGCATAAGTACAAAATTATGGCAAATTAAATTATAATTAACAAGTAGCTAAAAGATATTAAATAACTAATTTAATTTAAAATATCTTGAGTTTATATGAAGCAAACTTCGACTTAAAATGACAGGTTTTAGCCAACTTGATTAAGATCTGGTTGCTCTTTTTTGTAATTATAAGAACATGAAGAAGATAGACTATTATCTGTCATGGGAAGTAAACATAATGAGGAACTGGCAGCTGGATAAACATTATATTGAAGTAGAAATTCCACTTGATAGCTATTTTGCTGTTTGTTGAAGAGGATTAACCTCTAAAAAACACCACAAAAATAAAGTGAAAAATAGGGGTACTAAAATCTTTAAATTAAATTGAGAGATTTATTATATATTAAAACTATATTATAATCATATGTTTTTTAAATCTGTTTCTTGATATACTAAAAGAAATGGATTTACTCCATTTATATTTTTAGACCCTTCTTACTAAACATCAATTATGGTCGCATAATTCATTAAATTTGGATCTATAATATACTTTCAAGTTGTAATTTAGTTGATAAGCTAATTTATTAGACTCTATCTCAATTAAAAAAATAAACGTTTTTACTATAAATCTTAATGTAATACAAATCTCTATACTGCCTCATTAATCAAAAGTATATTTTAACTTCTGGTCTAAGTAGAGAATACATTTTTTTTGTTGAATTTAAGCAGGAAATTTTAAAATCCATTATAATTGCTTAATTCTTTCTATTTATTTCAATAAAATCAGTTTTTTAGACCATTTTTGTTTTTTTATCAGCAATCATGAATTCACATTCATCATATGAGATTCTTCAATAAGATATTGTTAATCTTGTCACCACTTATGATAGAATAAGATAAAATTTTTAGTTTTTAGCTTCAATCTTGACTCAACAAAAATTAATTATTTTTTTGAATAAGATATACTTAAAGGTATTAATTCTTTTGCATCCTTTTTGAATCTTTACAAATCAGTTTAAGTATCAGAGGAATACTTTTCTTTGTATTTTGTAATGACTTTGTGAAAATTTTTTTCAAATATTTTTATTTTCCTTCTGAATTTTTAAAGAGAATTTATTGAGCATACAAATTATAGAGAGAAATAATATAAAATTTCTCTTTCAGCAACTGAATTTGATTTTGGAAGATTTTAAATTATATTGAACTTGATATTTAATATAAGTGTTATTGGTTGCAAAACAAAATTGAGATAAAACTTGATCCAAAATATCTTTTATAAACAATTTGTAATTAAGAAAAAGGTAATTGTCTTGCCTGATAATAGAACTTTTTTCATTATTTAAATTATATTAAACCCTTTCATTAATTTTTAATCCTGATTTTCTCAATTTTCTCAATTATTTTTAATACGAGATGCAAATTGTATGGAATATTGTTTTTTTTCAAATCAAAATGTTAATATTAAAGCATACTTTACCCATATATCATTTAAAATAGAATCAGGATGATAATATATTTGTCTGCATGATTTGATTGAATAATCATGGCAGTTTCATGATGAGATTAGACTAAAAGTACTTAGAAATAATTACTTATCTTTCAATTGATGAAGGATTAAAACTTTTTTGATGAATATTTATGATAGAAAAGTAACTAAAATAGTAATAATATTGCTATCATAATAATAATTAATTATTTGTATATATTTAATTTTTAATTACAATTTATTAACCTAATTATTAATATTAGATGGATCCAATATAACATAAAATCGTTGATATCTTATTTGAAGAAATAGATTCTACTTAAACTCATGCTAGATTAGAATATGAAAATAAATATAAAGGTTAGATCACTGTTCTAAGAGCGCTTCATTAAACTGCAATCAAAAAGGAACATTTTAACTACCATAATCTTTCCTTATTTTACAAAAGTATAGTATTTAAAGAATATTACTCCTGTTATTGGATATACAATAGTATAAATCTACAAAGAACTCTACAATGTGGATGCTGAATTGAAATGGGTCAATGACATAGAGTTGAACTCAAAAAAATCAGGTGGAATTCTCACAGAATCAGAATAAATAGGAGATGAACTCGTATTATATATAGGAATTGGACTTAATGTTGATTGGTGTATCTAAGATGCCGCATGTCTTGAATAAGTATTAGGTAAGAAAATAGACCAAGAAGAATTATTTTTGAAGGTGAGAGAAAGGGTTATTTAAACATTATATCAATTAAATGAATAAGGTTTTGAGATATTTAGAAATGGAATCAATTAAGTTCTATATAGGAAAGGTTAACTATGTGAATTTGTTAATTCTAAAACTTTAGAAATAGAATAGACTGGAATAGTGGAAGAGTTGAATAAAGATGGAGATTTAGTTATTAGGGGTTAAGATGGATTAACCAGAATTATAGAACCTAATTAGAGAATGAAATTATGATAAATCATATAAAAATAAATAAGTATTTTTTAATAATTAAGAATTATAATAATCACTATAATTAATACATATAAATGCTAACATTAAGATATAATTTATTAATGTGGTGCATATAATTATTTGGAATAATTTTTCTTAAAAAATAAAGAATAACTGAGATTTATTCTATTAAAGTATTATCCTTCTATAAAATCCTAACTTATGGTAATGTATTTTGTAATCCTGACGAGATTCATATTTATGCAAGTTTTAAGCAAATTTATTATTTAAGATGATATTAAAGAATTAATACATAATCAGCAAAAAATTTTTTAAAAGGAGGTGTTTATGATTAACTACCTGACTTTAAGGCATTAATTTTTATTTTTAAAATTGAATTATTAACCTTGGTTATGGTAATATATATTTCTACGTTTGACATTTAAAAACTTAACCATTTCTTATCAAGTATGAGGAGTTCTAATGTTCGCTTTTGGAATGTATTAATTAAGAAAATACACACAGATGCCAGAAATTTTGAATGATCAACTAGTTTTATACTTTGATAAAATGGAAGAATAATTAATTTATTTAATGATAATATCTTAAAATTAAGATGTCAATTTAATGAGGAGCCTCACAACAATTTTTTCCTTATGAATGCTAGTTTGGTTAAATTTATGGATCATTATTTTAGAAGTGATAAATAAATATTATTTACAAAGAAATTTTTTGATGAAGTTAAAATTTTAGAATCATTTATAATTATGAGTTTAATTTGGTTTATCTATTAACAAGTATAATATAGAATCTAGCATCGTATTTAATAATTGGTATTGCCAATTAATATTGTAATTGATGATTATTAGTAGAGTTATCAATAAATCTAAAAAATGATTAATAAACTAAATTAATTTCTCAATTCTTTAACAAATATATCCTCTCTACATCTCAATTTCAATTTTATTTTAATAAATGAGATTTTGGATTCATTATTTAAACTTCTGACCTAAAACTAACTTAACTTAGAGAATTGGCTTAAAGAAAATAAATATTTTAAAATAAAATATTCATAAAAGTTTAAAATTACTTTAATTGTAATTAAGANCATATAAATGCTAACATTAAGATATAATTTATTAATGTGGTGCATATAATTATTTGGAATAATTTTTCTTAAAAAATAAAGAATAACTGAGATTTATTCTATTAAAGTATTATCCTTCTATAAAATCCTAACTTATGGTAATGTATTTTGTAATCCTGACGAGATTCATATTTATGCAAGTTTTAAGCAAATTTATTATTTAAGATGATATTAAAGAATTAATACATAATCAGCAAAAAATTTTTTAAAAGGAGGTGTTTATGATTAACTACCTGACTTTAAGGCATTAATTTTTATTTTTAAAATTGAATTATTAACCTTGGTTATGGTAATATATATTTCTACGTTTGACATTTAAAAACTTAACCATTTCTTATCAAGTATGAGGAGTTCTAATGTTCGCTTTTGGAATGTATTAATTAAGAAAATACACACAGATGCCAGAAATTTTGAATGATCAACTAGTTTTATACTTTGATAAAATGGAAGAATAATTAATTTATTTAATGATAATATCTTAAAATTAAGATGTCAATTTAATGAGGAGCCTCACAACAATTTTTTCCTTATGAATGCTAGTTTGGTTAAATTTATGGATCATTATTTTAGAAGTGATAAATAAATATTATTTACAAAGAAATTTTTTGATGAAGTTAAAATTTTAGAATCATTTATAATTATGAGTTTAATTTGGTTTATCTATTAACAAGTATAATATAGAATCTAGCATCGTATTTAATAATTGGTATTGCCAATTAATATTGTAATTGATGATTATTAGTAGAGTTATCAATAAATCTAAAAAATGATTAATAAACTAAATTAATTTCTCAATTCTTTAACAAATATATCCTCTCTACATCTCAATTTCAATTTTATTTTAATAAATGAGATTTTGGATTCATTATTTAAACTTCTGACCTAAAACTAACTTAACTTAGAGAATTGGCTTAAAGAAAATAAATATTTTAAAATAAAATATTCATAAAAGTTTAAAATTACTTTAATTGTAATTAAGATTTAAAGATTTGGGAGAATAAAAGCATAATTAGTTGATTTAATAATTTAATAAAAAAAATATATTTATAAGAATGAGAACTTTGACAGTAACCAATTAAATAGAATGTATTATCGATAGAATTTGATAAAATCCCAAACTCATTTGATTCAAATTTTATAATTATTCAATTTTCAAAGGTTTGTTACATTTTTTATGCAAGGTTTTTATCCTTTTATTAATTGTTCTGTCTTTTAAATAAAAAAAATTCATTAAGAGATATTATATTTTGTAATTTAAAACTTAATATTCAGCTTTTTTTCTCATTTCCAAAGTATCATTAATTTAAAACAGATTATTCATATATTGGCATTTTATATCAATAATTATTGTTAAAGCACTAATAATATATGTCTTATTAAAATAATTTCCTGCTTTGAAGAATAATATTTAACATATAAAATAAATTAATTTTTAATTTTACTTATTATTATTAATAATTAATTTAAAATATCAATTATTTCTTTAAACTCATTTATATCAGATCATTATTTATCCTAAAAAATGAAACTTGCAAGTTTCAAAATTCCTTCAACTTTCCTCAAATTCTCGAAGTAATGATGTATGAAATTAATGAGAATCTATTTTATATTTTTTTCTCAGTATATATAATAAATGAATAATTTTATTATTGTAATTTTCTTTATTTTTTCAATAAATAAATGAAAAAATTATATTTACAATTAGAAGGTTCAACTGACAAGTTAAAAGCGTTGCGATTGTTAGAAGTTAAAAATGCATTCTTCTTAAATGTAATAAATCAAAAATATTTTTTAAACCTTTATATAAAGTATTAACAAAATTCTTTTGGCTTTGTGATTTGAATTATTAAAAATTATATTTATTAAAATTCAGTCTTATGAACATTATTATTTCAAGAAAATTCATAAATATATTTTTTTTAAATTTAGTAATGATATCAATCATAATTCTGTCCTTTTATATGAAAAGTGCATATACTGATTACATTTATGTATTGAATCCAGAGGAGCCATTTTTGCTTGAAGAATTTTCAATTTTGGAAGAAAAAAACGAAGAAGGTATTGTATACAGATGGAGCGCATGGTTTTAATACCTTCCCTTAAGTTCATCAACAAAGGCTCAATCGATTGGAATACTTGATAGCAATTGCTATCATTTATTTAGTTCTGTGGATCAGAAATCCAAAAGTTTAAACTTTTTGCATTACGATTGCTAAAATCCTATAGAAATGAAAATTCAAAAAATAATTAAATTTATTGGAAATGATGGTTTGCAATATAGTTTTGAAATGAACATAAATAATTTTGAATATGAAAATTAATGGTATTATTTTGATTTCATCTATTTTCTATACAATAAGAAATTTTAGATAATATTTATAAAAAATGAATAAATAATACAGGATAAAATTTTGAATATTTTACCCTTTGAAGATATAAATTTACTCTAAAAAATTGGAGGTGATTTGATAGTTGAAGATTCAAAAATAATCAATATTAGAAAAGGTGATAAATTTGCTTCATTTCCTGGTAAAATAATGCCAACTTATAATGATAACAATATTAAAAATTTTGCCTTAGCTGCAATTACTTTATCAAGATCTCGGAAAGCGTGTAAATGTTAAAGCAACCCAGTAAAAACATTAATGGATTCAGATTTCTATGAGTTAAAAACATTAATTTATACTTCGAAATTTTCTAATTGTAATTCTTTTATTTTTTCTGGATGGTTTAAGATTAATGAAATAATAAAAATAGATTAGGAAATGACTTTTTAATTTATTAAGTTGAGTTCAAATATGTAAAATAATTAGCTATAAAATTAAAACCTATCTCCATTATAATTATTTTATAAGCTTTCCTAAGATATTAATAAAGTAGTTATAACCACCTACAGCTATACATTTCCTTCAGTTACATAAGATTTTACTAATGACCCTTTTCTAATCATCAAAGAATTTAACATTAATAATAATATATCTTTATGGCATCTTTTATATGTAAGATTAATCGAAGATAATTTAAATATTATATTAAAATTTTATGAAAAATAACAAGTTTATGAATATAATACATAACTTGTTGTGAAGTAATTTCATTAAATATATTATAAGTTGTTTTTAGGTAATTTTTAATAATAATAAACAAATTATCTTAATATGATAGGCAGAAATCTTTAATTTCTTAACTGCAACTAAAATTTTTAATAAAAAAATTGTCATATTAGTTGTGGAGATTGTGATGGTCCTACTTATTAAGATTGTTTATCATGTTCAGAGGAATCTCATAGAATATATTGTATTAAAATTCATTCAAACTAATAACAATTCTATTTTATAAAACTTATGACATATATTTAAGATCACATTACATTAAAATGTTTCAATTTTATGGTTTTCTCTGTAAATTTTAAACATTCATAATCTGCCTTACTCTTATTTAATTTTAAGCATCAACTTCTTTAATTTATAATATTTTGCTCAGTAATAAGCGATCTGGTTAAGTTAACTATAATATTATTTATGGATAATTTATTTTTAAGTATTATAAAATGTTTTAAACAATCTAGGTTTATTATGTTTGTGACATTATGCGAATGGATTCAAGATCCATGCTGTTTGGTTTTTCAATTTAATTTTCTTTTTTGTAGTTTGACATCTCTTTCAAATGTATTTCTAATTAATTGTCCTAATACTCTAAATCAAAATTTGGAATTGATTTTTCAATCTAAATAATTGTTTGAGTTTTACCTGTTATGTAAAATTTGGGTTTCCAATTGTTTAATGGAAAGAAATTTTCTCTAAATAAGCTGCATATTTATTTAGGAAATTATTAAATAATTATTCTATTATTTATTGCCTATGTTATTCTTCATAAAGGAGATGAGAGTTTAAAATTAAGAAGTGAATAATGATAAAATAAAACTTATAATTATAGACAGTTAAGGCTCTTCCAAATGTCAAGTTCAAATAACTGCTGGTATTGATAATGATTTATCGTAAATGGGCATTTAGCAATTTAGAATTATCCATAATAACTGGCATAAAAATAGAAATATATGTTTTTGGTAATATTTCTTTCTATTACAATTAAATTGAAAGAATTTTGTAAAACTATTCGGTTAACAATAAATAACATTCATCTAAATTGTAATTTTGATAAAATAGTTGAATCAATATCGAAATTCTGATATTATCTTCTATTGAATTATTTTTTTAAAGTTCTGAATAAATAAATTTTAACATCTAATATTTATGGCTAATTATTTACAGTTGATATCCACTAAGGTTTAGATTTAATCACTTCAGTAGCATAAATTGTGCTTTGCAAAAATAACTTGAACACACTTTCAACAGTTAATTTTTCTTCTTATTCTAGAATAGCAGGCAAACTGTCAAATATAATATAAATGATTTCAGTCAAGCCCTTTGTATATGAAATGAATTTTGAACAAGCGTCAAAAATTTCATCTAAAAATTATAAATTTTCTGGTTGTAATAAATTATTTAAAATTGAAATTAAGGTTGGTTCTATTTAAGCCTAAAATCTAAAAAAAAAATACTGTATATTTTAAAGTATAGGCTTGGGACAAAATTGTGTCAATAATCTTGATACAACTAAATACGATAGAAGTGTGGTTAATGTATTAAGTCTAATTCAATTTGATTTTTTTACAACCAATATCAATTCTTTTTGCAATAGATTTCATTATATCATCAAGATATGTATCTACAATTAAATTGCAATTTTAGATCACAATCTATGCAAATTCATAATAAATATCAAGATCTGAAAGTTCTAATTAGTCACAAAATTAAGAATGTTAGAATGCAACAGAATCTTCCATCTTATTTAAAACATCCTAGTTCTAAATAAGATCAACAAGGCATTTAACGGCAAATAACTTAACACTTTTTTTTTATTTCGTTTAGTTTAAAATACCAAAGCAGAATTTTATACATTTTTAAAAGGATCTATCAGAATTTGAAAATATTTATGGCAAAACAATTTTAATAAATTCCATTCCTAAACATTTGCCTAATGCATCAGCCTTTCTTTTCATGAACTTTAAGTTTTACTTTAAAAAGTATTCTATACTTTATCTAATATCTTTTCTTGATGTAAGTTATTTATTTAGGATGCAAAATGATAACAAAATTGCATTATATCTTAACTCGGGGGAACATTAAAAAAAGTTGCATTTAATTATTTCCTATTGCAATTTATTACATAAAGTAGTTTCTTGAATTGTTTCGAAATGAAACAACAACAATTCAGAAGATAACTCATAGTAAGTTTTAATAAATCCATCAATATTTTTTGAAAGCTTATCCAAGATTTGTGCCATTAGGCTTTTAATTGAATCATTCTAAATAAATTAAGTATATTTACATCAAATTTAATAATGGCTTATATATTTTCATAAAAATCTGAAGTGTTTTCATAAAAATTAGCATTTTCTTCTTCATCAAATAGCAGATTGTCAAAAATAACATTAAATAATAATTATTGCTGATTATTTTAGAAAAAATCATACGAAAAAGAGTAACTTAAACATTCATTAACAAATTGTAAGACTGATAAAGATGTTAAATGATCAAATTTTTTTTCTAAAAATGATTATATTAGTAGTGGTAATATTTAATTCGTTAATTAAGCTAAGTAAGGAATTGAAAGTGATTCAAATTTCAGTTATGATTGGACTTATGATTGATTTTTGATTAATATGCATAATGACTTAACTAAGTTTGATGTAATGAGATGGTCTAATAACAAATACTTCTGAATGAATTTTAGTAAATATTAATCTTAGGATAATATTAATAATTTTTCTTATTAATAATAATTGTATTTTTGAATGCATACCACAATTATGCTGCTTATCGTTTTACCAACATGAATATCAGTATTTGCATAATCAAGATATTAGAATTATTGAAATATTTGTTCAATAATAATTTAAAGTTATTGATCTAAAGTTCTGATATTAAATAAAAATCTTAGTAGTTGATCCAAGATAAACAATATAGGAAGGATAGAATTGGACATTTATTAATGAGTGCTAGCCAATGATTGTTACATTTATTACAATAGAAAATCAAACAATTCATTTTTTTCTTAAAATGCTTCAAAAACAATTCCAATAAGATGAGTTATTAGTTTATTATAAGATTTGAAATATTTAATTCCAAGATGAATGGACAATGAAAATATAATTTATTAATCCTATTCTGATGTAATTTAGGAAAGTTTCTTTAATTGTTAAGTGGCAAAGATGACAAGTTATTTGAACTTTAAAGGATTGTATTTTTGGAGATTCATTTGCATAATTGAATCAAAATGATAAATTGTTCTGATGATCATTATTAACTTAAGTGTAAAATTGTTTTCCATATATAAATCTACAGATTATTAATTTTCTTAATTAGAATACACTTTGGCAATGTAATCCAATAATTAATCTAATTCAACAATGGACAATCCCTCAGCAATTGGTTGGGTAAATAATTAGAGTAAATAACTTTAATTCATGAATATAATATAATTAAAATAATATGCTCATAATTAGTTCAAATTGTTAAAGTAAAAATATATAAAATAAAATAATTAGAATCTCTAATAAAAGTTAAAGGTATTCTAGATTGATTTTGCGTTTGGGTCGAGATAAAAAGAATACTAATAATGATTTTTTTTATTGTTGATTATATCAATGGGAACACCATTTAGGTTATCCATTAGCATCTTAGATAACTAATCTGCCATCATCCTACAAAATCAATACAAATGGAGGAGCAAACATACCAAAACTTTAACCAGAAACCCAATAAGGTACACCTTTGGCATCGATCATTTATAATTCACCTGAAGGATCGAATTTCAACCAAACAGGTGGAATTGGCTGTCTATTGAAATTAACAGCCTATTATAATTATTAAAGAATACCGAAAAGATTGGTTATCTTGTTTAATTATGGAAAATGAATAATCTGCCATCATGGAAGAAAGATAATGTGAACTATTAATTTGGACTTGTTAGCATAAAACCTGAAGTCATAGTTTTACCTGCTTAAACAATATTCTAATCATCATCTAGCCATCTCAATCTGTTTCCATGAGCCCAGACACCCTTCTTCTTACCTCCATTCACAAAAGTCCATTCACTAGATAATTAAAATTTATTACCCATTTCCATGCATATTGTTATCAACCCATTATCCATCATATTGCTATCTGTTATTCCAAACTTACTTTCCTTATCCATTTTTCTTTCCATTTATAAATTATCCTTCATATCTTGAATCACCTACTACTAACACTCCCATTCCATTGTATTAATCATTAGCCCATTAACCTTCATAATATCCACCATAACTAAATTATAGTCTACCTTAACCATGTTTTAAATTATTCATCATATCTCCAGAATAATGGTCTCCATTTGGATATGTGAAATCTACTCTACCATTCATTGGTTATTGTCCATAACTATTTTAATATCGGACTTCATAATTTTAAACGAATTAATTCAATTATTATGGAAGTACTTATTATTATTATTATTACTATTATTATTATTATTATGGTTATTGATATTACTAAAGTTACTATTAAAAGGATTCTTTAGTAGGTGCTTCTGCTGATGATTTATCTTTTTATAAGTAATCCTATGGTTTTGATGTCTTAAATGTACATTCTATTTCTACTTCTCCAACATTTGCTCCATCATAAAATAATGTAACTGTTTACAATTAGTTTTCTTTTAGTGTTAATGAATCAGTTATAGAAGCATAACCTATTTAATAATTTGATTGGTTTACCACATCCTAAAAAATCATTCCATCCTATTAAAGATTCAGCCCAAACTTCTATATATAAGGTATCTTCATTTGTTTCTCTTGTAAATATTATTTCATCGCTCCATTTCGGCGTAGTGTGTCCAGCTGCATCAACAGAAGTGTTCATTGTCTCATTACCGAAATGAATAGTTAAGAATGGATCCATCTTTAATAATAGATTAGTATTTTTCTTTAACCTCCCAAATTTTGGTTTGACGATGAACTTTCCCTCAGTATCTGGAGCCTTGATTTCTGGTAAGTCTTTTCCATTCGGATCTAGTGTAAAAGTGGCTTCCAAATGAATTTCACCTGCTTTCTCACCATGATGAAAAAGTAGAAATGATATTCTTTTAGGTTCAGCATTTCCTTTTCTTATAGAAGTCAAAGAAAATGCTCCTTCACCAATTAAAATATCTGAAGTGAGAGTATTTTCACACCACACCTAACCTATGATTACATCTGGTTCTCCAAGCAACTTTTAAAATGTGTGTGTACACCCTTCCCATTTTCTATTAAAAAAATAATCACAAAATATATGTACGGATGCTTTCCTCCCTCTTTTGCAACTGGTGTCTTAAACTCTTATCTTCCCATAAGTAATTTAATATAAGGATCCATAACTCCTATGAATCTTACATCTCTTTCTAATAAAGCATGCTTTATTGTCAAAAAAACTGGCCCTTTGAAACCTGGCGCTCTATTTTATTCAACTACACCTCCTGCACTACTACCGCAACCCATTAAGTAAAGTAATTTATATAATCAATAAAATCAAATGATGAATTTTGTTTGAAATAGTGAAAAAAATAATAATTGTATTAAATCCAATTATTACGATTCTATTATTTCAATTTGATATTCCCTATCATTGACACTGCATTCAATCTATAAAAAGTAATGATGAGTAACACAGATAGGGTTAGATAAATTAATTTAACACAAATTAAAAATATAAATTAATATTATTATTTATTTTTATATTTATTTCATTCATTTTTATTTGTATATTATTCGTACTTTTCATATTCAAATTTTATTTCCTTTAATAATTTGTAATATTCTCTCTCTATTGCCAAAGCTTGTCTATACTATTCTAAATTGCTTTGTCTTTTGTTCTCAGATTATTACAACTTTTCTTAATAAAGTTATAATTATTTTTATAATTGCTAAAGTATATTGAATATCATACTTTGTAGGTAGAATCTAAATTTTATTATAATTCTATTTTTCCTTTTTTATCCTTTAAATTATTAGTATAGTTCTCTTTAAAAGTTCTATAAATATCCACAAATTAAGCTGCCAATTATTTCACTTCTAGCAAATTGTTATATCTTGATAATAATTTTTTATTTGATTCCATCTCTTCATTAATTGAATCATATAATTCTAAAAATCTTTAATGATATTAGGCTATTTCAGAAGGTTATGGAAAAGATTCCAACTTTCTTTCTAAAACTACAATCTCTTGATTTAAAAGTTAAAATTGTTAAAATTTCTTTTCGAATTTTTCTTTCTTTTAATTATACTATGCTTTCATTTCCTTGAATAATTCTTAATCATTTTCTTATGGCATATTCCTAATAGCTTCCTCTTTTTCTTTCTCTATTTTTTGTTATTCTTATTTAATTTCTTTTTTTAGTTCAGATTTTTATTCTTTTAATTCTATCTTTTTAGCAACCTACTCTTCTGCTCTTTTAACATCAGCTTGATTAGCTTTTTTTGTCTTTGATTCAATTACTTTTAATGCATCTACAATTTTACTAAAACGTGATTTTTCTTCATTTAATTATTCCTACAATTAATTGTTTTGTTATTCTAACTGCTCTACTTCAGCCATATCTTATTCTATTGCCTTTTCTAGATTGTTGAGATTTTATTATTGTAATTTAAATTATTATTCAAGAATTATTTTCTCTTGTAATTTTATGTTAACCGTATTTACAACTTCTTAATCTTCTTCTTAATTTTATTATTTTAATCCTTCTGCAATTTTTTCTTTAGAAATCAATTATGATAATGATTATCCAGCTATTGAATTTCTTCTTTATAATTTTTGAAATTTTCTTCCTTCTTCTTCATTCAAAGTTGCTTCAGCAGATGGACCAGCAATTTAAGACATTTCCTTTATTTATGCTTATGCTTATTATATCTTTTCTTTTTATAAATTTGTTAATTGTTCCAAAGTAACTTATTGATTTTAATTTGTTGCTTTCTTTTCTGGAATTTCATCGACAAATAAATTTTATTAAAATGCTAAAGCTGGATTCGATTAAGATTTATTACTAACAGCACTTACATTCTGCTAATTTCCTTATTTTTATTTTTAAATTCCTGAAATTAAAGCACAAAATTTGTTATAAGTTCTTTGACTTGATAAATCTCCATATTCAATTAATGTAGAATAAACACGTAAAGGGTCTTTTTTAGATAATCTTTTCAAATTTTTAGTTTATCTATTATCTTATAATAAATCTAATTATGATACAATTTCTTAGATTGCTTTTTTTTCTTCTTAATCTTATTAATATAAGGCTTAATTTGCATTTTTACCAACTAATTTACTTACTCTATAATTTTAATCTTATCTAAATTCTCTTGTTTCTAAAACAAATTTAATGAGCCATTTAATTACAGGATAAATTGCATTTAAATCTAGACCTTATATTTAATGCGGTTAAAGAGCATAAGGTGATTACATTTCAATTAAAGATTTCACAATTTATTCAGAAACCTTAATTTTTTGTCCAATATTAAAGTCATCATTATACTATATATCAATAGCAAAATTAGATTGAGTGATACACCAACTAAGTCCTCCTAAAATCTATATAATATTTGATGTAATGATACTTTATCAAATGGTTTAATTGATGGAATACGAATTCTAAAATAACCAGCTAAAAGGAGTAAGTCTAAGATTTCTTTGAGTTTAGGATTAGTTTCTGGATCTAAATTGATTACTTCTCCTTTCATTTAGATATAAAAATTATTAATATTATTGATTATATATGTAATCAAGATGAGAATTTGCCTGTTCTATTCCAATTATCAATTAGTCTAGTCTTCTCTTTCGCAATACATTCTAAGAGTTCTCTATGATATTATTAACATAAATTAGGATCTTGGGCTGATTCTTGACATGATTTCATTCTGCATCCAAGTGGTTTGCATCTTTATTCTGCTAAATGGTGCAATCTGACTCTGTCCATAGATTAAATAGTATATATTACCAATATTATAATTGAATTAATAAACACAATTAGTATATATATGATAAATTATAATATAGAGTAAAATAATATGAATTATGCAATTAATGTATGTAAAATTATCTAATAATCATGCATCTGTGTGAGTTTTTTATCTCCAAGTTTTATAATCTGGATCATACATGAAGCCTTTTTCATTAGAAAACATGTAATCTATAATTTTAAGATAGACAATGAAATATTACCAATCATTAACAAAATTCCAAACATAAGTGAAATAGTTAGCCAAGCATATCTAACAGCTTCTATGGTAACAGCTGCAAACAATAATGTGATTAAAACGATCGTGAAAATCAGCGATTAAGAGCATGAACAACACGCCATTTATTATTAATATTTATTATATATGTTTGATTTAATGATTTATATATCATTTTTTCTTACCACCCTTTTTAGGATCAACTGCTACAGCCTTTGATTTTTCCCTTCTTTCTTTTGTTCCTGTCACCTCATCAAAGAACGTCTAACATAATATTACATAAAAATACTCTCAATTTTTCATATTCTACTTAAGACTTAACATATGGTTACCTAGAAAGTCTAGCTACAAATTCATCTATAGTAATTGGTTCATCTGGAATCTTTTTGATTCTTTCTGGCGTAATTATTTTATCAATAACATTTTTAAAAGATCCAGCAGTATATCCTTCTGTTAAATGAGCCAAAGTACTCAAAGGAAAATTAGGTTCTAGTTTTACTCCTTTCTCTTCAATGAAATACTTTAATAAAGTCAATCTAGTGTCATAATTTAACATAGGGAAAAAAAATTTTTTTTCAAAGAAATTTTTCGTATCCTTCATAATCATTAATTCAGGCTAATTAGTGCAACCAATAAAAACAACTCTTGTAGTTGGTTCAATAAACTTAGCCTTTTTAAAATCTTAAAGTGGTTTTTTTAATTTAGCCCAAGGTGCTGCAGGAACTCCTTTTTTCTTTTTTGCAGACCCAAAAACTTATTCTATATTATCCATAAATATTATTGTAGGATGTAAAACCTTAGCCACATAAAAAACAGTATAAAATGTTTTTCCTATTGAAGATTTATCAGAAAACTTTTATTAAACTTCTGGAGAACTAGGAGTTATATCAAGTAACATAGCATTACACTCAGTAGCCAAAGCTCTAATTGCTAAAGTTTTACCTGATCCAGATGGTCCAAAGAATAAAAAATACGACATTTTATCTAATTTTTCTTTTAAAATAGGAGAACCTAATTACATTCCAACAAATTCAGCTAATGCTGATCTCAATTAAGGATAAGAAGGATCAGGTGTAGTTGCAAATTATTATTCTTATGTAGCTCCCAATACATTTTATCCTCCTTTCAAATCAGCTAAATTTGCAGGCATTAATTTTTTGACTATTCCATATTCTAACAATTCACTTAATAAATCAAAAACATCTCTTCCTTTTACGCCACCTGCACCTGGTACTTTAAAATTTTTTGGTTTAGGAGCTTTAGGTGGTTTAGGTTTTGGTGGTCTCTTTCTTGGTTTCTTTAATAAGAATAAATGTCTATTATCTAATTCTATTTCTATTAATTCATCAACTAAACTATTCATTTCTGTTTCAACAGATTATCTAACTAATCCTTTTGCCACATCAGTTACAAAAGTTTATTAAAAATTTGTTGAATCATCTGTAGAACCCCATGTTGTCAAATATTCTTCAACTCTTTCATTTATTTTTACCACTGTTGTCAAGTCAATTGTATCTTTCTTTTCTTCTTTCTTATCTTTTTTACCTTTTTTTCCTTTCTTTTCAGGTTTATTTTCTTTTTTAGCACCTTTCTTTCCTCCTTTTAATGCATCCAATTCTTCTTATGTTGGAGGGTATCTCTTTTTATCATCATAATAATCAATAGCTTTTGCAGGTAATTTTTCTTAAGATATTGATTTTATTACTTCCTTCTGTTTTATCTAAATACATATCAATCCAATCTATTCTTTCTTTTATTTTTTTTTCTTTAATTTCAGGTCCTTCTGTTTCTTATACTAATTTTTTTAATTCTATTTTTTTAGCTTCATAATCTTTCATATGTTATTATTGAATTAATGTCATTCTAAAAATGATATCATTTTCATTTACTTTTATCTTTATTCTTATGCTTTCATAAATTAAGAATTTTATTATTTTGGGTCTTCAGCATCTCTTTGTATTCCTAAAAATTTCATTTCTTCTTCTCTCATAAAATAAACTTATTCTCTTCCCTTATATCCTTTAAAATATTTTTAAATTATTAAAACTGCTTTTTCATTTTCTTATTCATCAGTAATCTCTTCACCTTCTGCTAATCTTTTTGTTTTATTTTCTTTTCTTAATTTATCCTTTCTTAATTATTTAAATTATAATCCTCTCTAAATTCCTTATCTTCCTCTTTCATTTCTCTAAAGTATTTCTAAAATATTTTCTTCTTTTGTATCTAAAAAATATTGTTCTTCTATAACAGTTTCTTCAGGTTAACCTAAATCCATATCTTATAAGGTTTTATCTATAATAAAGTTTCTCTCATCTAATCTTTCCTTATCTGTTTCCTTTTTAAAATATCTTGGAATTGGCACTTCTAAATAATCTGGAGTTAATTTTAAGTCTGTTATTAATTCATCTAAATTCACCATGTCAGATTGATAACTGTTCGAGTGTACATTAAATTATATTACTAACTTTTTATTCTCAATCATTCTTATTATAGCTAATTCTAATAATTCTTTCAGATTTATCTTTTTCTAAGGATGAACCATCTAATCATAACAATCTTCTAATCTAATAATAATAATTTTTTATTTAAACTTCTTATATATCCCAATGTAACGTATGTAATTTTATGCATAATGTTAAAAAAGATCTTATGAGGGTTTTTTTAAAAAGTCTGGTTCATTTTAGAAATTCTCCACTTATATTAAGTCTTGAATATCATTTATTGTCTCCTGCCACATATTATTATAGTATTATTTCGACATTTTTAAAGATTATAATAATAATAATAATGTTCTTTATAATTTTTGCCAAAAAATGAATTAATAATTCATATGAAAATATCTACCGAAATTATTTTGATATATAACATTCTTAGAATTCTTGGCTGGAGTCAAGCTATGGCATTAATAATTTACTAATCGAAATAAGGAATTGAAGATATTTCCAATATTTTAAATTTAGTCAAGGCTTTGACTATTGGAAAATGTTTTGAAATTGTTTTTATTAAACAAAAGTAAATCCTATCTTCTAATAATATTGTGAAATATTAAGTATTTCTCATTAGACTGATATTTTAATGGTATTTCATGAGACCTTAATTATGCTTTTGCTCATTTAGACACACTATAATTGGTTGGGGTTTTATGGAAATTACATAATCTTTGTATTATATTAGCTAATCACAATTTATGAAACAGATACAATAAATTTTAATATTTGTCTTTGTTCCATTTACTTTAATTGGAATGATAAGAATTACTAATCGAATTATAGAGAGAGAGTAAAAAGAGGATTATTTCAAAAGATTATTCTAAATGGTTCTAGTTATTTTTGTTGCTTTTTAACTTTACATTAACTTTCAAAAATAAATTGTTAGAATTCCTAAAATTAAATAATTATGATAATTTTATATAATATTTAGAATACAAGAATTTATATAAATAATTTAATTTAATTGTTCAATAGATCATAAAACAAAGTTTATTTTCAAAATGAAATTAAAAGCTATTATTTATTAACCAATAAATTCAAAATTAAAGAATCAAAAAAATGGCATTCCTTTATGTTCTATTTGATAAAAACACAAATTTTCTTTTGTCACATAATTAATGCTTAATTTTCAACAATATTAACTTTTATTTTTGTAATTATTTGATTATAATTAAGAATTGAAAATAATAATTATAATTTAGACAATTCATGCAGCTTATAAGTGATCGTGAAGATCCTGAATAATTAATAACCTAAGGAGCATGTTCAGTGGAAATTCCAATATAAAGAAATCGACCTTCTTCATAATATATGCTACATGGTTCTTAAAACAGAAAATTAAAAACTTAAGCTACTATTTCAATATTTGGGTATTTAAATTATATAATTGATAGGACTTTTAATACTTAAGAAGATAAAACAACAATAACTCGAGACACTAGAAGTATGTTTGTTAGAATAGTAAGGAAATTGATCATCTTAAAATGTTTTTTTGATTCATTAGAATAATATAGAAAAGAAAAATTGTAATAAAGAGTAGAGTTTTATTTTTAAAAAAGAACAAATATGATTCCATTTTATCCAGATGACTGTTTTATTGTATTTTGGATGAAAGTAGTAACTCTACTTTAATTTTTGTCTTGCATTATTTATCCACTGTTTATTACATTTGATGATTTAGAAAGCGATTTATAATTTATCATATTGGTTTTGGATATTCTTTTCTTAGTTGATATATTATTAATATTTTTGACAGCATACATAGATGAAACATCCTCATTAAAAATATCTTTATTTGAGATAGCTACACATTATTTAAAGACATGGTTCATTTTTGATTTTTTATCAATATTTCCTTGGATTTAAATAGAAATAGATTATATGAGATTTTTTAGGTTGTGCAGAATATTAAAATATTTTATATATAAGTAAAAACATAGCTATAAAGGATAAGCAGAACAACAAAAAATTACCACATCATTTAATCCAGATTATAAAATATAATTGAAGGAAGGAATTAAATTTATAATAGATGTTATGATAACAGCCTTCTTATTAATACACATATTTGCTTGTGGATATCATTATTTATTAGATATAAAATACATAGATGCACTTTATTAGTCAACTCAAACAATAACAACAATTGGTTATGGTGATAGTTCTTAATTTATAATGTTTGAATATTAAATTTTGTGGTTGATTATAGGTGTTGGGTTTTATACTATTACTATTGGTGATTTTGCATATATGATGCAAAGATCAGGTGTTAATTAGGATGATGAATATTATTTCTAATTAGAATAATTGTGTTTTGTTTCTGATTTCCCTGAAAAGATAAAAAATTAGTTTTAAAGATTCATATCAACTAACTTAAACAATAATGCATTTTGGTCTAGTTATCATAAGAAAATGGTTAATGACTTACCATATTAAATATAAAATTATCTAGTTTTAAGTGGAATGCTTTAAATATGTGAGGCTATCCCATTTTTTATCTAAGATATCAATTTTACAATTGAATTATTGAATAATGTGTAATTCTTTGTAATTGAAGAGAATGAACTTATATACAGAGAAGGTTAGAATTCAAATGAAATTTATTTCTTATTGTCAGGAAATATAAGAATAATGACAAAAACCAAATTTACATTATTAAATATTTTTGAAGGAACTATGTTTGGTGAATTTGAAGCAATTGAAGAAACATTGAGAGCAACTTATGCTATGGCTCTTTAAAAATCTTTGATTTTAAAAGTTGATTATGCTATATTAGAAAAATCTATGAATATGAGTCCTAATCTATATTTTGAAGTTTAGCAACTATTTCATCGTAGAAGAAAATTATTGATAAATAATCTAAAAGTTGATAAATGTATGTTATTCTAAACCATATTAGTTAGCCTTAAGAAAAAAGGTTAGAAGATCAGTTTTAATTTAACTCAGTCATGAACAATTATAGTTTAATAGATAAGAAATGAAAAAATAAAGAGAATTAAGAGAACTAAAAAATATTAATGAATATAATTAAATGATGTTAAGGCAATTAATTGATAAAAAGAGACACAAATTTGAAAAATTAATAGCAAGTTTTAGATTAGTTGTGTTTCGTATAATTCATTTCAACTAACAATTAAATAGAACACCTCCTGAAGATTGGAAAGATTTGGATAATTACAATTTAATAAAGAGAGTGTTTCCTTTACGTTGTTTATCAGATAAGTTTTAAGTATTTTTTAGAAAGTCTTCTTCAGTCCATAGTTTATCAGTTCATCGCGGTTCTATTCGTCGAAGAATCGATTATCATAAATATAATAAATATAATTGGCAACTTAGTGATGTTTAAATAAAATAGATTATTTTAATGCACAACAGGAGATCTGCAAAAGTATATCCTACTTTAAGTAGCGTTGTGTAAAAATACTAAGTAGGTACAATAGCATCATCTCCATAAAGGATTATTAGATACTGTCCTAAATGGATTAGAGATTTAGTATAGGAAGATTATTCCTCAAAAGAAATGGAAGAATTTGTTTGGAAATATCATTAAATCAATAAAAGATTGGATAGGATTGATAAAATGTGGACGAAAGGACTTATACTTAGATTTGATAAGTTTAAACTAAAAAGTTAAAAAGATTTGGATCATCTTGACACTGAATCATCTGAAGAGTAATGAAAACTCAATTCAATAATATCTTTTTCTTAGCAAATCTTTTTTATATAAATATTTAAATATTATTAAATAATTATATTCAAATTTTTAAGAATATACGATAAGTTTTAATAAAAATTATTATTTATTTGCTTTCAGAAATTGAATAATTCAGCTAACTTAGATTTACTTAAAGATAATTATAAAGATTTGTTGAATAGTATTAAATTGTACAATCCAATATAAAAAAGAATATAAAAAATTTATTCTGAACATAAAAAAATAGAGTATGATGGACAATAAGAAGATGATGGGAATTTCAAGTATAAAAAATAATTTTTTAAAGAACATTCTATAATTTTCAGAAAATAACTATAAATCTAAAAATACTCAAAATATTAGCTTAATTCTTTTTAGCTTCTTGGTCTAAAATAACTAATTTAAAAATTTAAATCTATTTTTCATCCTTAGATTAATTAAATTGAGAAAAATATCTAACTATCTATTATTAAATATTAAATAATTTTTAAAATCTTCTGATATCTATTTTTGATCACATAATATTGTACTATTTTGATTTTTAAGGTTTTCTATATAATTTTTGAAGATTGTTAATTATCTTACTCTTATCTAATTTTTAGCATCAACTTCTTTAATTTTCTTTAATTTATAAAATTGAATTCAAAGTTACATGATCTGTTTAAGTTAACTATAATAATATTGAATAGAAACTGATAACTTCAAATTGCTGATAAAATTATTTTGTTAAACCTTAAACAACATTTAACAAAGAAATGAATAAAATACAACCTGCTTGCTATTTCAAAAATAAAAAATGATTTTAATGATATCAGATTACTTAATTCAAATTGTTAAGAAAGTATTAAAAAGAGTTTGATTACATGTGAATATAATTTATGAATAAATATTCTATTCCTTTTAAATTTAAATAATGGTAATATAATTATTTTATTTAAATTATCTATTAAATATGGATACTATGAGTTGTAATGTCTGTGGAAATAGACTAGTAATTAAAGGTATTTCATTGGTTTGCACTGGATGTGGAAATGCTACAGTATGAAAATATGACTAATAATTAGAGAAGCAATCATATATTCTCAACTGAACAAGAATACTAAAAATCTATGCTCAAAAGAACTACATAACATATTAAATAAAGAAAGGATAGAGATATTTAAATTAATTTTACATTATCTGAACATATTAAACACAATTGGATATAATATCTAGCAGCATTTACAAAATTTATTAATAATATTGCCAAGTAATTGAATTTAGATATTAAACCCCTTTATTCAAGATATTTATTTCATCATATCAATCAACCAGTCACTTCTAATTGGACTATTGCAAGAAAAGGACATTAAGCATTTTCAGACAACAGAATTGTCAATTCTAAATATTTAATAAATAAAACCAACATAGATTCAACATTTAACATTAAAGTAGAAGATGATTTTGACCATGATTTCGAGAAATAACTATAAAATAATTTTACATAAGACTAATAAAATTAAAGCTCAGTATTAGAGATCCATTAAATTAAAAAAAAAATATCTAAACCAAAAATACCATTCTATTAAAAGAGACTCATCAAACTTTAATTAAAATAAGAAAGTAATCTCAATTCAATTAATTAAAAAAGAAAATAATCTGTCAATAGAAAAGGATCATAAATTCTTGATATACCTATAAATTAAGACAAATCAACTTTTATTAACGGTATTCTTTCTTCAACTAATCTTACAAATACTATTTATTTTGCTTTGATAGAAATCTATTTTGAAAAATTTTACACTTTATCTTCAAACGATTTAAAATCAACTATCAAAAAAATTAAAAATATCAAATCAAATTTAGATCATGATACTTAAATACTTTCAGTTAAATCAATAAATTAAGAATTATTTAAAAGTATGTCTCCTTTCTTATAAAAGGAATACTTATTAGTTTAGGATATATTGATTTACATGTTAGGATGTCAAAATTCTTTTTTTGAAATGTCTGAGTAATGGAATAATCTAGAATTTAAGAATATTAACAAGAATCTAAAAAAAAGAAATGTTAATTTTATCTCAAGAAAAATAAAATATATTAAACAGTTTATGAAATCTTGTTAATAAATAGAAATAAACACTTAAGAAACTGATATTACTGTCAATATCAGCAATAAATTATTCTCGAAAAAATAAATAAATTTAATACCTTTAGATTTTACTTTTGGATTAATATTATTATATGCTTCAAATTTGGCCTAAGGAAATAAAATATTTCCAAGTAAATTAATTTAATTAATCAAACAAAAAAAAATAAATTATTTGGAAGGTTTTTCACATTTAATGAATGACACAACAAACCAATATTTAACAATCCCACAACATTTACCTAAAACTAGTTTTATTAGACATCATGCGGTAAAGCTATTAAAATAATTTACTATTGAATATTAAGAATATAATAAGGAATAATTTTTAGAAATGTTTAAAAGCGTATGTATTGAATTAAAAATATCATAATAATTATATAATATAGCTATGTCATTTGAATAAAGGTATTTTTTTAATTTAAAAATACATAATAGTAAATATGACATTTATTCTTGTAGTTTAATTTTGCTTGCTTTTAAATATTACCTATTTATTGATAAATAGAGTGCAATAAATGATTTATGTTTGATTTGTGAATATTGTAAAAACATATAGCCATATGATTACAAAGATTTAGAGGATTGTAGCTTAGAAAATTTGAAATAAAAATTGAATACTTCATAAAATTTAGAACAATATTATGGTGATAGAGATGTAAATATCAAACTAAATGAAAAATTATAATAATTAGATAATTATTATGAATAGCAATTAGTGTAGGAGTATTAAAAACAAATATCAACTGCTGAGATATCAAATGAAGTAAAAATAAACATCATTCATGAAGATTGGGACTTTTACAAAACAGGTGATTTTGAATTTGAAGCACCTGAAGTAAGATTTTTGGAAATGAAATTAAGTAATTATATTGAAGATGATAATAATTCTATAATAAATTTTCTTCATGAATTAGAAAGATTATTAGTGTGATCAAATTTGTATATAGCAATAGGAATATTGAAAATACTTAAAAATAATATCTTATGATTATGTTATTTTTATATGATTATTATATGAAAATTCTTCACTGCAGATGCACAGTCTCAGCATAGTTGATTAAAAATCTCATATGAGTACTTGATGCTCCGGCATGGTAAACAGCACATTTTTCTATTGAAATGATTATTTTTAATATGATTACTTAAACATTCTGCTTCAGACTCATTAAAATCACGATTCACTTTTAATGTTCCACATCTTTTACTACAATCTTTTGTTGCTCTTACCATGTAATATAATGCTTAAGCACCTACTCCCCAATCAATTTCTTATTCTTCAGACATTTGATCAAATGTTTAATATTAAAAATATTAATACTTGATTGAATATAATTTAATTTTATATCATTCCTTATAAAGTAAAAATCGTTCAAATGCTATCTAGTATTAATATAATTATTATTATAAACTAAATTATTTAAGGCCAAAATTAGCATAATGAATTTTAGAAAAGTAATATAGATGATAGATAAAAAAATTGAATTTAAGTTTTCTTAAGAACAATTTACTATAATAAGAATACAACGTTTAGTATAAAAACAGAATTGAGAATAAGAAAAAATGTTCTAATTCAATTAATTAAAAAGAATAATGAATATAAATAATCAGTATTTAAGTTTGATGGAAAATAGAATGTTAACCTTGAATAATTTTTTATATATTAAAAATGTAAAATAAATTATTAGATAAAGTTTAGGAAGAGAATGTAAAAAACAAAATGAGTAAATTATTCACAGGAAGTTAGAATGATTATTATGTTTCAATGAAAGAGGATGAGAGTCATTAGATAGAAATGAATAAAATATAAAGAAAAAAAGTGTTTTTATCAGGTAGTGAAGATGAAGAAGAAAGATAGCCAGCATAAATAATAAAATAAGAAGATAATAAATGTAATATAACGTCTATGAGATTAGAAGTTTAAGTATATTAATAAACAGAGATAAGAAAGAGTGATATTTTAGATGAAGTACCTACATAAGAGAATATTGATGGGTTAAATGGGATGACATAATTTGAGCTATCACCATTGAACATTTAAGGAGGAAAAAAGAAAAACAAATTGAAGAAAAACAAATCAAAAAAAAAAAAAGCGAAACATTAAGCATTACCATTTAATTGGAATACTTATAAATTCTTATTACACTATCCATTATAACATTTAAAATTAACTATATTAGTGAATGTATTGATAGTATTATCAGCTGTAGCATAAATGTTATTACCTTGGATACTTGGTAGATTGATTGATGCAATCACTAAATAAGTTTAAGATTCTCATAGCTCAGAAGGAAAAGCTGATAATAAAGATAATAATTCATTTATTGATGAAGAATTACATACCAAATTATCAAAATAATTTTTAATTGTTTTGGCCACTTATACTATATTATCATTAATTAGGGCATTTGCTAATTAAATTTGGTAAGAATAGATATATAATGAAATGAGAGAAGATGTTTTAAAATCTTTCTTATCTTTTGATTTAACCTTTTTCAATACATATAGAAATGGTGAAATAATATCTAGAATGACAAATGATTTATAGTCAGCTAAATCAGCTGTGAGTGGAAATATAATTTTACTTATAAGAAATTGTTGTTTAACAATATTCAATATAATAGTATTATTTGCTTTATCATGGAAAGTCACATTAGCAATATTAGCACCAATGCCATTATACACAGTGTTAACAACTATACATACAAGACTTGGAAAGAGATTTGAAAAATTAGGTTAAGAGTATTAAGCAAAATTGACAACTTTAGCAGATGAAATAGTCTCAGGAGTAGTAACAGTTAAAAGTTTCTGTACTGAATAATTTGAAATAAAGAAATTTCATAAATAATTAAATTTAAATATGAAATTGGCTTAAAAAAGAGGAGTAAATAATGGATGTTATTAAGCTGCAAGTGCTTTATTTACATAACTAGGTTCATTAATAGTATTATGGTATGGAGGTAAATTGGCAATGAATAATTCAGCAGAATTATCAGCTGGGTATAATATATGAAATAAATAATTAGTGACTTAACTACCATAATTTTATACTCTATATAACTATCTACATCTAGTTCTAATATAAGTGAATCATTTGCTAAAATTGTGAGTGCAACTGGAGCTTTTGAAGGTGTTCTTGAAATGTTGAAATGGGAATCTCTTGTAAAAGAGGCACCTGATGCTATAGATCATATAACTCCAACAGGAGAAATTTAATTTAAAAAAGTTGTATTCTAATATCCAAATTCATAAGTTTAAGTATTAAAAGGAATAACACTTAAAATTAATAAAGGAGAATATGTTGCATTTGTTGGACCTAGTGGGAGTGGCAAATCAACAATTATGCATTTATTAGAAAGATTTTATGATCCACAATCAGGTTCCATTTATTTTGATCAAATTAATATTAAATAATACAAGCTTAAAGCTTTAAGAAAATCAATAGGATTAGTTTCTTAAGATCCTGTTTTATTTGAAGGAACTATTGAATCAAATATTATTTATGGAACTGAAAATTATACTAAAGATGATTTTGAATGGGCTACTAAAGCAGCAGGAGTTTGGTAATTTGTATCTGATAAATTCAAATTTCCACATGGATTTGATACTTTTGTTGGAGAACATGGTTATACATTAAGTGGAGGATAGAAATAAAGAATTGTCATAGCTAGAGCTTTATTAAAAAGACCTAAAATTTTAATCTTTGATGAAGCTACTTCTGCTTTAGATGCTGAAAGTGAATTCTAAGTATAATCTGCTATTGATGAATTAATTTAAAAAGGAAATCAAAACATTACTGTTTTAGTTATTGCTCATAGATTAAGTACTATTGTTAATTGTAACAGAATTATTGTATTACAAAATGGTATTGTTGCAGAATAGGGAACTCATTAGGAATTATTAAACAATCCTGATGGCATATATAGACAATTAGTCGAAAGATAATTATCAGGAGTTATTGATTCCAAAGATAATGATGGTGATTCTGAAGCTTAATGATATGTTATTTTAATTATTTTGTTAACATTAATATTATTTATTTTATTATGCAATTAATCAAATCATTTATTTCAGCACCTAAATAAGAATATAGTAAACATGAAGTTGAATTTATCCAACGATTTATTAAAATACTCGAAGAAGAAATCATCATTCAAAATTCTAGTAAAACATCTAATTGTAGAGAAAATTGTAATAATAAAATACCTTTAATTGGAAATCATAGATTACGATCTTTTAGTACTAATATTTAGAGCAACTCTAAATTAAATGATTAAGCACAAATTTCCAAAATTTAAAGGAATAAGTAATAAACAATAGAGTTGCTACCAAAATTATCAATAAGATAGTTTTAATTTAAAGACATTGAAAAACCTTACAGAAAAAGAAAATTAATTTAAAGTAAAAAGAATATAAAATAATGAAAATCATTCATCAACGATTAACCTTCTCCTAAACATGAAATTACTTTTTTCATTTGCTATTTATTAAGTTAATTCTGAATTTTCTTTTCTTTCATTTGTAAAGAAATCTAAAGTCTATTTTTTTCTTAATGATCTATTAACTTATACGCTTTTTACTCTACCAGTATCAATTTTAGGTTTAGATTTTGCTATGATATCTTTGGATTTGTAAAATTTTTATTAATTCTCTAACATTTTTAATTGTCCTAATCTAATCATTTCATCAGAATTTTCACTCACTTTTTTAGTGATCATCTGTTTTAAACCAGTTATTCCTTTATGACTTTGTTTTAAAGTAGTATTTCTTCTATTATGTCTTTTGATAGTTTCTGGAGATAAATGATTAATTATAGATTCTCAAATTTCATTAAAATTATTATATATACCTTATTTTTCATTTCTATTAGTTAGCCATGAAAAGGCAACTGATGCTGCATATTTAGTTTATATTTTCTCTATAACTAATTCTTTTCTTATATTTTCATCTTATATTTATTATTATTCATCTATAATTGCATAAGGTTACATAGGATTTGGCACTTCAATAGGAGGATCTACTGCTTTAATTCCATAAATTGATTATTTCTTCATTTTATCAGCAGATGAATTCAATCTTTATTTAAGTTTAAGTTTTCTTCTAATTACATTAAAAATTGGTTCTAATTTTTTAGCTTTCAATCTAAGTGCTGCTATTTGCATTTCTTCTTTTCTTTCTAAAATTTTATCAATCAATAAAATTCTAAATTTTAATCATTTTAATAAAATTACCGTTCTTCAGCAGTAGATAATGATTTTAAAGATTAAATTATCTATTTTTTATCATTGAAATCAGAAAGTAAATTATAAGCATCCCTAACCTTTTAACCTTTAATGCCATTTTAAATAGTTTTTAATCCATCTTAATTTTTAACATTTACTTTTAATTTATCATACAATTATCCTCTTTCTGAACTTTTAGGAATTGTTGAAATATCACCTATTCTTGGAGATTCAATTGGTGAAACCTATGTTGTATAACTAAAAGGTGTTGGATTATGTGAATGAACAGTGTAAGCTTGGTATTTATGATTTGGACTATAAAATGGTCTAGATAACAATAATTAATCAAAACTCATTTAATTTTAATAATTACTATATGATAATGCAAATATTTCATTCATGGTGATCTATACTTTATCTCTTTTTACCAACTTCTTCACTTAAACTTGTCTAAAATTCTTAGAATGTGATTTCACCATCACCATTTTCATCAAAAAATTCAAAACATGCTATTATTTCCTCTTATGAAATATTTGGCTCAATTCTTTTAAGCAGTAATCCCATTTCACTTTTATCTAATCTTTAATCTGAGGATTTATCAAACTAAATTTATCAATATTAATAATCACTTTTTTAAATAAATCTAACAAATTGATTTTATATTTTTAGATTGATAATTTTAATTTCTCTATTACATAATTAGCTCTTTCTTCTATAGAACTTTGAGATTTTAATTATTGAGGAAGAATAGATAACTTTTTATGAGATCCACCTCCTCTTTATTATTGTTACGGATTAGCATTTGTAACAATCTATTAATTTATCATTATTAATTACTTGATTATCTTCTAACCATTTTTTAAATTCCTCAAATTCAATCTAATTATTCCCATCATCATCAAATTTATTAAATATATACTCAGTTTCTTCTCTAGTGATATCTTTATCTACTTTTTATAAAAATTTGCCTAATTCATTGACATCTAAAGCTTTATCCTTTGACATGTCTAAATCTGCAAATAATTTATGGATATCAATTTTTTCTTTGCAAATCATTTATCTAATATCATTAATTAAATATTAAGCTTTATCTTCTAATTTACTATTTCCTTTAATAAAATCCTTAAATGTTAAACTAAAATTATTTACTGAAAAATATTGACTAACAGCTGGATGTTTATATATTTCTTCCCAAGATAATCTTTTATTTTCATCAGCTTGAAGACATCCAATAATTAAATCTTAGGTTTCTTATGAGACTTAATTTTTATCTGTAGGAAATTTTAAAGGCTAAGTTCTAATATTTTTTAATAATTCTGCTGGTGATCTTGCTGTCCATGGTGCTAATTAAATGAATAAATTTATATATACTTTTTCCAAATAATGCTTCATAGAATATAAAACCTATACTCCAAACATCAGTTTTAGAATTATATCTTTTATGATCCAAGATTTAAGGACTCATATATAAAGGAGTACCAACCATTGAAGCCATCATTGTTTTTTTAAAATTATCTACACATTTTGCAAATCCAAAATCTGCTAATTTGTAAGTCTTCATAAAAATTTATAAACTTACTTATTTGTCTAATAATATATTTGCAGGCTTCAGATCTCTATGAATTATACCATTTTTTATTAATTGTGTAAATCCATTTAATACATCAATTAAAAATTTGATTGCTTCTTTTTCTGGAAGTAACTTCCTTTTTTTGAGAAGTCTTAAAGTAAAATATAATAATCTTACTCATCAAAATCTCCTCCATCACAGTATTCTTAAACAATATAATAATTATTGTTTGTTTCCATGACATCTAGTAATTAGACTATATTGGGACTTTTTAATTTTTGCATAATTTTAATTTCTTAAATCAATCCTTCTCTGAGATAATCATCTCTAAATAGATAAGTAAATTAAATTACGCATTTATTACAGATTTGCTTAACATTTTGATAGCTACTTTTTCTCCAGTTTTTTCATTCGTTCCTTTAAAAACTTCAGCATAAGATCCTTATCCAATCCTATCCTTCACATTAAAAATATATTTGTCTATTCTTTTATCAGTCATCAAAATTAAATAATTTTTTTGATTAAATATAAATATATGACAATTTAAATATTTATTTTTATGTTTTACATAAAGAAAATCATCTAAAACTTTTTTTCTTTTTGGCTGTTTTAAAAATATAATTTTATTATTTGAAATCTTAGTAAGCATGTTGACCTTTTAAAAAACTAAAAAAAAAGAGTTTAATAACTTTTCTAACCTCTTAGAAGAGTTTTTCATGTTATTTTAAATATATTGGGATAGATTTATTATGCTAATCATTTGAACATTGAGAAAATGTATGCTATTAGATTGCTATATGTAAAATAATTATTCATATCTAATATGGTCAACAAATACTGAAGTCCTTATTTTATCTCTAAATGCTTTCATTTATTTTAGAAGTCTCCTTACACTAATTTTAGTATTTTATTGTATTGTTGATTGAATTCTCCTTAATAATAGTAAAATAAAAATTTGAATCTAGATTTCTAAATTACTTTGATTAATAATTTTAAATAGAGGTTAGCTTATATTACTTTATTCCAAAATTGATTTGAACTCTTGCTTTCTTTTGTATATCAACTCAATTTTATTAGAATATTCATTACTATTTTTTAATTTAAAACCTTATTTAATTTATGGTATAAGAAATAAATTGTTTATAATTTATCTCTAATATAATTAAATAGCTCATTATGCTTTTGCTTTTGGTTTTTTTGAATCATCTTACTTGGCTGTTTCAGAATTTTTTTATTTAGCTTGCTCAGTTTTTTTCAATTCTTATGTAGATGTAGACGAACAACTATGAATGATAAGAATAATACCTAATCTAAGTATCTTTGTTTTTATTATTGTTTTTATTTTTATGGACTAAAAATAAAGCTCCAATTATTCCAACATTAAAAATAATTTATATATATTCTCTTTCAATGTCCCTTAAAAAGAATTATCATTTTAAAATACACTTATTTAGAGTAGATTAAAGGATTATGAGCATATATAGTAATAAACACGGTCAGAAATGCTAACAAATAACCAGCTTTTTAAATTCCGAGACCAACACCAAATCCAAATAATATTTATGTAAATCCTAAGGCTTGAATTAATTAGGGTGTATATTTGATAAAATTAGTAGGTTACTTATTAAATATTTATTTGATACCAATTATTCAAATTAAGTTAAAGATGATTCTATAAATGGTATTGATTTAGCATACTAATAAAATATTGGGTATCTTATATTAAAATAATGAATGTATGAATCCTGATTTAAAAAATGTGAAAATCCAGCATTTACAAATAAGATGGCTAATAGGATTCTACCTATAAATTTAGTAAGTCTCATTTATTATAAATATTTATTTTAAGAAATTAATTCGTTTTAAATGATTTTAGTACTATTGGTTAATCTAATTTTGGCAACTGGTAAACTAAAATAGCATCATTTAAATCATTAAGTGATGTTTAAAAAAGAACGTGATGTAGTTGTATTGAATATATACAATTTTGATGCAGCATTGATGAGATTTGAAGTTTTATTAGTAGATTTTTATGCTCCATGGTGTCCACATTGGTATATAAGACAGTAAATTTAGTTAAAGATTAGAGCCAGAATTTGCTGAAGCAGCTGAAACATTATAAGAAAAAAGAAGCAAAATTACTTTAGCCAAAGTAGATTGCACATAAGAATCTGTACTATGTACAAAATTTGAAGTTAGAGGTTATCCAACTTTAAGGATTTTTTATCATGATAGAATTTATCATTTTCATGGAAATAGAGATGCTAAAGGAATAATTGATTTTATGATAGATCACTTAAAAGAGGAATAAGAGAAAGAAAAATAGTAATAAAAATACTATGAACCTTGAACCATTATTATTTTAGCAAACACAAAGTTAAAACATAATTTAACAAAAAAATCATGGTGTATGTTCTTCAAAATTTTGCAATTCTTGTTCAATCTATGCTTAATCTTCATCACCAACAGCATTTCCTATTAAATCTGTATCATCTTATAACATTTAATCTTCTGATACAACTCCCCTATTTATTGAAGAGATAATCTAGAATACATACAACATGATTATACATTCCAATCTTTCGAAACTTAAAAACTAACAACACTTCTTCCTACTTGTATAGCCATATTATTATTCATATCAACTGACATTTAAGCTGGAACCTTTAATAATACTAAAGTTCCGAATTTAGATTATTAATCTTCAATAACAAATCCAGCTATTATTATTTTAATTTATAATTTTACAATTCATAAATTTAATTAATGCATGACATCTAGAAACTGATATATCTGTAATTCTTACATCAGAATCATGACCTCTACCTAATTTTATAAGTTATTTTTATGCAAAACTTATTATATGTGTTCCTTTACTCTTATTCCTTTCCCTACTCAATATTTCTAATGTTATATAAGGAGCATCTGGTTTTGGTATTATTATTGTCTCAAATATTCTATCCTAATATCTTATTCTACCTATATATCTAATATTATTATAATTACTAGGAATTATAGCTTTACATACTTCACAATCAAATTATCTCCATTAAAATGAAACTGAAAACTTAGTTGTTTTAGGTGATAATTTATTTGCTAACCAAGTTTATAAACATTATATATGTATATATTTTACAGATCCCTAACATTTACAACAATCAATCAAAGGATTGTCTTTATTTGTTTAAGAATCATTATAACATATTCTACAACAAGGTTCATCTTATTAACTTCTTTTATCATCTTCTTCCTATGTATTTATGTTCATTGTATTCAAACATTTCTCAGATACGTATTTTTACAATTCTGGTTCCATATTTCCTTTATTTAAATTACTATTATCAACAGAACATTTAATTTCTCTTATTCTAAATCTAACTCTTCCTAATTTCACATAATCTCCTTCTTTTAAATCATATCCCTTCATTAATTATCAAGCCTATTACTTATCCGTCAGTTAGTTGACTTTTTGTAGATTTAACTACTATCCATGGACAATTGTCATTCAATCCTTCTTAATCTTCCGTCTTTTACATTTTCAAACTTGATTCCACTTAATATTTCGAAAATTAACGAGTCAATTTCAGTAATTCTATGACATCTGGTTAATTTTAGAATTACTATCAATAAATGTTATTTCTACTTATAACTCTTCTTTTGTTTAGATTATTTTTATATTTTCTTTTTAACGAATTAATCTCACTAATTTTAATTATTTATAATACTTAGTTATGTATTTGTTTTGATTTAACCCTTTATAACATTCTTATTTTCATAATCAAATAAACCATGAGAATCACGATTCCAAGTGAAATGTTTTATTGTTCTTTTTTATTTATAAGCATTTTTACAATGAAACTGGTGATACTTTGTTTGCATTTCTGATATCATCCTAACTAGAAACACAATTACCCATTTTTTAATTTTATATATTAATATTCTTTCAATAAATTTATATAATAAACTTTGTAGATACTTTTTTTACTATAAAGCATCTTAAATTATGCTTAACTTATTCAAATAATTATGTATATTCAATCTAACAAAACTTCTTTTTTAACTACAGTTAATTAAAAAAAAATATTGATAGTTGATTAGGATCTATCTTTTGTTTCTTAAACGAATTTTAATATAAAAAACACACCTAAAACACAACATCCAGTAAAGAAACCAAAAACTATTGATAATCTGCCTGGATTATTATTTATATCTAGAATTACAAATGTAAATGCTATTATTGTACAACTAATCCAATTAAAAAGTACTGCTAAAGACATTCCTTTTTCAGATAAGATATCAGCATCATAAATCTTAATAATATTTATTACATCATTACCCATGCAACAGGTCCCAATGATAATTAAAATGCACCAAGATATCCAAATATTGCTAAAACACTCAATATTTCCACTGTTGAATTTGGATCTGTTTAAAATGAAAAACCAAACGCTATTGCCAAGAATATTGTGCAAGCTATTGTTCCATATAACAAAAGAGGTCTTCTTCCAAACTTTTAAAGTAAACTGATTGCAATAAAACCAAAAATTATATTGATCAAACCAACTGTAACATTTGCCCAATCGATTCTTGTTTCATTATCTTTCAATATCTAAATTTTTATATTTAATTATTACAGATGAAAATATAATTGTAGAAAAAAACATTATTGCATTTATTCCTGAAAATTGCTATAAAACTTAAAGTCCACATCCAATCAATAATCGTTTTCTTTAACTATAGTTCATGAAGAGATCTTTATATTTTTCATTTTATAATCTCTTTTATTCTACTACTAATTTTATGTTCTCTAAAATCTATTCAACTTTTTCTTCTTAATAATAATATTCCACTATTTATTTTGCCTAAATTATTTAATTTTATACCTTATTCAAATCATTTTTTTAAACATAATAAGAAGGTGGTTCATTTTTAAACACAAATATCAATAATAAAGTTCTAATAACACAAAAAATAAGAGGAATTTCTAAGAATAATCTAAAAACATAATCATTAGATTTTTTTCTATTTGGATCATTTTAATAAAAACTAAAAAATTATAAAATTATTTACAAAGCAGAAATAAGTCCTATCAAAATTCCAATATTAATTGTTAATTAGTTGAGTGCACCTAATGATCCAGATAATCTACTTGGTGAAAACTCTTTAATATATTATGGAATTAGCGAAGAATTTAGTCCTACACAAAGGCCTATAAGAATTCGAGCAAAAAAGAATGAATAAATATTGGATATTATTTCTAGTACTACACCAATAATTCCAATTAAGTCAGTAATCATAAAAGACTTTCTTTAACTAAATAATTGTAATAAGTTTCCTGAAAGTAAAGCCCCAATTCCAGCTGATAAAGTAAAAATAGCTAAAAAAGGATGTTTTAGATTATGATACCTTGAACTAAAGCTTCAAGCAAATTTTAAGTAGATGAGTCATAAGTAGTAATGTGATAATAAATGGGGTAAAAATTTGAAGCTGAATTTAGATAGGAAATTGCGTACCCAAAAAATAAAGAACCTAACACAGCATTGATAACCAACAATACAAAGGGTGAAGCAGATTTGTATTGAATATCCATAATTAAAAAAAATAATAATATTAAAATCAAGAAGGTAGTATAGTTTACTGTTATTCTTCAATCAATTGCATCAATCGACTATATGTAGTTGTTTAGATATAAGGTTTATCATTAAAAAATTATTTGAGTCTTTCGTTCTGAATGAAGGTCTAATCTTTAAATAAAATAATGAAATCCAATTTATCATCATATAAACTATTTACAAAAGTACCTTCTCTAACAATTACTCTAGATTTGAAAGTTTCCAATTCTACTTCAGAAATTTAATGATTTGAACAATAAGGATAGAAAGTCTTGTTCAAAAATATCCATAATTTTGGTAATTAGAATAACAATTCTTCTTCAAGTAATAATAAATCATCTTAATTAACTGGTTTATTTATTTTAATATTATCGCAAATATCTTGAAGTGCCAATTCATCAATTATTTCATAATATGAATCTCCAAACTTATCATAAAATNATAATAATATTCCACTATTTATTTTGCCTAAATTATTTAATTTTATACCTTATTCAAATCATTTTTTTAAACATAATAAGAAGGTGGTTCATTTTTAAACACAAATATCAATAATAAAGTTCTAATAACACAAAAAATAAGAGGAATTTCTAAGAATAATCTAAAAACATAATCATTAGATTTTTTTCTATTTGGATCATTTTAATAAAAACTAAAAAATTATAAAATTATTTACAAAGCAGAAATAAGTCCTATCAAAATTCCAATATTAATTGTTAATTAGTTGAGTGCACCTAATGATCCAGATAATCTACTTGGTGAAAACTCTTTAATATATTATGGAATTAGCGAAGAATTTAGTCCTACACAAAGGCCTATAAGAATTCGAGCAAAAAAGAATGAATAAATATTGGATATTATTTCTAGTACTACACCAATAATTCCAATTAAGTCAGTAATCATAAAAGACTTTCTTTAACTAAATAATTGTAATAAGTTTCCTGAAAGTAAAGCCCCAATTCCAGCTGATAAAGTAAAAATAGCTAAAAAAGGATGTTTTAGATTATGATACCTTGAACTAAAGCTTCAAGCAAATTTTAAGTAGATGAGTCATAAGTAGTAATGTGATAATAAATGGGGTAAAAATTTGAAGCTGAATTTAGATAGGAAATTGCGTACCCAAAAAATAAAGAACCTAACACAGCATTGATAACCAACAATACAAAGGGTGAAGCAGATTTGTATTGAATATCCATAATTAAAAAAAATAATAATATTAAAATCAAGAAGGTAGTATAGTTTACTGTTATTCTTCAATCAATTGCATCAATCGACTATATGTAGTTGTTTAGATATAAGGTTTATCATTAAAAAATTATTTGAGTCTTTCGTTCTGAATGAAGGTCTAATCTTTAAATAAAATAATGAAATCCAATTTATCATCATATAAACTATTTACAAAAGTACCTTCTCTAACAATTACTCTAGATTTGAAAGTTTCCAATTCTACTTCAGAAATTTAATGATTTGAACAATAAGGATAGAAAGTCTTGTTCAAAAATATCCATAATTTTGGTAATTAGAATAACAATTCTTCTTCAAGTAATAATAAATCATCTTAATTAACTGGTTTATTTATTTTAATATTATCGCAAATATCTTGAAGTGCCAATTCATCAATTATTTCATAATATGAATCTCCAAACTTATCATAAAATTTATTAATTTCATTCATAATAGCTAAAGGTGCATATAATATAAATCTAGGTGCAATATTAACTAATTATGATCTTCTTATACATTCAATGACCCATTGAGGTCTAATAATAGTAGTAGGATACTTTTCAATAATAGAATTAACTTTAAAATCAATAATAGAATTAACTCTAAAATCAATAATAGAAGCTACAACATGAGTAAGACTTTCTACAATATAATTTTGTATACAAGTTCCTCCTTAAGCTAGAATTAAAGATTCTAAATATCATTTATTATATTCTTCTTCTAAATTCACTATATGAAATTCACTCCCAATAAATAAGTTAGATTCTTTAGTAACATTTCTAGGATCTAATCCTTAATATTCTTACATTATAGTAATCTATTTAGAATGAGCACCACCTTTTTTTAAAGGTTATTTTCTTTATTTAGTTTATCAAATAGGTCTATCTTTATTTTCAATTTTATCATCTGTTTATTTGTCATTTCCTTCTTTATCATTTTTACTTTTTACTTTTGAGACTTTTAAAATATTAAGAATCATTAATCATACTTAATAAATCTTACATGGTCATCATTTCATACCAATCTTTATCCATTCTACTTTTATAACATCTTGGAAATCTAAGTGTATTATCAGTAGGAAATGTATTAGATTTAGTAATTTCAGCAGCTTTAACTTCAAATATAATAAAATGAGCTGGATTGCCCATATAAACATCAAGTCTATCATTAATTCCCGATTCCAATTTTAAGGATATAATTAGGTTTTTATTTTTTAATCCAATGATTTCTTAATTTATTTAATAGTAGATAATTCATTATCAGTGAATCCAGTACCAACTTTTACAAATGGTAATTATATTATTATAAATTTAAATGAAATTTATTATCTGTACAATAAAGAGCAGCAGTTTTATTCAAACCAAATCTAACATTATCACCAGCTTCTTTATTAAAACAATGATTTCTCCATCTAATGTTGCACATTAAGCTTAAACACTTTATCTAATAATTTCTCCTAATTTATCCTTATATAAATATGCGTAATCATTAGAATTTCTAGTAAAAAATCTAATAACTTCAGGTGTAAAATGACATTGAATTCTTTCTCCATCAAATTTAGTTTCAACTAATAATTCCTTACCTTCTATTAATTTTCTAATTTCTTCAGGAGATTTCTTTGCTGCTAACATTGGTTTAATAGCATGAAATATTCTTAATACATTTTTAAGTGTATGATTTATATCAACAAATTCTTTACATACTTCTTTCAATGATGACGTTGCATTATAATATTTTGGAGCATCTTTATGAAATAATTATAAAAGTTTCTCATATTTCAAATCAATCTTTAAATCTTTTAAAATGATTCTTATAATCCATAATATTTCATCTGCAGTGCATACCTTTTCAACTATGACTAATTCTTATTCTTTTACTAATTATCTAATAATTAATCAACTTCTGATATTGTTATTATGCTATCTTTTCTACAATAATCTTTGATAACATTATCTACAACCATAGGAAAATCACCAATAGGAGCTCCATATGGTTACATACTAGCTTATTTATAATTTGCCATTCTATGATAATCCTAAAGCTTATCTAAATAATTTTGCAAGATTTTTCTCTTATAATTTATATACTCCTCTCTTAAAATGGAATTATCATTCTCATTATTATATATGTATGCTCAGGTATTCTTGGAGGTTTGAAAAAGAATTATGCTAAAACACTAAAAGCTCACTTTTCTTTTTTCCTCTTACTTTCCTCATTCTATCAAAAAAACATCAAATTTTACTATTATTGGACCCATTGTTTAATTCATATTCACTTTTAATTAATCTTATTATTCTTTGTTAATTTTATTAGTTTCCTCTACTTTTTCCTTAATTTCTCTTGCAAATTCATGAACTTCCTTTTAATCTCTTATTTCTTCTTCTTCATCTATTTAATTCTCTTCCTACATAATCAGAAATTAATAAGAATAATATTTTTTTTTATTATAATTAAATCAAACAAAAGAATATTTATGTATTTATAAAATTAATTATTGTATATAAAACTTAATAAATTTTATTTTCATTTTATTTCTCTATAATGAATTTTTGTGAATTCATCTAACTCACTGTAGAGAGTGAGGATAAATTAGAAGAAATCAGGATAAAATTAGCAAAATTAGAAATGTTTGAATTAAATACTGGTATTTATATTCATTTTTATTTTGAGTTTATAAAAGACTTGATTAACCAAGAAAAAATGCAATGACTGCAGAATAAATTATAGAATTTCTAATAGATAACAATGTCAAATTTACAGAAGAGGAGTTAAATTACATCTTTAGAGTTTTAGATACTGATGGAGATAACATTATTACATTGCAAGAGTAACTTTTTATTCATTTATTCAAAGTTTTCAATATGTAATTTTACCAAAAACTAACGACCAAGTGAAAGATCAAGCTCTTAATCATAAATCTTATGAAATGCCTAAAAGTATGCTTCTACCAAAAGAAGTTGAAGCTACATTAACTGATTTCTTCAAATAATTACAATAAAACTATAAGTAGTATTTATCATTATAATTAGCTTATATTAATAAATTTAATAGCCAATTAACATAAATGAACTTAATATTTTTGAAAACGAAAATTTAATCACTTTAGAATCCCTAAAAAATTGGTTATAAACTATTGAAAGAGAAATTGATGACTAAGTTTTAGAAAAATTTCTTATTATAATTGATGGTAATCCAAACAATCTATAAAATTTAATTGATTAAATCTAACAATAATAAATTGAATAGCCAAATAGTTAACCTGATGAATCTATTAAAAAGTCCTAAGAATAAATAAGAGAATAACCTTAATAAGAATAAACTGATGTTCAAGATATTAAATAGTCTTAAGAAGATTTACAAAAAAGCTATGTCTAAAATTAAAATCAAGAATAAAGTAATTAAAAAACAGAATAGCAATAAGATCAAATAGCTTAATCAAAATTATTATTAGATAGTCAGCCTTATTCTACTATTAATCCATTATTAAACTATTATGAATAGTAAATTAGAGAAGAAGAATTTAAAATTAAACAATTATGTGATGAATTAAATATTCCAAATATTTATACATAAAAAAGGGATGAATCATTATTGATTAAATATTATGAAAAAGAAATTGCTAGGGAATAAGAAATTTTAAACAATTTATCATTAGAATCAAGGCTTTCAGATACTCAATCTAGATATAAAAAATCAACTTTCACTCCTGATCCATTATATCTAGATCAATATTAAAATGAAATCATTCGAATTAATGATGAAATAAGAAAAGAAGCAAATAATTTGAGCTTGCTCTAATCCAAAATAGAGATTGAATCAAAATATGGTTTTACCAATAGATTGTAAAATAGTTTTTTAATGTAAATTTTGTATCTATATCAAAGGTAAGGAAGTCCAACTAAATTTTAAGAATCTTACCTTTGTAACAATTTCTCAGGAGAGAAGGTATATATTGAAAAATTATATTTTAGAGATAATTTTGTTCTAAATGAATTATTACATAATTGTTATCAATAATTTATAATATAATTCTCAAATTTAAATCAATATAATTATTAATTATTTTTTTGATAATCATATTTATTATATTGTTAGGTTTTTGCATTATTATTGTTGGAATTATTATTTTTTTTTTTACTTGCATTGTTTTGCTAATTATTTATTTGTTAATTTTGTTACTACTAAAATTAATTATTAATAATTTATTAATATTAATATTGATATGCATTTATTTATTAATTTTAAAAGCTATTTACATTAAATGCATTCATTTATTATAATTGCTATAGATTATTTAATTAAATATTGTTAATTTTAGTTTTCAGTGTTAATGGATCCATTGCACTTTTTGGATCTAATAATTTTTTTTCAATTTAATCCAAATTAATTAAATATTATTCAAGTGTAATCCATTTACCAGGGAATTCCCAAGAAATATTTAATTTAGCTTTTAAATATTTGTGTTCAAACCATTAATCCATATTTTCTGTAGTAAATCCACCTTAAATCTAACATTTAATATATAAAGGATATTTACTTTTCCGAAATTATCAATATAATACCATAAAGATTCTTAAGAAGATCTTGCATGTAATTAGGCTTATATTGAAAATGGAGCTGTTTTAATTTTTTCCCTTGATATTTTAAATGTATGCTGTGAAGGTACTTGGGGTTATCTTTGAATATGGATTCCCATTTCTTCTAATTATTCAAAAAAATCATCTGTTTCATTGTTATTGAAATTACTAAAATAATTTTCAGTTTTTTCTTTTGGCTATTCAACTTTGATGACATTTTTTATTTGATTTTAAGAAGCTAATACTTATTTTTCAACCTCTTCTACTGATAATACTTTTGAATTGATTTAGTTATTTTGAAGCTTTGGTTATTCTTATTCTGAAAAATGAAATAATTCTTATAGTTTTGCTTTGGTTTCATTAGCAACTTATAATTCTTTTTCCTCTTATTCTCTTAATTATCTATACTTTTCTTTGGCTTATTGAAGTTCTGATAATTCTTCTTAATTTATTTCATTTTATTTTTTTGATTTTTGTTCTTATTTTTTTTCAAATGTTCCATGCTATTTTTAATATTCAATTCTCTTTTTTTCAATTTCATTTTCAATATCTATAATCTAAAAATTTTCATTAGATTGCATCCATTAAGGTTCATCTTCATCACTAATGTTAAATAATGTTTAAGTTGAAATTAAAGGTTTTTAAGATACTTTAGTAAAAAGATGAGGAATTTTTTCTATAAATTCCTCTATATCTTTTGGAGGTTAAAGTAATTCATGAAAAGCTGAAATTAATGTCTAAGAATCATAAATTTTATTTTATGGTTGATTAATTTAAGCTCTTGCTGAATAAAATTATTTTGATAAATACCTATAACAGGTTAAGATGACGTATTTTGACTATTCTATTATTTTTCTTATGAATTGTTTCTTCTATTGTATTTATTTTATTTTTTTTAATGTTATCCATTTTTATCATCAAAGTTTTGATTATTATTCATCTAATAATAAAATCATTTATAATTACTCTTCGATAAGTTTGTCCTTGGCTTTTTTGATTTTATGAGTCTTTGCATATATAAGAGAGTTGTTATTGCTATTATTTTGACATTAGTAAATAATTAAAATTAATATATTAGAAGAAGCTTATTAATAATTAATCATTTAGGATGAAATGGAAATATTTTGGATAAATGTTAGCTTTAAATTTGATGAAGTTTTATTTATAGTTTTTTTTTTGGTCTATATCCTAATTTGTAAAGGACTTTTAATTTAAAAATTTTTTCATTTTGATTCAATTCATCTATTCTGTCTAAAGAATGTATCTAACTCCGTTTAGTAAGAATTTTTCCTGATTCAAAGTTATTTATATAAGGTTTCAATGCTTTAATGTGATTATTTACTGATTGATTAATATAAGTGTCATCCTCTAAAACTTCTGTCTTTATAATCCTTCTTGGATTATTGATAATTTATTTTTAATAATTTATCAATGATTAAATCTTATCACAATATGAAGCATCATAACTTATTGATCGATGTTATTATCTAAAATTATTGCTATAATTTTCAGTATTGACATTAGAATATGATCTAATTTCTCTATGTTTAAAAGGTTCATTTATATTTGAATATAAATTATTAATTTGTTATTCTCGATAGATATATAACTTATTCTTGCTTAGTTATTATTAATAATAAAATAGATTATCTGCTGATATTTTGATGTGATGATCTTTTAAAATTTAAGATATTTAATCTAATTTTAAAGAATACAATTATCCTTGATATGAATGACAAGAAACCGAATATTTATAATATCCTCTTGGTTCTATATCTAGATGTTCAATACCAAAAGTTTCACCTTTTTCTAACAAACAAATTTCAAATTATTTCCATTTCCTTAGATAAGAAAATACTGGATTTTAGCACAATATCCTTTTACTCATCTCTATATATTAATTTATTTGGTTACTTTAAATTCTCCACTTTTTATGATGAATAAATGTGTCATCAGTTCACTTTCTATGAAAACACTCTAATTTTTAATAAATTATAAGACAGTAACAGAATCAATAATAGCTTTAAGAATATCATTATGCAATTTGCTAAAGGCAGGATGATTACGAAAAGAATTGTATTTATCTTAATACTCTTATTTTTGTTTAATAAATTGCATTTATTTATTATAATAATTTATAGTATTTGTTGTTTAATTTCAGAGTGAAATTTGGTAAAATGTTAGTGGCCTTATTTATAAATCTTTTATATTTAGCGCAAAAAATTAATAATTTCTCTATCATAAAGGATAATGGAAAGTGAAACAAGTCCAAAGATTTTAAGCTTTCGTACTAATAGTAACGTCAATACTTTAAATTCAGATCTCATACGTACAAATCATAGTCATTATGAATCTACAATATTAAAAACTAAAGAGTATATTATAATTTAATTATCATAGAAAAAATAAGAAGATACATTAATTGGTTGAAGGAGTATTTTCAGAAAATAGTGATAGAAATAATTATGATTCAACAAGCAATACAAGTTGTTTAAGCAATTTCTCATTATTCAAACCTAAATAAAACTAAAAGGATTTTGAAAACTAATTCACTTTTGTTAGCCAAGAGGATTCAATTAACTAATAAAAATCATATAAAAAATAATCGAAATAAAATAATTTATCACGATTATCAATATCTAACAAAATAAATCCTAGAACATAAAGTTCATCATCAATTAAAGAATAAATTCAAGAGGAAAAATATTGTAGTATTTGTGGTCAAGCTGATTAATATTCCAATTTTATCAGACCTTGCCTTTGTAAATCAAAACAACATATTCATCAATAATGTGAATAGAGAGAATTTTGTGAAAAGTATATAGACAATTAATTTTACAAAATAACAAAACCATTGTAATGTGAAAAATGCCATTTTAATTTTGTAATAAAATCTTACAAAGATATTAATTTCTTTAATGCTTTTAAAGATCCAATCAAACATCGAAAAGTCTTAATGTATTTATCAATCATTTTAACAATGTTGGTTTTTATTATAACTTTGATAATGCTGTCTATTTTAAATAGAATGGAATTTAGATATCATATTGAATATATAGCAGGTGTTATACTTGTTTGTCTTATTTTTATTGGTATCATTATAATAGTCATTTAAAATATGTTTGAATATATTTCTAATGTAATTAAATATTTAAAATATAGTTTACTTGGTTTATTTTAGATAGAGAACAAGGAAAAATAAATGATAATGGAATCAGAATGAATCTTTAGTCATTAAATGATGCTTTAGAAATTCAATTCAAAAAAAAAAAATAAATTTTATAAGTGATGGATAATATGACATTACAAACTGTACATTTTGAACTTCCAATATAAAATCCAAAAGAAATAAAATGATTTACTTTTTGATTATTTATTTAAATACCTATTTCTAATAATAATAATGTTATCAACTAAATTCACTTTATACTTTTCTTCTATTTATCAAGTATTAGATCTTTGTAATTTTTCATTATTATAAGTATATCTGCTTCTAAATAAGTTTATTATTCTTTGATTGATAATATTTAATCATTATGCATATTTTAAAGTTTGTTAATCGCAGCTATTGTTGATTCCAATTAAATGAAGGGTATTTTTGAATCGTCTGATAGTCTGTTTATTTCCTATTAATGATTGCTACAATAATTAAAACTAATACTTAATTTAAGCTGTAAGCTATTAAAATTTATTTAGAAATTCTTTATAGTATTCACTATAGTTATTAAAATTTTCAGAATATTTATCCATTGATTTAGAATTTTGTAATAATCTTATTTCAGCATCCTTTAAAGCAGATTAAACTTACTATTCTAGTTTTTTGAAAGAGATTTCTTCTTTTTAAAGTAATTTTTAAAATTAATCTTGAAATTGAATAAGTTTCTTTTCGAATAGGTTTAATTTAGAGAAAGTAGTTTCTTCAGTTATTTTATTTTTTCTTTGTTTTAAATTAGAAGGGTTGTTATTAGATTAAGATAATTACTCATCATAATTATTAGTACAAGTTGATCTTGATCTACTTGGTTTATGAAATTTGACACCAGTATCCCTAACAGATTGATCATCAATCATTTCTGAAATTTGACTATCTAATCGTTTATATTCTTATGATAAATTGTCTTCTCTTAGAATAGGATTGCGATATTATTAACTTTTGAATTGATCTATATGAAAAGAAAATTTATTAAAATTATCTTTGTTATCTAGTCTGGTTTCAAGTTCTAAGAGTTTATCTTCAATGTTTTTGAGAATAGAACGAAATAATTAATTACTAACAAATTATTCATTACCGGTAATATTTGCATCATAATATAAGGAAATACCTAATTAATTATAAAATGAGTGTTGGATATCTTCTCGTTCAAATCTGTTTATATTTGATTATGATTTGATTTTATATTATTCATTTTCATTCTTTAAAACTAAGTCTAACAATGTTAATGATTTATTTTAGTATTTGTGGGTTTGCATTATAAATAAAATAATATTTTAACTATTCAGATATATTAATAAAAATTCATGATAGTTTTGTTGGTGATAACAAAATTTTATTTTCTTTTCTGACATAGAATATTATCAATTTAACTATTTAATTAAGTAATATGTAATTAATTTTGATTAAGACTTTCATTAGGTTAAACAATTTCAAGGGAGCCATCTAATTAAATGAAATATAATACTTTGCATAACAATATAAACTTTGAGATTATTATCTAATGATAAATAAAGTGGGAAATCATTTAAATTAACAAGTAAAATAATTTATTTCTTGTTATAATTTCTTCCATATAAATATTATAAGGTATTGAGAATTGCAAAATATACATTATCAAATCCTTAAGCAGGTATAATTTAAGTTTGAGCATCAACTGATGAGTAAAGTGTTTATGTATCTTTTTGAGATTGTTCGTTATCTAAATTGCCATGTGGATTAGCTAAGAAATTTACCTAATCAAAGAGAGTAAAAGCAAAAGGATATTGTCTAGTTGAATTATAATCAACTTATAAAGTTGAAACGATTCCAGTGTCTTTTTCAATTGTAAAGATCACTCTTTTTTCACATTATTCTACTAATTAAATAACATTTGGTAATTCTAATGCTTTTATATATCTTATAATATATTCTTGATTTTTATACAGATGTTCCAAAAAGAAAAGTTAACCACTTTCATCTAAAACAAACTTTCCTGGTATTGAGTCAAAGATTCCAAATACACAGGATATTATCTTATCTGGTCCTCCTTTACCTATATGATAGTATTAATCATAGATATCTAATCTATCAATATTTATAGTCTTGATTTAACCAAATTCTTGAATAAATACAATCTGTTTTATTTGAGCATCATAAAAAAACTAAACAATTTCTTTCTCCCATTAATGTTCAATTAATAATTCAGCTGTGTCCATTCTCCATAATTTTACAATACCTTAATTGAATGTTGTTACCAGAATGTTATCTTCAAATAATTTACATAATTTAATTTCTATTTCACTTTAATCACTATTTGAAGCATTCAATAGGAAATATTATTTTGTTGTAAATGATATCAAATATATATTTCCATTACTTAATCCAAAAATACCTTAAGTATAAAAGGGATCTAATACATACGATGATACCATTCCAGGTAATTAGATCCTTTAAAATGCAAACCCTGATTCCAGAAAAGATTATTAATTTAAATTAGATTTGATATCCATTACAAAAAATGAACTCTCACTGCTACCTAAAATTATCTTCCCTGCAGCTTAACTCACTTTTAGATAAGTGATTTCTGCATTTGTTATTTATTTTCTATATATTGATTTAAATTCTCCATATTTTACTATTACTATTTCCCCTGTTTTCAATCCTAATATAAGTAATTAAATTATTTAACTTTTATTTTATTATTATTATTATTGTTATTATTATTATTATTATTATTGTTATTACTATTATTTAATTGATTCTTATGATAATTCTTATTATAATTAAGGAAAAGACATTTAATTTTTAGACCCTTCTTCAAAAAGAATTTCTTCTGTTTTTACAGTTTATGATTATTAACTATTATCAAAAGATACTCTCTCTGATAAATTCAAAGATTATGATGTCTATTTATTTTTATACCCTTCATACACTACATAATCAAAAGTAGTAATTTCTTCAAGTTCATTAGTATTAATATTTTTAGGTAAGAAAACATCATAATATTCTAATTTATAATCTTTGGTAAATGCCCATAAATATATTTGATCTCTACCAACAGTAGCAAATTCAAAAATTCGTTCTTTCGAAAATGTATATTTTGAAATTTTGATATCATTTATTCTATCTAAAGTATATGATGAAGTAATTAATTTTTTAGAAATGAAATCCCAAACTACAACTGTGCACTCTTTACCATTTCCAACTGAAACAAGGTATTTTTCATCTTCAGTAAAAAGAATTTAATGAACCCCTTAAGTATGAAAATTAAGCTAAGCAATTTATTTAAATCCCAATTAACTAGCATTATTTTATATTTCATAAATGTATATTGGAGCAGCATCCTATACCTTTTATGCCAGTCCAACAATCAAATGCTTTTCGGTTTTATTAAGATATATAACACTTACAATAGCATTAAAGCTTAAAATTAATTATTCTCTTTCCTATTGTAATTTTTCAAAGATAACATAATTTTATGATGTATAAGCATACCAACCATAAGATTAACACCAAATAAGATTATCATGTGTTTTTGTATTATAACCTATCATATATTTGCATTATAAAGTAGGTTATTAAGATTGTCCCTTAGATTATGGTACAATATATTATCTAAAAGGTAATTAAGTTGATGAATTATATTATTTATTTTATTATTTTTTGAGTTGGCTTCTAGATCTTTTTCTATTGAGGATTTATCTTTCAAATTCAAAAGTGATCGGTTTAAAATCTTATTATAATCTTGATGGTTTAAAATGATCAGGCTTGAATGGTGTGTTAACATTTTTATTAGCTAATCCTTAATCCTCTTCTTATTCTTCTTTTTATGGTAATTGTCTAACTAAACTAAACATTTCCACTAATTAACTTTATTGAAATGTATGAAGATGGGCATCTTTGTTAGGTTATATATTTTCATTGTTTTCTTAAAGATCATAATAATCATCTAATTTTTCATTTTATTCATCTTATTATTCTTATTAATCAAATTAATCTGGTTACATATCAATTTTAGTACATTATTGAACTAATTATTCTTATTCCATTCTAATCAATCTTTCATTTTTACCAGTATATCCAAGAAATTTCCAAATAAAAATTCCTTCTTCTCCACCTGCAGTAATAATTGTACTACCATTATCAGCACAATCAATAGAATTAATTTATGATGAATGACCTATAAAAACTTAACAAGATCCTGGTCCTTTTATTTAAAATTCATAGTCCCAAACCTTTAAATATTATTCAGCACCTACAGAAAATAGGTATTTCATATTAGGTGAGACTACAAAATCATTTAATGATTATTTATGCATAAATGTTTATTCCCTAAGATAATATGCAGTGATTGTTTCATTAATTCTTTCAATTCCATAAATAATAATCCTACCATCAGAAGTTCCACATAATAATTCTACATTATTTTCAGCCCATTTAAATATTTTTAAATTGAATCTAGTTTAAATCTTTAAAATTTATTATAATGATGATGTATCCCATAATTCAATATTTGTAGAATTCTCAATTAATGATAATATTGCAGAATCTTTTGAGAATTATCCACAAACATTCTAAGATTGTATAGAATGTTGAATAGTCTTAATAGGTTAATAATCTCTACTAACATCATAAATTTTATAAATAGATTTGGCATCTCCAATTATTAACTACTAACCATTTGGACTATATTATATACATTTAATTTCTAAATCATGATATTTTCCTTCAAAAAGAATAGATGTTTATTCAATATCAAATATTCTATGAACTCCAGATTTGAATCCAGCTGCAAAATACATTCCAATTGGAGATGAAGATAAACAGACACATTTATCATCTTATGGAAATGTAAACTCATATACTTAATCTAATTTCTCAATATCCCATAATCTAATAGTGCAATCTTCTGATAATGTTATTAATAATTTTGAAAAAGAATGCATTTAAATTTAATTAATAACATTAGTATGTGATCTAATAACAGTTTTGTAATGATGACTACTAATATCTAAAATACCTAATCCTCCTGTTGAAGTTCCACATGCTACTTATAAACCATCAATAGATATATCTAATGAAGTAATTATTCCTTCATGTTTAGCTTCAATATAAAATTCATTGAAATCTAAAGGCCAAACTCTTAAAAATTAATCTAAACTCCCAGTAATACAAAAACCAGCTGATAAACAAACTGCTGTAACTGCATCATTGTGTACTTTATATACTTACATTAATTTCTAACTTTAATAAGCTACTTAAAATAAATATCCATTTTTAGATCCAAAATAAATATTACTTACATTTTAATCTTCATAATTAAATTCAAAATCAAAGTTAGTAAATGTAGTATTTCTAGCATGATGATTTAATACAACACTCGCTCCTGGTAAATGCTCTTCCTTAATTCTCCAAAATCTTATATTCTCATGTCCACATGATAATATTTTATTATTATCAACAGGAGAAAACTTGATAGCTATTACATTACATGAACTAGTTTATTTAGCAAATAGAATAGGTTTTCTATTAGATTCTATTTTTTCTAATCCCCAAACAATAATAATCTCTCGATTGTGTTCATCCTATCCAACAGTAACTAACATTTTACGATCTTAACTAAATGAAATATAATTTAAATTAGAATAAGGAGTAGCAAATGCACTCAAACAATCACAATTATTTTTCCATATTCTAATAATTGCATTCTTTCCACTCTATCCACTTACTAACCATTCTCCATCTTTACTAACATCTAAACAACATATTGCCTTAGAGTGTCCCATAAAGAATTTTTATTTGCCATCTTAAATATTACTTTAAACTAATAATTATCCAGCTGCATAAGTTATTTACTTCTAAGTTTCTGTTTATCTTCCCCATTTAATATCTGGACAAGAATTAACTGTAAAACCTATAATCCTTTCTAATTATTGAATTGGATAAGGTTAAAGTGGATGATCTTATGCATCTACTGATTTACTTTATGCTACATTCTAATCTCCTGGTCTCTTTTTTACTAATTCCTCTATTTATTATGTATTATGTTATATTTAATTCTATTTAAATGATTTCTATGTTTCCTATTTGAATTTCTCTTTGTTCTCTTATATTTTCTATAGATTATCCAAAATATCAGCTGTTACTTCTACTAAAGGTTACTTAAAAACATGTTGTTATACATCCAATGTTGGCCAATATGCAATCTAGTATTCTTCAGTCCATTTCTATCCTTTGGATAATTTAAATAACATTTATTTTGGCATAGTTTCCCAATCATAAAGATTGTCACTTGTATAAATTCCTCTTATGTTCATTGAACTGCATATTTAAAATGACTTTAATGAGTGAATTCCTTTAAATGATTTATACAAACTATTTGGTAATAATCCAAAATTGCCTAAAAAGTATTCAACATCTAAAATTAATATAGTCCATTTGTTTGGAGCATTCTTTGGATATGGAATCAATAATTAAGATTATTAAACCTATTTATAATTAAATATTGATGATACATACTTTATGAACATCATACATATTTGATACTGTTAATTTAATTAAAGGATCTCTATCTTTTATTTGCAGATCAAAATGCATTGTAAAATATCTTCCCTTTATTGGAATGAATTCTATATAAATATATCGACCAGTTAATCCTAATTGTTTAATTCCTTAACATGGATCTGGAATCTAAACCATATTATTTGCTGATATAGCTCCCAATAATCTTATTATCTTTCTACCTATTGAATTATCCTAACAATTAATTTACAACAAATACTTAAACTACTGAAACCTATCCTTTAGACTATGTATGTGCTATCTCAAATACACCGAATTACTTGAAAACATCAACGAATGGATGTTACCAATTCATTTATTCAAATTCAAATATTATTTATTTATAAATTTTAAGTTATTATATATATATGTATATAAATATTTGTTTATTATTATTTCATATGTTCCATTATCAATTATCAATTTAATATTTGTAATAATATCCAATTAAATCATGACATTATTCAAATACATTTCCACTTATTTTCTTTTTCAATGGACAGACCAACAATCGAATAACTATTCAAAATCATATTTGAAATCAATAAAGACTAGCATTTCATTTTCTGTCATGCCTGTTAATTAAAATTTCCTATTGTAGAACCAGAATAAGCAACTTAATATATACATCACTTCTCTAAAGATCATGTTTATAACCTTTCAATTCTTGCTACTAAAGAAATTATGAAATCTAAAGAAGCTGCAAAAAAAGATAATCCAATTTCCTAAGTTATTCCTTTATTCGATTTAGAAAAAGCACTCCACATCTAATAATAATAATCTAAAAATGGTAATCTCTATATTCATATATTTTAGTACTTCATTAATATCTAAAAGATTGTATTGTTAAATTACCAAGCATTTATGATTAACTTGAACTCAATAACTTAGAAGCATATATGAGTACTCTTCGAAGATTATATTTGCATTTACTTAATCATAATACTTCTATTCTTACTACTGAACTTTGTTTCTCATTTGTCGAAATCTATAAAACTGATAAAGACCTTTAGTTAATTAGAAAAATTGTTAAAGCTTTTAATTTCCCATTAAATCAAAATTAAATACTTATCCTTAATCCTCATAAATTAACCTCTCCTAACTTATATCTTGATTTATTTGTTGAATTTTATTAAATCTTTATCAATGACTTAATGGATTTAGGTTTATCTAAAGAATGTCTTATTTATCATCTTGCAAAAATTGGAACACCAATCAACAAAATTATTGATTTAAAACTTTATGAAATTAAAGATAAAATTGATGATCTCATTAATAAAGGAATTAATGAAGAATAAAATATTTTCTTTTTAACAATTATTGAAAAATTAGAACGTTACGAAACACTTAATAGTCATTCTTATATATTTTCTAAATGGAATACAGAATCTTAATTAAGAAAATGGCTTAGATAAATTAGAAATCGTATTAGAGATTCAACTACTGATGAAAAATACAAAAGTTTCTTAGCAACTGCTTCTCTTCAATAAATTCAACATTGGAATAAGATTCAAATTTAAAATGAGAAGAATTCCACTAAAGATATGATTTCTATCTTAGAAACAATTAATCAAAATAAAAATTAATCAAAAAAAAAAATTAAATTATCAAATGAATAAAGTAATATCATTCATAAAAATTAATCAAATTATGTTTAATTAGAAAGATAAACTTAGGAAGAAACAGAAAAAAATGGATTCAATATCAATTTTATTGAATTACAATCTGAGAGTTATTCGGAACAAGACTCAAATAATATATAAATTAAAAATATTATACAAAAAAATCCTATAAAAAAAAACTTGTGCCTAACTATAAATTAAGATGAGAGTCTGGATAATTAAAAATAAAAAGCTTATCTAAAAAAGACATCTAAAAGATGAAATTATTATATGTTTAAAACATAAAATTACATGATTATTTTAAATAAATTATTCTATTGAACTAAGGGATGATTAAATAAATGATTTATGTTCATTTGATATATTCATAATTATATTAATTAACATTTTAAATCAAAAATGAAATAATATGGAAATTTATATTAATAAAAAATATAATAATAATGAGTCAATCTAATGTTGGATAACAATAATAAAAGACAGTTATTTGTAATAACACAGAAGTTTAGTTGATGGTGCCATAGCAGCCATAAAATATTTAATTTACAAGACAACCACACATAGTTTATTGTACTAATTGTAACAATCAAATTTAAACACATGTTTAACTTAAAGTTGGTAAAGGTCAATTAATGATGGCGTTAATTATGTTGCCTAAATTGCTTTTGTAATGATATGAATCATTAAGTATGTTAGTGCTTGCGTAATTCCATTATTGATGGATGATTGTCGAGATGCAGTTCATTTGTGTCCAGTTTGTAAAGCTGAAGTAGGAAGAAAGAATTTCATCTTTGAATGATTTATGCAATAATGAAAATCAACTTAATAAATATATTTTAATTATTTTATCAAAAACTACGACATGATAGGGAATCTTATGAGTTAGGAAAGCTATCCAAATCAAATTTTATAATAATAAATTTAATTATAGAATGTCTATCACAGTTTTGATGGAACAGAGTCAAGAATAAGAGTATATATATAAATATTTAATTATATAGATGGATCATATTTTAAAAGTATAATCCTAGTTTATCAAATGTTTAAATAATCTTATACGTCATTAAAATAATAAGAAAAAATCAAATACAATAGTATTACCTTATTAAGGAACTAATTTATATGTATGATATTTTATAAATTTATTAAGGTGCACTTTAAAGATGAAATAAATCTTAAAAAGGCTAAGGTCTTAGAATCTACTGATAGTACTTTTGGTTAGTTTTCTTTATTCAACACTTAGATTCCATTTATACCTTGTATTACAATAATGATATTTAGTTCCATACTAAAATATAGCTCCTCATTATTCTTAAGAAATGACATTTTAAAGAATGAATCCTATAATGCAAAGTCAGGATAGATATATAGCTTAGCCTAAACAAGTTCACTAATAAGCTAATCATTTTAAAAAGAAAGATTAATTTTTAATTTTTTCAAATAAGGCTGAAGAATCACAATCAGTAAATTCAGATGAGTAAGATTTTGAGGAGAAGATGTCTGATAATTCATTTTAAATAAAGAAGAAGAAAAAAATAAGTAAGGTAAATGATACGAAAAACATAACCAAAAATTTTTCAAAGGCGATTATCAGTTATATTACTTAAAATAAAGATATTGGTTTGAAATTATTAGATGCAAGAGAATTTGAAGATTTTCTATAGATTTTGAAAGAGAAAAAGAATAAGATGACTAATATATAATAATTAAGAGAATTATGGATAGATAGTGATGAAGAAAAGTTAAAATAATTTAATAAGACGTTTAGAATTTTTAGGTAAATAGAGAAGATATAAAATAGTCAATATTTTTTAAGATAGCAATCTGTTGCATATATATATAATTCTCGAATAATGAACACAGGATGGCATTTAAAATATAGATATAATTTGCTTAGAGCGTTAAGAGAGCCTTAAAATTTCAAATACATAAAAGATATTTGATTTAAAAATTATAATCTATTAAATAAAGATCATAATTTAGCTTTAGGAACAATGCCATCACTTTTAATTTCTTGAATAGTAGTCACACCCATTAGTTGCATGGTAGAAATTAATTCAGACTATAAAATTTAAAACATTTTATTGAGTCCTTCTTTTCCACCAATGGCTGTACTATAAATAGCAGGTCTTCCAACAAATACACATTTAGCACCTAAAGCTAAACATTTATAAACATCAGTTCCATTCCTTACTCCACTATCTACATAAACCTCTAATTAACCAGCTGCTGCTGCTACTATTTCTGGTAACATATCTACTGTAGCTCTTACTGTATCTAATTATCTTCCACCATGATTTGAAACCCATATAGCATCAACTCCATGTTAGACTGCTAATTTTGCATCTTCTCCACATTAAATTCCTTTCAAAATTATTGGAACCTTAGTAATTGATCTTAACCATTTAATATCATTCCAATTAACTTTTTAATCTAATTATTCAGCAAAAAATTTTAGTAATCCTGATCCTTAATTATTTGCTACTGACTAAAGTTAAATGTTTGCCTCTTTTGCTAATTCTTCCAAAATCTCTAATTTCAAGTGAGGAGGTAACACAAATCTTATATATCTATAATAAAATACCTTTATTTTTCATCAGCTTCTCTCTTACCTAATATTGGAGCATCTACTGTTAATACTAAACCTTTAAATCCTTCTTTCTCTGCTTTTCTAACTAATGCTTCTGTCAATGATCTATTTTTTTGTATATACAATTATTAGAATCTCAACCCATCTTTATTATGTCTAGCTACTTCAGATTAAGATAAAGTTGATAAAGTAGTTAATGTAAATGGTACCTTCCATTAATGAGCTTATGATGCAGTTACTTCCTCACCTAAAGGATGAGCCTTTTTATATTATTATCTATACTAATTTCAACATAGCTACTGGTGCTAAACCTATTGGTAAATCAATATCATGACCCAATATTTTGGTTTTTGTACAAATTTTAGATACATCTCTTAACACTCTTGGGTTCAAGTAAATCCTCTAAAATGCATCTATATTCTCTCTTTTTGTAATTTCTTCATTTGCTCCTGATCTATAGTATTAATATGCATTTGAATCTAATTTTACTGATGCTAATTATTCCAATTCTCTTAAAGAAATAAAATTTGTTGTCATTAATTTTTTTGTTTTTATTTAATTTATAATACATTTTACACAACTGAATTTATTAAATTTCAAGTATTTATTTTATTAATTAATCAAAGAAAATCATGCCAATAAAATTATATATCTAGTGCCAGTCTTAATCTTTATTAAGCTAATTTGATTTTATTTAAATAAATAATTAATTCTATATTCAATTGTATTTAAAATAAAAAATAATTGATACCATTTAATAATATATTCAAATTCATGTTAATGATTATAATTATGTTACAATTTGAAGAAATTATTTAACTCTTATGTAATTAACTTTATGTTTAAAATAATTAAAAATGAAAACATTGCTTTTCTATAAAAAATTGCGTTTTCATTTCCCTATTCCAAAATTGTTTTTGCTTTTGATTCTTTTATCTTATCAGACTAACAACAATAAATTAGTTAATTGACAGCCAGAAAAGAATGAGAGTAAAAAAGTTCTTTTCATATACCTATAAAATTAAATGAAATCTTTAATATGTGAAAAGTAAATAATAATTTTAGCAATCATTAAATTTATAAACGATAATTAAATGCTTTCATAAAACAGTAGTAGATATCTTTTAGAGAATAAAATGGGACCAGTGTTGCGACATGATCCTCATCCATTTAAAAGTTATGAAAAAGATAGATCACCATCAAGACTATCGATAGAATCTGAGCAGTAGCTTAAGATAAATAATAATGAAGGTATAAAGATGAGTGTACACGAGAGTGCAGATAAAAAGAAAAATATAAATTTTAATATTGCTAGGAGGAAATCCACAAAGTCTCAATAAGTAAAGGTATTGTAAATAGTAATAGTTAAATAAGCGGAAATCAGATTAAGGTAGAAAATTTGAAGGATTGTCAATTTTAAGAACTATGTAGCAGAATTAACTTATTTAAAAGTTTACAAATACTTTGTTCATGAAATCATATATTTTATCTGAACATAATAAATACCTTTTGAATTAAGAAAGTTATTTGTAATCTAAGGTTGATAAAACAAAAAACTAAAGTATAAATATTGTGATAATAAACAGATTAAAATTAATATATTACAACAAATATATTTGCACCTGGAAGCTAATTAGTGCTTGTATGGGATGTGAGTGCAACATTTTTTCATTGTTTTAGTTTATGGCTTTGTCCATTTGTATCATCATTTATAAAAGATAATAGTTATAATGCAGCAGAGATGTTTTTAATAATTCATATAATAATTGATATTATAATCAATTTGAACAGACCTATAATGATCTAAGGAGAAATAATTTTTGATAAATTGGAAATTATATAACATTACTTTAAAGGATAATTACTGGAAGATCTCATAAGTTTAACGATGTGGTTTTTAATGTATTTTGATTTTAATTAAATACCTGTGACTAATGAGATAATAGCAATAATACTTTTAACAATAACAATTTTAAAGGTGAAACGAAATTACGAAAATTTTATAGAATCTCTATATTTATAAGGAGCTGTAAATTAATTGGTAGATTTAATAACATTAATAGTGATGATATATTTCTTTGCACATTTAATGGCATGTGTATTTCATCATGTAGGTGATATAACAAGTGATACTGAGAATTGTTGGTTGATTCATTATAATTTATTACAAAAGCCAATATCGGTTAAATATAATCATTCATTTTATTGGGCTACTATGACTATGGTAACTGTAGGATATGGAGATATTACTCCACAAAATGAAGCAGAATTAGTGACAGTTAATTTATTAATGCTTTTATCAAGTTGTATGTTTGGTTATTCAATGAGTTCTATTGGAATGATTTTAAAGAGTATTCAAGATGCTAAATACAAATGTAAAAGATCACTTATTCTAATGAACTCTTATATGAGATAAAGTCAAGTTGATTAATAGATTTAAAGTAGAGTGAGAGATTTTATCAAGTATCAACTAGAAATGGAATCTAAAGAAAATAATGAAGATGTTAATCAAATTATAAATGATTTACCTAATTAATTAAAGTAAGAATTATAAACAAATATTTAAATGAACATTATGTAAAAAATCAAGATTATTACAACTCAGTTCACAAAATAAACTTAATCAGAAGTATCTTAAAATCTTGTACAATTTAAATTTACTCCTGGAGATTATATTTATCACCAAGAATAAATAGACAATAATTTGTATATATTTTTAATTTATTATTATTTAGATATTATATTAAAGAAGGATAAATTTAAATTACTGAAGAAAAGAGTGGAAAAGTCTTATAAATAATTAAATCTTCTAGTACCTTTGGAGAATACTAATTTTTTACAGGTCTTTCTACTAAGACTTGTGCTTAAAGTATAGGATTCTCTGAAATTTATTAAATTAAAAGAGAAATCTTTCTTAAGATCATAAGGTCTTGCAATAAAGATTTTGAAAGGTTTCATAATATCAAAGATAATTTGATTATTAATTCAAATTATTATGTTATCTTATAATGTTGCAATTTCTGTAAGTTATATACTCATTTAAATATTGATTGTCCATTACTCAACTACAAACCAGATGTTTAAATTCTATCTATAAGAGAATAAAGGAAATATCCGTTTCATCATAGGAAAACATTTGTAAGAATGGGTGATAAAATAAAATCTTTATCTATCTAATAATAAATAAATAATGCAGTTGAAGACTTTTTGGAGAAATAGAGTTCATTTCATGAAGTAATTAGAGAAATTCAAAAGCATTCTGAAGAAAGTCCAAATACTTAACAATAATAAATGATTTAAATTGAAATCAAAAGCAGTGAAGATTAACCTATTGAAAATTAAGGATCTCATATACATCCTTCAACTACTTCAAATACGACTACTACTGGACCTCCACCATTAGCTATGATGAGAGTAAAATCTAGTAGATATGTTTTCAATTAATAATCAAAAGGGTCTCATCCTAAAAATTATTTTGTTATGGGGGGAAATAATAATAAAATTACTAAAGAACTTATATTCAAAGAAAACTCATTTATTTACTATCTTTATTTTATTTATTAGTTTCACTCCAATGAAATAGATCAAATGAAAGAGTATCAGACTTACATGCCTTAAAATAATTGTTCAAATTCTATCAAATTAAGAGAAAAATATCTTGACAAAAAACAAGCTGCCAGATAAGCAATTGATATTAATGGTTTATCCAAAACTTACATTTCTATTAGACAAAGAGACTTACTCTCATCTTAAATTATCTAGCCTCACTGTTGAAATAAAATACATTTTGAATAAATCAATCAATAATAATCTATTTACTTAAATAATAATTTTTATAAATAATTTATTCACATAGTATAATTGTATTTAAGAAATCATAACTTTCTCCCTAATCTTCTTATATCAAATATTTTAACGATTATTCCTCTTCAAATATTTAATAAGAAAGTGTACGAAATTAAGAAGAAATACTCAGCTAAATATCAGTGAATCTCATTAAGATATTACATAATAATTACATCCATTAATTTATTTATAACTAATATAACATTAAATAGAAGAACATCTTTAGCTGAATAAAATAAAATCATTCAAAAATTCAAAAAAAAACTATTATAATTTTCATACTTCATACTGTAAAAATTTAAGAATTCCTTTTAATTTATTGAAAATTATTTACAGAAGGATAACTCAAAAAAACTTCAGGTATTTATTACATTATTATATAGTTTAGATCCTCAAGAAAAATTAAAATAATATTATATTTCCTTCTAAATTTTTAATATTCTTTTACTTTTTATTTCTCTCTGGATTTGTGCTCTTATTGTATTATTAATTAAATTAACTTAACTTAAAGATACTTTTTGAGATTAAATTTGAATAATTGAATTTTAATATTAATTATTTAAACAATTTTTCTCTGAGTATTTTTTATTTGTTTTATATGTAATTCTTCTTAAGGATTAAAATAATTTATTTCTTTCAATATTTCGAATTATTAGAAAAAATTATCATTATAATAATATCCAAATTAAAATTAATGATATATAAGAATATAATATCATTTCAAAATGAAATCTATTTTTAATTTTTTGATTATTTATTTATAACTATCAATGTCTTTGAAATAATTATTTCACTAAATAAAGAAATTTATTTTGAAGATTAAATAATTAACATTCGATATGATATTTTTAATAGATACTTTAAAAAGTCATCGATTTTGAGTGTGATCTTGATATTTATTTGGATTATTATATATTATAGAATAATAGAAGAAAAAAGTATCATTCAAGTGTTTGCAATCCATACTCAATGAATGCAATAAGAATTTTGCTGAAAGAATTTAATGACATCAAATAAATTTATAAGTATTACATCTGAATATTAAAGAAAATCAGTCATAATCATGAATTAATATATGAAATCTTATAATATTGATGAATAAATTTAAATTAAAGTGAGAAACAATCTCAAATATTTAATTTACAATTAAAAATCTTATAATAACGACGAAAATATATTAGTTAAAAAATTATCTAGAGGTCTATAATAAGAATTAAATGTAGATATTAGTGGAAAGATTATTAAAATTCTAAAATTATCATCTTGTAATTTAAGTAAATAAATTGTGCAAGTAATTCAAAACATGGTTTAAAATAGTATATTTTTCACATGGTAAATTTGTTTAAGAAGGAGAAAAAATTTTAAATGATGATGAATTGTTTTTGTAAAAATTATCATTTATCTAGATATTATATAATTAAGGGGAATGTAAGCTTTATTTTGAATACTACAAATTTGTTTATTTATACATTAGGATAATGGAGAAGCATCAAATATGAATTTTTACAGATTTTATGATTGGACAATAGATATTATAATAAAGATAAAATATAAAATTTTATTAAGTATCAACCTCATAATGATTTAAGACGTATTTTGATTTAAATAGAAGCTTAACATTGATGTATCAGAGATGTTGCTAAAGGTCCATTCAAAGGAGATAAGTATTTACTGTAAAATAGATAAGTCAAAAATAGAAAAATAATCATTGAAAATGAAGTTAATTAATTATAAACATTTGAAATATTAATATTTAATATATATGTTTGAAAGACACAGATTTTCCAGCTAACAAAAACTTCCAACCTTAGATTTAACATAAACAAATCGATTTTCAACAGAAGGAGTTAAAGTTAATGTAATGTATTTTAAACGAAATAGATTACAGTCTAATCAGGTGATGCTTAATTCGTTAGTTTTCGATCATTAAATGAGTTGAATCCAAAATTTGCTTTTCCAATGAACTCAATGGATTCTTCATAATAATAATTAAACTAAACAATATAGAATGATCTAACTTAAAATAAGAAAATGATCTTAATGTTAGGAAAAACTCTTTATAAATAAAAAAATGAATATTAAGAATATTAAGAACATATGATAGTAAAAATTTGATTTAAATTAGAAAAAAATAAGAAGTGTTGCTAGAATGTAAAAATAAGTCAAAAAAGTTCCACATCGAATTGAGACATTTAGTAATGATAAATCTTCTAACGTTATCTAATAATTTCCAAAAAAAAAGGTGAGTTTTCCTATGTATTTTAATGGAGCATATTTTTCTAAATAATCACATAGTTGGATACCTACGATCAGAGAAAATACAATGGCAGCAGATTACTAAAAAAAAATATATATTTTTGGTGGAATAGGGAGTGAAGTAATGGGTGATTTAATTGAATATGAAATATAAACAGGTAAATTTTAAGAAATTAAATAAAATGGAGATATTCCGCTTAATCGTTATGGTCATTGTTTGCATAGTATTGGTTATCCAATTAATTTATCAACATAATTTTCATATGACAATCAATAATATAGTTAGATTAATGGAAAATAACTTATAATGTACGGAGGAGAGATGCAATATAATGCAGCTTTAAGATTAAGAGAAAATCTGAGTGATACAAGAATTTTTGATTTAGAAACTTAAACTTGGTAATTATTAAAACCTAACATTGAAAACATACCTGAAAGTAGGAGATCATTTGGTAGTTGTATTGTAGGAAAAGGATTGTTAGTTATGGGCGGTATTAGAAGTAGATTTTCAGTTTTTAATGATATACATTATTTGAATTTAAGTATTTTTACATTCATTCATTAGATCTTTGCAAATGGATTCCATTAGATACATAAAGAAATCCTTTTAATAAAGGATTGGCATTTTAATAATTAGTTTGTACTTATTGTAAACCATAAATAATTTTTGAGAAAAAAGATTCAAGAAATAAACCTTAAAAAGTATCTGAACATGAAGGTATTTATTGTTTTGGAGGATGTTATATTGATGAAAATAAAAATACATAATTCTATAACAATTTTATGGCACTTTTAAAATTAGATCAACCAAATAATCCTTGGGTTATACCAGAAACTATGGGAAAATAACCACTTTCAAGAATTTAACATACAGCATCGTATGTATAAGACATGAATATAATTATTATTTTTGGTGGTAGAGATGATTCTAGAAGCCATCCTTATTTTAATGATTTATTTGCATATAAAATTTGTGAAAAGGAATGGGTTTAATTAGATATATATGGAAATATTCCAAGGCCTAGAGCTTCACATTCTGCTGTAGCATATAAAAGTTAAGTTTTATTTTTTGGAGGTGTCAGTATGAATGGATATTTAGAATTTTCTGTTAATGTTGCAGAATTTAATCAAAATCAAATCAGATAATTACAAGCAGAAATGAAAACTTATGAATCAGCAACTGACCTTCAATCTCCTAAAGAAGAATCTTAAAGATAGTCTATTTTAACTAAATAGTACTTCTCTTTGCATTAAATTGCTCCTATTTAAAAACATAAGCAAATTAATAAAGCAGTGGAAATGAATTAATAAATCTAATAATTGTCTTTTTCTAATTTTCCATTACATCTTAAATGATTTTATGATTGATATAAAAATATTATTGATAATTATCTATAGATATAAAAATTCATTCAATATTCAAAGTTTTCTAATACAAATGACGCAATTTAAGTGCTTTAATTTTAACTTTATAAAAGAATGTATATTTATTTAGACTTTAAACATGCTTATCAAGTTTTCTTTAATACTTTAAATTACATTTTTAAATAGATTCAATGATTTTTTCTAAATTTTGTTATGGAAAATACTTTTCATATGACTAATATTAATCTGATTAAATAACAAAAGGAAACCACCTTGCATTTATATATAAATCATCAATCATATTGAAATCTTTAAGAACATTTGTTTATTCTTTATAACTTTATCGCTTAACAGGTGTTAAATATTCTAGCTATGATTAAGGATCTCCTCCTTTCATTCCAACTTTATTTATAGAACAATCTAAATATTAGGGTTTTTATTCTTAATCCTAATCTTCTATTACAAAACAAGAAGATCGTTTTTAATCAATATTTTAAACTTCAGAGTAATTACTAGTCTTAGATCTATGAGCTATTATAGCAACTTGCAAAGAATTAGATATTTCTCCTCCTGCAGTTTCATCTATGAAATTTCTTACAGATTTTGATACATCACGTTATTATTAAATACTTTTTATTTTCCTACCAAATCTTTGTCTTTTTTATCTTTGTTAAACTTAAGGATAAAAATTACTTTTTTTAATCCTTTATTCAAGATCTGGTTTATATGTTAACATAGGGCAATCGACTTCTTAATGATTTTATCTATTACAATACTTACATTAAAAATAAAATAATCTATAATTTGAATTGAAAATTATTTAATCTTTAATATAATGAAACATTTCGAAATCTCTTTTATTGAATTATAAAATTTCCAAAAACTTACTTCTGCTTATTCTATAAATATTAGAAAAGCCAATACTAAGTGCAGATGTTTTTGGAGGAAAATCTGTAAAAAATTAAAAAATACCAAATTATTAATGCTAAATCAGTTTTGAAAATTTCATTTTACTTTAATCATCTTAAATATCCACTTCTCCCTCTATAATAAAATAAAGATTTTTATCTTAAATATCTCCTCTTTTGTAAATTATATCACCAGGAGCATACTTAACTAATTCTAAACTTTTAGATAATAATTGTTAAGTATTTGATGAAAAATGATTTATAACAAGTTTTGCTTTATTAATAACTTTTCTCTAAATATCAGTATTTAAATCAGATTATAAATTTTATGGCAATATACTTATAAGTCTATTTATGTCCTCTAAATTTTCATTTTATTCTGATTCTATGTAATATTTTATGTAATTTCTAATCCTACTTTGTATTTATGGTTCAACACAATTCTTACTCATGTAATTGTTCATTTATAGTAATGATCTTTTATATTTTAATTTAGCATCATAAATATTTTTTAGGATCATTCCAATAGAATTCATTGAATATGCAAATATTCCACTTGATAAAAACATTACTATATCAACAAAAATAATTTCTAATTAGCTTTAGGCAATTATATCTCCGTAACCAACTGTTGTCATAGTCATTGTAGCCCAATAAAATGCATAATTATACTTCATCCATATTGATTCATGTTCCAAATTATATTTTATCAACCAAGATTACTATCCGGATTTTAATCCAACATAATGCCAGAAGCATGCTACTATATGAGCAAAAAAATATATTGAACAAATAAGGCTTAAAAGATCCATTATATAACTAGATGCTCCTTTAAAAAAAACATATTAAAAATAATCAGAGAAGTATTTTTAAATTTTATTAAATGTAACTATTAATTAACAGATAGTTATGCTTTCTCCAAGAATTTCAAATGAAATTAGATTTTATTAGATCATAATCCATAAACCTAAATTTGCTAAATCATTGATTGCATTAGTTTAGAAATATTATTGAATTAACTTTTTTCTCTTTTTAATTACAATACCCTAAATTATGATACCTTTGTTAAAGGAAATAAAAATATCACAAATTAAGAGAATTATGATTAATTTTTGAATTACTTAAAAAGAATAACAATTATCTAAATTATCAAAGGATAATAAAAAAGGTGTTAGCCATAAAATAATAAAATTAAGTATTATTCCTATTGCATCCCAAATGACAATAAATAAACTTGTTGGTGAAATGATTGGTATTCTAGATTAGGTGAAGGTTTCTTATAATATTAAACAATCAATTTACCCAAATTTTATTATTTTTTTCTGTCTTTTGTGTATTTATCCTGCAAAAGTTATTTTTTTTTATTCTGAATTATATATGAATTTGTAAAAAGATTATTAACAAATTGCCTTTTGATTCTTTCTGTTTTTAAAGCTTTCAGAAAATTTTCATGAACTAAAGTTTAAGCTTCTATTCTTGATGTTTTATATGGATATTTAAAAGTTATAGATTCACTAGTCATTTTTGCACTGTGGAATTGTTATTATTCTTAGATTATCAATTTTGGTTATCTCAAATTATTACGAGTATTCTATTTATTCCTAACACAATCTATTATTTGTCTTTCGCTATCTTCAGAAATCTCAGATAATCTAGAAATTGATTCACTTTTAGATGTAATTTACTTAGTGATTTTTCTTGGTTTAAAGTTAGAATATTGATTATATTCTTGCATAATTTAATTTTTAAATATTTCAGAATTCATTCATATTAAATATTATTGATGATACCTGTTTCATTATGATTTTTAAATAATAATATAATCAAATTATTGAAATTTTGTAATAAATCAAAAATGTGTCTAAAAGAACAATAAAAAGTTTTACTTTAAATTTTGAGTGTTTTTATATTATTTTATTTGAAGTGGAACTTCTAAATAATAATTGTTGTATATTATCAATTTTTATCATTATGATAATAGAAAGTATTTTAGTTTCCATTTATTCTAAAATTATATTGTGTTATCAGAGAAATTGTCAAGTAATTAGAAATTTAAGAATATAGATAGATCATAGATGAAATATTTTTAAAATTATTTGAAAGGAGAATTGATGAATTTATATAATTTATAAAAATGAAATTTTTGAAGTGATAAATAAAAAATAAAATATCCAAAAAAATAATTTAAATATTTTAAAACAAACATATATATGAATTATCAAACATCAATCATTCTTGAACACTCGAACTAAAATTTATTTATAAATATTTACTAAGATGAAGGAGGTTCCCAAGGTAGTGAACCTTCTCCTGATAAAGAATACATCATATCATAGGGTTATTTCATATCAAAAGCAAAGATTCTTTTTTGTCCGGTTATAATTTACCATTATGCTAAATTGCTTTCCCCGTATAATTCTTTAAAACATACACATAAAACTTAAGTTTAGTTTCTTATTTCAGTTGGTTATTCTTCAAAATTTTATCGAATTTTTTTCATCGGTTAAGGTAATCTATCACCTATTGAATATGCAAGCCCTTATTATGGTCTTAATTTAAAATATTCATAAGTTGTTAGCACTTAATTAGATTCTTCTTCAATATTTTGATCATCATTGCATTCAAAGACTTTCTTAGCAGATGGATTTGGACATGGAACTAATCTTGAATTCAATATTTTCAAATATGATTAATTTATTAACTCATCTGGAGGATAGTAATTTAAAGTGTCCATTTGATAATTGATTTCTTCTAAATAATTTACTTTATTTGTTTTAATATCTTTCGTTTACTATTCTAACTTTTCAATATATTCATCCATTTCTTCTCGAAGTTTTAGTAATTTTTGTCTCATTTTCTATTTATTAAAAAAATTAATTTTATTATTAAAAATTTTTATAAAAGTGAACATTATAAATTACATACTATTTATATTATATATTTCATATAAAGTGAGTTTCTTTGTTGTTTGAAAATAATTGAACTAATAATTCGATTTAATATTAATGAATCAAAATTAAGGCTCTAAATAATAAATTAATATTTATGTAATTAACAACATATGAAAAACAATATTAAAAATGAAATTCAAGACATTATAACTTATTAATTAGTATTATAATTTTTAAAATAAAGTAAAATTTAGATTTAAAAAATTATGATCAATTCTGAAATTAAATTGTTTCTCCAATTTTAGTAATTACTAAAAATAGTGAAATCTTTTCATATAAGTTTCTTTACAAAGATAAATAAGTATTAAAATTAAAAAGAAATGAATAATTTCATTCTAGCTACTTTGATTATATTAACTGCAGCTAATAAAAATATATGTCCAACTGAAATAGATACAACTATATCTTGTACAAAAGAGAATTAACCTGTATGTGCATATACTGCAGAAGGATTTGTAAGATTTAAATTAATATTTAGTAATTAGGAACTTTTGAGAATGCTTGTTTTGCTTGTCGAGCTTAGAAAGTAAATTATTATGAAGATGATATTTGTATAATAACTAGTAGTCTTTCTGAAACAATAAATACAGGTTCTGAGAATACTTCATCTACAACATCAAATGGGAAAACAATTTATAAATGTGAAATTCCAAAATCAGACAATCCAATATGTCCTGCTGTGTAAATTAAAAATTATAATTTTAGTTACAAACCTACTTGTGGCTTATTCATATCAAGTATTTAATGTATAAAGGAACCATGTGGAAGATCATTTGGAAATGAATGTGAAGCTTGTTCAGATAAAAATATAGATTCTTATTTTGATGGAGAATGTTAGGAAATTCATAAAGAGTATCTTTTTAATTTTAATAAATTAGAGATCCATAAAATCCACCTGATGATAGTATAACTTATTGTACAGAACCAAGACCTTAAATCTGTACTAAAGAATATACAGAAACTTGTGCTTTCATTACAACATCATGTTTTTCTGATTCTTGTATGATATCAGTAGGAAATTATTGTGATGCTTGTTCTAAAAAAGATGTAGTTGGATATGTAAAACAAGCATGTTCAAAATATTAGTATAAATTATGTTTAAATTGATTAGATTAATATATACATAAGATATCGATTAAAATGATCAGAAATCTGACTCTTAAAATGATGCATTAGATTTAGACTAAAACAATAATTCAAAATAATAATAATGTAGTACATAGAAACCTAATGCTTGTGATAATGTTGTCAAGGAAGTATGTGCAACATATAAATGTTATGATACAACTTGTTAAAAAGAATATAAGAATGAATGTTAAGCTTGTTTAGATTCAACTACAATTTCATATAGTTTTGGTAAATGTTAAACATTATATGGGACTATCTTAAGTTTAGCTATATTGATAAAGCTAATTATTTGAAATTAATATTGATTAAATATTTAATATAAGATGTAATATCAATTTATATTTATATAAATATATAGAAATCATTTTATTTCAGACATTTCAATGTAATTTAATTATACACAGTCCTATAATAGTTTTAGAGATCTGTGACTCCTTTACAAATTCCAAATATGATTCTCAGAGCCAAAAAATTCTTTATTACATTCATAACACACTATAAAAATAGCAACTGGTATTGTTACTAAAGAAATAATTTTTAATAAAGAATAAATTAAAACCTATAAAAAATAATAAATTTATACTGTTAGAATGGATATTGGAGAATAAAAGTGAGCACAGTCTAAAGTAGTGGTAGATAAAAAATACGCTAAGCTATCCCAAGTAAATTGAAGTCCAAATTATAATAAACCACTAACTTCATATTAGATATTATTATATATACTTTTTAATATTCTAATCTATACTAATCTAGTTTCTAATTTAAGAATCTAATGAGCAAATGAGTCATTTTTATTATCCAACTTTTTATATTATATAATTTTTACTAAGTACTCTTTATATTGATATAATTAATGAACACACTAAAATCCAAAGACAAATGCTACGATTGCCAAGATCAAACCAATGAAAGACAAATACAGATTCGAAATCTCATTGCACTGATAACTTTTTGTTTTTCCACAATAAAATACACACTCTTTTTATATCCATTTATGCCCTGATTTAGCCAGAATAATCCAATCAAACAGATTCCCAATCGAGCTGCATTAAATAGTTACTAATGTTTTTCTTTATCTAAAATAACACTTATTAAAATTATGCATATTAACAATTGTAAAATCAATCCCATACATCTTAAACTAATTAACCATATGTTGGATTCTTTATATGTAGATATATATAATTGTACTTGCAAACATAAAATAAATTACTTAGAGTACCATCTAAATAATAGCGATAACGCAAAGTGCTTTATCAATTAATAATAAGATTCCATTATTCTTTTCAAACATGATTTTCGCTTTGATTATAAAATAATAGAGGATCCCACTACTTATAATTAAATCAATCAAACTCTCTGAACATTAATAATTAGTTTAACATTTATATAATGCTCCCATGAATTAAATTTATATTTATATAATATATATTTAGACTATTCTAGTGGTATTAGGGAATTCTATAACATTTTTGACCAATTGTTGTAAAATGGTCTTCTAAATTCAATAGTATGTCAAAATGGTTCAAATGAGAATCAAAAGTGAATTGAAAATAAGAAATATGATTAAATTAAAATACGCAATATGATTCTAATAAAAGATTTGATTAATTCAGATTTACAAATATTTGAGGTAATTTAATTATTGTTTGTTATGAACTCTGGTGAAATCATGAATGATGATACTTCTCTTTCATCTGATGATGAAGAATAGACATCTAAAATAATAGAAAATGATCCAACGGGTCGATTTAGTAAAGTATTAAAATATATATTTTAATTAGTACAATGAAGAAATAGGAAAAGGTGCATATAAGAGTGTTTATAGAGGTTATGATAATGAGAGTGGATGTGAAGTGGCTTGGAATGTATTTTAATTGATGAATGTTACTGAGAGTATTTTAAAATCATTATAATTTGTAGATGAGATAAGAAGAGCCAAATAAGAAATTGCTATATTAAAAACTTTGAAGCACAAAAATATTATAAGTTTTATTCATTCTTGGCACAGTAAATCTAAAAAATAAATTGTTTTTATTACAGAAATTGTAAATGGAGGTTCGTTGAAAAAGTAAAATTAAAATCATTATAAGATAGTTACCTAAGAAGAATAACTAGACCTAAGTTAAAAGTTATTAGATATTGGTGTAAATAAATATTAGAAGGTTTGGAATACATGCATTAATAAAACATAATCCATAGAGATTTGAAATGTGAAAATATATTGATAGATACAAACAATAATGAATTGAAAATTGGTGATCTTGGTTTATCAATATAGTAATCATTAAACATTAATTAAGAGAATGTAATCTAATAATACAAGTTCAGTATTGGGAACTCCAGAATTTATGGCACCTGAAATTTATTAAGGAAATTATGACACAAAGGTTGACATCTATGCATTTGGAATGTGTATTCTAGAAATAGTTACTGGCAGGAAACCTTTTTGTGAATGTAAAGGTGGAACTGGTTAAGTCATTAAGAAAGTTATGGAAGCTCAAAAACCTTAGAGTTTAGAGGGTATTATGAATGAGAAAATAAAATCCATTATTTTGGAGTAAATTAACAATTATTATATTTAGATGTCTTAAACCTGCTAATGAAAGACCAACTGCTACTTAATTGTTACATTAATATTTCTAATCCACTAACTTTGATGAAGACAACTCTCCTGTTTAATTAAATGAATCATTACTTAATTAGATTTCTCATGATAGCAAAAGTAATATGTCTTCTTAATTTCTAGATTCTTCCTTTTTCAAAAATAATTTATCTAAAAATATTAGTGAACTTAAAAGTATTAATAATCAAATTAATAATAACCTTATCAACTAAACTAATAAACTTATCTCACTACATGAATTGAATCCTAATTCAATTAAATAATCTGAAGTAAGACATTGTGAATAATAAAATAAGTTAACCATTGATACTGGTGATGATTTCTCAATTGAATAATAATTTGGCAAACAATATAAGGAATATTATGTATTTCTATTATTTTACCATCTAGATTACTCAAAATGATGAAACCTTATAAGATTTAGAATAAAGACAAGAAAGAGAATTACAATTATTACTTATTATGCATAAATAATAAAAATCTGATCTCTCTAACAAACTATAATAAACTAATATAACTACCATACCATATGGATCTGGGTTTTTATCTTCTAAATCATTCTCCACATTATTTGATTTTAATAATGAATAACTTCAATAATAACAAGGAAATTAATAATAATAGTTACCTACCTCATAAGATAATGGAAAAAAACCTAACAACAAAGAGGATGAATTGAACATCATTTAATCAGTAAGATACTATTTATATATTAGAAACAACAATGTAAATTTTCTACAGAAGTTGTAATGTAATCAAAAGTTTAAAATGTCAGAACAACTATTTAAGGTTGAATATTAACATCACTTTAATGTTAATATTGACTATTTATTTATAATTACAATATTTTCAAAAACAAAAAACCATCATATTTTTTATGAATTAGTCCTCATTTTGTTCTAATTTTATGTTTAACTTCAAAATCAAAATCATTGTTTAAAATTTAATGAAATAATATAAAAATCAAAGATCTAGTTTGTCACTTGTTTGTGATTAATACATCATCTATGGCACTTATTGTTATTACTATTATTAATAGCATGTCACATGATAATTATATCCAGAGAGATATTATGGATTGGAAGTAAAATTATTATTTAAATGAGTTGGCAAATTAAGATATGATCTTGTTTGAGGAAGTTAATTAAAATTCATCTGATTATTCATTGCTAAACATTAATAATAATAAGAATTCAAACTTTAATGTTCAGAATAACAATCTACATTATTAGTTTACTGATTCTATTATTAACCAAATTCAATGTTTGTATTGTGAACAATATTGTTTTAAAAATTTAAATTACTTGCTGCAGGTTATGCTCCTAAAAAACTTGGTATATTATTTAAAGGGTTATTATTGATTTAATTTTAATTTTTTGTATAATTATTAAATTAATCTTAATTTAAAAAATAAATGAATCCTTTTTCTTTATTTACTAAACAGAAAGATAATTAATTCTAATCTTCAGTTTAATTATATTCCATAACCTATAATTAAATTTAATTTGAATTTATATTAGTATTTTAGTTCAAATTAGAAGGTGTAAAATTCTCAATATTAATATTTATATTGTTGAAATTGTTCACATTTTAAATTTTATTGTTGTTTTGTTCATCCTATTGCTATTATTTGTTTTTTAGAGCTCTTCTATCCAATTAAACTTTTTTTGATACTTAATCTTAATGTTCTTGTTTAATTTCATAAGAAGATCCATCTTATTTCATTCTCCATTCAATCTTCTTTATTATTGCTTAAATTTATTTAATTTCTTCTGGACTTAACTCTTCAGCTGATGGATCTGATAAATAAGATTCTTAATTGTCATTATCACTTTCATCTTAAGATTAAGGTATATTTTTGCCGCTTTTTTCTTTTCTCATTAAACAATTGAATCTATTTTTTACATTGTTTTCACTTCTTTATAATTTCAACTTTTTTGAAATTAATGCCCATTTTTTTCCATTTTAAATGGCCAATCTCATAAGTTCTAAATCTTCTAATTATTACCATGGATTTCTATTTATTAATAATAATTTATTACCTATTTATCGATGGGTTTAAGTGATTATTCCATCTTTCTCTGCATTACTTTCCATTTCTATGAACATTAAGACCTGTAGTTTTATTAAGTTCAGTAGCAATTTAACTCCATTTATTTCCTTTGTTCTGAGCTTAAAACTCACTTATAATCCCAACTAAAGCTTCGTCTTCATTTTGTCCCCAAGGAGCTTATTGAAGAGGTAATTTTAACATCTATAGCCATTTTTATTTACATTGGAAAGAGTCTCTTCTCAACATCATTGATGATATAGTCTACCAATCATCTTCACACTATTGTTAGATTATAATTGAAAAATGTTACAATTTGTTTGAAATCTCTTTTGTTGTAAGCCATATACTTTCCAATTATCCATATTAATACTCTTTTATCATCATCTGACCAGTTCTTTTTTAATTTTGTGTTTCCTGATTGCATACTTACTTGGTTATTCTTTTGAAAGTTTAATATTTCTAGGTTATCAGGGAATTATTCTAATCCTAAATTATACAATTCTTTCATATAGGTAAATCTAACATTTGTGATGTCTTTAACTTTATCATAAAACTCTTTAAATTAAACATAGAAATCTTCCATTTTTAATATTTATGGAATTATAAAATTATACAAATTATACTCCTCACACTTGGCTTTAAGATGTACCAGTTAAACTGACTATCTCTAATTTATGGGACGGAAATAATGTTTTGGATTCACTTGTAAATTTATCATTTATAAAGTATAGATAGAAGATGAAAATAAAGACGAACAACTAATAATTGTAGCATCATTATACATTAATGGTTAATTGTAATATCCAACAAAGACATTTAAGGCATTTAGTAGACATTCTTTGCAAAAATAAGAAACTATTTTTTTTAATTCCAACATTAAGGATTTATCATATAATTCCTTAATAGCTTTGAGTATATACAGTACTCAATAAAAATATGATGAAAAGAAACCTTTAGGATCAACTACATTTCCTTTGTTTGATGAAAATCTCAAATTGAGGGAAGGTAAAATCAATTTGCTTATATGGCCTAATACTTAACCAGATACAAGTTTTAACTCAAAAACTCCAGGACTTGTTAAAGATAGAAATATTCAAGACTTGAATTTTTGTACTAGAAAAATAGACGAAGTCTCTAAAGGAGAATTAAATGACACTAATAAAAATTTATCAAAATAAAACCTTCAAATAAGACTATATTATTTGAGTAAAATAATACCTACAGCATTTTTGGAAGTTTAATTAGATCAATATTTTTAATAACCTATTCTTTTTGAAGATTATGAATATCCATAAAATGATATAGAATAATAAATAATAGGTGGAGGGTATTATAAATAATCTGAAGATGTGATTGTAAATTAGGCTAAAGCTCCTACATAAAGAATATTTATTGATTAAAATTAATTGAGTGATACATTTAGAACAAGTGATTTTGATTAAGAATTTGGAAAGCCTGATCCTATTCATGATATGATGAATTTAATTTTAAGATATAGTGACCATCCAGAAACCTTAAAACCATAAAAAGAAGAAGAAGAAAAAATGAGAAAAATAATGGCTAGACCATTAATTGGAGAACTTAAAAGTGATGATAAGTAATTATTTGTTAAATATCGATATTGGGCAATGTAATATGGAAGTGCTTTACCAATATATCTACATTCTGTTCCTTGGTAAAATTAAAAGGAAGAATAAGAAGCATTAAATTTAATGAAAAAGTGGTCTTCTATTGATAGAGAAGATTGCCTATTTTTATTGTCTTCATTTTTTTGTGCTAATGATTTCAAGAAATCAAAAAAAAATAAAAATAGTATGTTAGAGATCAGAAAATATGCAGTTGAATAATTAAGTAAATTAAGTGATGAAAAAATTGAAAATGTGTTATTGTAATTAGTATAGGCATTAAAATATGAACCTTTTGATTAGAAATCTGATTTGGTTAATTTATTATTTGATAGAGCAACAAAATCTAAATCATTAGCAACTTATTTGTATTGGTATTTACATGTTGAAAAAGATGGATGGGTTCCTGATTCTAAGAATATTATTTTAGGATTTTATAATAATACATTCTAAGGTAATATTATATATTAAAAATATACTTAGAATTTGAAAAAATGTTATAATACAAAAATGAAAAGTTGTTTAAAGATATTTAAGGATAATCAAAATTTAGATAAAAATTACAAAGTCTTGCTACTGAAATTAAATCTTTAAAAAATGATAGATAATTTAGAATCAATTACATTAAAAATTAATTGTCTTAATCAGCTTATTAAAATTCATAGGAATTACCATAACATCCATGTTGTCTTTATCCTGAATATGAATTAATTAGAGCAGTTCCAGAAAGAACTACTATCTTTTCATCAGCTATGGCACCAATAAGGCTAGGATTTTAAGTAATAAAAGGAAATGAAGAGTCAGAAATTAAATTAATATTTAAAAATGGAGATGATTTAAGATAAGATTAATTAGTTATGTAAATTTTTAATTTAATGGATGAACTACTTAAAGGAGTAAGTTAAGATATGAAATTATTGCCTTATCGAATACTTGCATGTTCTAAAAGTGATGGATTCTTAGAATTTGTACCTGATAATGTAACTCTCCAAGAAATTATCATTAAAAAAAATTAAGGTATGTAACCTTATTTAAAATAAATTTCTGAAGATAAACTGAATCCTTACTATTGGAAAACTCTACCTTTAAAAAATAATGTAATAATTTTTATAAAATTTTAAGGATTAAAAAGATCCTGAAAATCTTAAAATTATCTAAGATCATATTGATTAAGTTGTTAAAAAAGCTATTTATTGTATCCATCCTACTTTTATGACTAATTACATTTATTCAAGTGCAGGATATTGTGTTTTAACATATTTTTTAGGAATAGGAGACAGACATTTGGAAAATTTATTAATTAATAATGAAGGCAAAATGTTTCATATTGATTTTGGATTTATTTTAGGTAAAGATCCTAAACCTTATCCACCTCCATTTAAATTATGTCCAGAAATGGTAGAAGCTATGGGAGGATAAAAATCTGAATTATATACATTATTTAAATCAAAATGTGTTGAAGTTTATGTTTACTTAAGAAGATATGCAAAATTAATCATTAATCTATTTTTATTAATGGCTGATGCTGGAATTAAAGATTATAGTTAAGAAGCTATTGAATAAATGTATGAAAAATTTAGATTGGATGACAGTGATGAAAATGCTGAAATTCACTTTTTAGGTTTATTAGAAGAGTCCATTAACTCTTTATTTGCTAAAATGACAGATAAATTGCATTTCTGGGCAAGTTATATGAGAAAATGATATTTCTGTAAATTTACAAAGTTTCACCAATTCTTATTTTTGTAAGCTTTCTTTTTCAATACAAGTAATTATATATCATTCTATTTTTTCATCTGCTAATTATTTATTTGATATACAAACAATTATCTTAATATTTTTTATTTTTATTATAACCATCACTCAATCTACATATTATTAAATTTATAGATCATTTTTTGTAATTTTTATTATTTACGCTCCTTTCTGGATTTATTTCTTTTAAAATTCTTTGATTTCTAATCTTTTTCTTACATTCTAGATTAATTCACATTTTTCACAATATTTTACTTAGATTTTTTTATTTTTGCCTTTAATGAATCTTACTCAAAGATTTGATTTTAAAAAAATTGATTTACTTTTCCTTTATAGAATGTTGTTTTCTCCTAAATTTCTTACAGAATTTCTTGTTGTTTTTGTTGTTGCATTCAATAATAAAATTTATCATGGATAAAATGAATATTTATATATGTATATATATAAAGAGTAATAATGGAAAATCAATGAAATAATTGGCATCTCAAAAATATATTGGATTTATATTATGTTTTTGAAGTTGAGCATTTTGTTTCTCAATGATTTTTTTTAGAGTCTATATTTCTTATTTAAGTTCTTATTCCCTTTATTCTTATTTTTTAGAAGCTGTCTAAAAATTTGTCATCATTTGCTTAGATCTTTCAACAATTTTTAGTAATTACTATTATAGTTTTTAATTTGTTCCATTTCCTTAGAATGGATTGACAGAATTAGATTGTTATAATAATTTAAAGCTGCTGTTAGAATTGCCTTTTATATTTTTCATACCATAATTAGGACTAGTACTGCTTGCCAAACTAATTGATGTAGATTAACTAGATTATTTTTGTTTGTTCTGCTTAATCGATACATCCATTTAGTTATTTTCAGTTTTACATCTAGTGTTAAATATACTCTATCTCTTTTCATTGCTACGTGAACTGTTATTAAAAAATTCATGAAAACTATTTATATTTGAATAGTTTAATATCGTGTTCTAACTATTTTATATTCTATGTTTGGATAATTTTACTTTTGGATTTCTTATTTAAACTGTTATCATAATATGAATAATTAATATTATCTAAACTAATTGTTTATTTATGATTGTCAAACGGATATCGATTTTGTATACTAAAACTTATAACTATAAATTTTTTTCATTTAAGAAGAATATAAGTTAATTTCAAAATTGAGAAAGACTATTATTTTACTAAAGTAGTACTTTTTTAGTATTGTTTTAATAATAAATTAAGATTACTTTTCTTAAAAAATTGCCCCTAATAATAGATTAAAAGAATTACTAAAAAGAAATTTTTTAGATGGTTCTTACTTATGATTAATTTTAATATTTTTTTAATATTAAATGAATATATGTAATTCTATATCAATTGTATTTTGTTAAATTAAATCTATTGTATATTAAAACTATCTATTTTATTCTGTAAGAGATTTATTGTAAATTTCATAAATAGATCCTATAATTTTATATATATATTTGCGTTTATTTAGTTATTTTCCTAAATTATATGTAAAAGTATTATTTTAATAATATATATGATTGCTTAGAAAAATACTAAAATTTAAAATGATAACATTTTGATGGGAAGTTGTGAAATGGAGGATTTAACAAGTAATAAAATAGATTACAATCTGATAGTTTATCCGTACGAATTCGTAAATAGAGAGTTCTTAGGATTTATAGAGAAAACATCTTATATAAAGGAAAATTACGAATTATTATCTAAAGTAGGACAAAATCTACGATTGAATTTTAAAGATTGGCCTTCTGTTGATTAAGCAATATAACTTTTTTAAAAGAATATGTATCATTTTTGTTGAATTTTAAAGCAAAAATGCTAAAAAAAAATCAATAAAATGGAGTGATTTTGAAAAAAAGCTCTTTTATTGGATTGTTATACGATATTATATATATAAAGGAATTAAAGATAATAAATAATTAGTATTTAATACTTTAAATTTTAAAAGGCTACTGAATAATGGAGAGAAATATCAAAAATGGTTATAGGAAGAAATGCTCATTAATGTCGCTTAAAATGGGAATAAAAATATAAAATACCATTATCAGAAGCACCTTGGACTGAATAAGAAGATAATTTACTTTATTAAGTTCATGAGTAAGAGAATTTCTAAGTATTAGAGAATTTAAAAAAACAGGTAAGGAAAACAAGTGGTCGTAAATCTCAAGGGAAATATATAAAAAATCTAATAATAAAATAATTAGATAGCCTAAATAATGTAGAGAACGATGGATTAATCGACTTGATCCAAATATTTCTAAGTATTTTAAATTTATAATTAGCGACCCTTGGAGTAAATAATAAGAAATAGATTTGTTGAAAACTATATTAATGAAAGGAAAGAAATGGTCAGAACTCTCATCATTATATGGGAGGGTTAGAACAGAAAATTCATTAAAAAACAAATACAATTCCCTGCTTAAAAAAGAAAAAATGAAATATGAATTTGAAACGATAAATCCTCATTTATTTGAGAAAGTATAATAGTTGCGAAAAGATTATGCTAAAAGGTATGGTAATATCACTCCAATTGAAGAAATAGATAACTATGAATGGCAATTTATAGTTTTAGCAATTTAGGGCTTATATATTGAATTATGCATCTAAGACGGAAAAATTGAAGAAGCTTAAAAAATAAATAATGACAACTTTTTTAATTTATTTCACGAAGAATCTTCAGTTAAACCAAATAAAAGCATTTTATATAAAAAAGAACTTAATATTAAAAAAGTAGATCACGATTTAGTTCTTAATAATGAAAATTGTGGAGTCGTTGTTTTTAATAATAAAAATAATAAATTATATTTAACACCCTATAATGTGATAGATTTCTAAAATATAATTCTAAATTAAATTAAAAAGAAAATTAAAATAGAAGATAATGCTACTACTTCATCTGCTTATTCTGATCCAAATTAGAATTAATTAAGAACTTCTATAGGTACATAATCAATATAATAACTATTATATCTAACAAATTAACCTAATTTTTATGTTCCTATAAATTAAAGTATTTTCAATAGCTATTGGCTACCACCAGTTTTTCCATAATAAATTGTATCTTCTTAAGTTTAAAATAATAATTTTATAAATCATTAACAATAATTTTAAGAAGATAAATTAAGATAAAATAGTGAACACAAAAAAGATCATTTAGATGATATTTTCGAGTAATGTGGAGTGGATATCAAAATAGTCAATTCAGATGATGAAAAATGACATAAAATTAATATTATATATTTTTTAACTATTAAATTATTATATTTATTAATTCTTACTAATAATATGTTATATCAATTAATTTATGATTTTAGTTCATGAAGCAGAAAATTGCTGTATTTCTTAAAATAAGAAATAAAGATATTTATTTGTAATATTATATAAAAAATCTAATACTTAAATGTATAGAGAGAGAATTAGCAATTTAAAAAATTTGAGGATATTCTTTAATTAATTTGCATTGTTTAAATTAAGGATTTTTACCACTAAAATTTATATTAATAGATCTTATGTTCAAATCTATTCTGAATCAATTTCAAAAAATCCGTTCAGCTATCATTTTTTAAAGGAGATAAATAAAAGTGAAGATAGAAGAGCCGAATCAAGTGAAATTGATATGATTCAAATAAATTGGTTTTAGATCATGATAATAATTTAAACTAGATAAAATTTGGTTCAGAAATTTTATAATGAAAATTTAATAAATTAAAATTAAGTTCATGCTGACTTTCTTTTTTAATCATTATCATTTTGTGTTTTTAATTAATTTAATAAATATATTTTTTAATCTTGTTGATTTTGCTAATTTTCACTTTCTAATGTATTTTATCTTTTACTTTTTTATCTTTGTGTACATTATTATTCAATCTAATTATTTCTTGTTCCACCAGTACTTTCTTGAAAATCAGCTTCATTAGTATTATAATAAAATTATTTTAAAATAATTTCTTTAGGAAAATTTTCTGAGATGTTTTATTAAAGAGGCTTTATAAAAGCTAAGAATTCAGCTTCACCTTAGCCAAATTCTTCTTCATCGAAATTAAACGAATAATGATCTGGTTTAAAAGGTGGTTCAAATTTTTTTTATAAAATATCTTTATATAAATTTTTATCACCCCATTAAGTCATCCAAGGATGTTTTAATAAAGTATCTATAGAATCAATTCTATATTTTGGATTTTTAGCTAGTAAATTATTTAATAAATCTTTAATTTAAGGAGACATTAATAATTATGGAGGAAAATTTAGTTTTTAATTAAGTATTCTAGTGTATATTTCATCTGTATTCCTTGAATAATAAGGAGGTAAACCAGTAACTAATTCATATAACAAAGCTCCTAAACAATATAAATCTAGTTGGAATGTATGACCAGATTTTAATAGCATTTCTGGTGCCATATATTCTGGTGATCCACAAAATGAATATCCTATATCTTATTCTGTCATATTAGGTTTAGATAATCCAAAATCTGCAATTCTAACATGTCCATCAAAATCTATCAAAATATTCTCTGGTTTAATATCTCTATATATAATATTATTTTCATGTAAATTTTTCATTCCTAAACAAATTTCTGAAAAGTAAAAAAAAGCTTCTTCTTCTTTCATTCTTTTAACCTAAATTAATATTTAACTAAAAATACCTTTCTCAATAGATAAAACAATTCTCCTCCAGAACAGTATTCTAAGACAAAAACCAAATATTTTCTAGATTCAAAAGCATATTGCATTTTCACTATAAAAGGATGATTGAGAATAGACATGATATCTCTTTCATTTTAAATAATTGTCTATTTATTTTATTATATAATAGGACTCTTTTCTATTAATTTCATAGCAAAGTATTATCCTGATTTTCTCTCTCTTACCATATATACTTTAGAAAATCCTCCCATTCCAATACATCTTATAAATTCAAAGTCTTTTAAACTGACTCTTGGAGTTTTGATTTCATTTTCTAAAGCAAATACTGGTTCTATGATCAAGGGTTAGAGTTAACTATAATTTAAAAGAGATAATGGTCTCTCTACTTTTGATAAGATGTAATCTACAGGTATTGAAATATTGCAAGTCTTAATTCCTATAACAGAAGGTAATGTTGTTCCAAAATTTTTTAAAATTACTTATTTTACCAGATCTATCAAATATTGTATTGAATTTTATTAAACATCTATTGTTATTTTTTCTTTAAGTGTTTTACATAATAAAATAAGATTAATTTTATCTTATTGTTACTTTCTATCAAATAGATTGATTGTTTATCTGTTTGTGATTCCTTTATTTTGGGTCAATTCAATTATCGGTTAGGATGCTGAATGAGTTTGAATTTTTTAACTTTCTAATTGTTTAGTACTACTTGATTTATATGAATTTTAGTGCATAAATAATTAAGATTAATGTTTAGCACTTTAAACTCCTAAAGATTTTTAAAAATTTATTCTTTATAACAATTCTTCCTATTATTTTTACTTCATTTCTAAAATAGCTAAGTCTGCCTTCTATTTTAATGTGAGTTCTATTTTGTTCATTGCAGATTATGGTTGAGTTAACATAATTTCAGAAGATTTTGGTAATGCAGAAGAAATAAGAGATAACTATTTATAATCATCTTATGTCTTATCAATTTTAGTGAGTGAAGATTATGAGTTTTAATGTGAATGAGGTTAAGTTTTTATGTGATTACCTCCTTATCTTGTGACAGTTTTTTATTATACTTATTTTTTCTCTTAACTTACAAATTTTGGAGACATGAACCCTTTTGATTTGAGTAAATCTGATTGTTATATTTTTCTTTATGTTTATCTCAGATTTTATAATAAATAGATACTATTATTGTGTTATTCTTAAATTGTTTTAAGAACCATTCTATCTTATCAATGGGCTTTATTAATGAATTTATTATTTGTTAACCTGATATAAATTTGTTACTTTACTTTAAAATCTATTTATAAAGTTGGTGAATTTGAGAATCTTGCTTAAATTTATTCTCTATTTGAGAGATAGCTCATTATGGCCTATGGGGAAATTTCAGAAGATTAAGTTTTATGATGTTATCTTTTTGGTGGCATAAAAATTAAAATTATAAATAAAAAATCAAATGTCAAAATTTTTATTTAAAAGATAGTAAAAGAAACCTAAATACAAAGCTATCTTTAATGACTAATCAAAAATCAACATTAATTATTTATGTGATCTTATATAAATAAACTTAAGTTTATTTAAAAAAAATCTATAAACAAAAATATAATATTATTATTATCATTATTTACTTTTAACTTGATTTTAATTATCAATAAGATGCATCAAATCTTTAATTTCTGTCTAAAACTCTTTACTTGCACTTTTTTTAAACTTTTTTGAATTTCTTTAATTATTTATTTTCGGTTTTTAAGTATCAACCATTTCTTTTTATTATTATTTTTTCTTTAATTTGTTATCCATTGTATTTTTTAGATTTTTTTTCTATTCTTCATTTTTTTCTGAAATTGCAGCCACTCTTGCAGTCTAGGGTCTATTGGTATTAAAAATGTCTTCCTTATCCTTTTATGATTCCTTTACCTAAAGTTTTAAATAGCAACTTTATCGTTCTTTTTAATGAATATATTAGGAGTTACTTTTCTGTTTAATTTAAGGGGGGAAATTATTAGTTATTTTTTTTTTTTTTTAAGAATTGGCTTGTTTCTTGTTTGGGGAAGTACTTTAAGTATTTTATTTCAAAGATTTTCGAGATTACTATTGTTGATTAGGACTTTTTTTTGGAGTTTATATTAATTATTAATTATTTTTGATAGGACTAGGTAAATCAGTGTTTTTCTATTCAGATATTAGTTAATTTTTGGATTATTATTATGTTTAGATTACATAAGGTTTGATAATTTCTGGACTTAAACTTTTTCTATCTGTTTATTTTCTAAACGAATCACTGCTTTTCAAATATTCATCATAAAATTTAATTTTCTATTAAACACTTCTTTAGATATCTCTTATGATACAAGATGATTATTTTGCAGTAATTTTAGCGTTAAACAAGGATTCACTTAATTAAATAGTCTCTTTATCAACTTTTGTATGTGAGATAACTTTGAGTGCATAATCTTGTTCATGTATTCTTCTTTTTTAAGCCCTATTAAAAAAGAATGTTTCATGATTATTATCATTCATTTTTAATTAAGATTGTTTTACGAGATAAAAAATAAAATTATTTTTTAATGTGTTTTATTATTAAATTAATGAGAATACTCAAACAAGCAATGAATTGAATAGATAATGTAGATTAATATAAAATCATTGAACTCAAACTTTAACTTCTTTTCTTTTCTCTGGTTCATATTCACCTTCTAATGAACCAAGTAATTAAAATAAAATAGAGGTTAAATATGAATTTTAGAAACCCTAATTAAATATAATTATATAATGATACTTCTGATGTTAAATTAGGTTTGATGAATTTACATAGGTTTAAATATCCTGTATATTCTTATTCTCCTAGAAATAATCCTAAAGATCTTTTGTATCTATTTATCAATCTACCTTAGTAATATAAAAATATTCCTAAATTATTTTAAGGAAGTCTACTGATTCCATATGCTTCAGTACATTCATTAAGTTTATTGATAAGTTTATCATTTTTCACCATAACTTTATGTTTAATTTCTGTTCTATTTTTAATGAAAGAAGATGTTTATAGTTAATCATTAAGATAAACCTTAAATGGAAGTTGATCTAATGAATAGAATTTAATATATTCTTTTAAAGAATAATCAGGATATTTAATTGCATCTTCCTTTTTGAGATCAAATGCAGAATAAGTATTAGAAATGATGTCATCATTATTAAAGTTCAATTCAAAAACTTTTTAATGGGAATGTATCTTAGCAAGATCAAAGATAAAAATTTTAGTGTAATTATGATTACAATTTAGAATGAAGTCTTCTTCTATTAATAAATGAGTGACAGCATTCAATAAAAAATATTTACTTTCAGGAGAATCTACCTTTCTTTCTTTCTCACTACTTATAGTAAGTGTATAATTATAGAATGTTAATGATTCATCATTAGGATTCAAAAGATTATTCATAGATATAAAACCAACATAATAACTATTTGATGATTTATGACAAATCAAAACACTATCACCTAATCTAAGTGAAGCTATTTTAAAATTTAATGCATATTATTTTTTATTGAATTATTACTATTCTTCTAAAATCAAACCTTCTCCTCCATTTCTAGTAATTTATTCATGATCTTATTTATTTAAACAAATCTTCTTCTTTGGAATATCAAAATTAAATAAAAACTCACTTAGATCTTCTAAATCTTTTGTTTCTTTTTCAAAAATAATTATTAATGGTATTTTCTCTTGTAAATCATCAGTTGAATATTGAGATCTCTTTCTTCTCAAACGATTAACGTATTCAATTTTCAATTCAGAAGCTTCTGATAATTTAGCATTATCTAAAAATAATCCAAAACAAGACATTGGTGATTAAACTAATTTGGTAATTCTAAATAGATAAATATATTACTCATCTATAAAAGTCAAAGATAATTTTGGTTATCTAATAGCATTATTTTCTGCAATTTTATTAAAAGAGATATCTTCTTCTTATTAATTTCCATAAATCAATTAACAATACTTACAAACATTTTTCATTTCATCTCTTGAAAACTTTTATAAATGATTTTCACTATCTTTTAAATGTAATACTATGATATCTTCTAATACTTCTCCCATACTTCTTAATCCTCCAAAAACAATCAATTAATCTTTAAAAACAATACAACTATGTGAAAATCTTGGTTAAAATATTGGAGTCTTAGATTTAGGTACTAATTTACTCCATGTCTATTATTTTAAATTAAGAATTAATACTCTCATAACAGTTTCAAATATCCAAATATCATTTTTAGGATAGATTGGTTTTTCTTCTTCATCTAAATTCTACATATTATCTTCTTAATCTTATTCTATTGCTTCCTCTTCATTATCTTTCTATTAATCAAATTAATAACTAAATAAAATTCAATCCAATACCCTTCTCCACCTATAATAAATAAAAATCTATCAGCATAAGCTATTGCAGAATGAGAAGCACGAGGAGTTGGTTATTAAGATCCATTTGGTTTAATTTTCTCAATTTTAATAACAATATTATTTTCAACATTTTACTTTTTATCTTCACCCAATTCTTATTAATCAAAACGTTGTTATAAATCATTAATATTCTCAAAATCTAATTTATATAAATCTTTATAAAATATTAATTATTTTTATGACATCTATCCTTAACCTCCAAATATATAAATACTCTCTCCAATCTTATTTGCTGTATGACTTTCTAATTTTATCATTTCATCTCCTGTAAAATTCTTAATTTATTAAAATCTATTTGTTTTTATATCATATAACCAATGTGATTCAGTCATTGTATTCTATACTTAATCCCAACCTCCATATATATAAATTAATCTCTATGATAATGCTATCATTGAATGACCTTCTCTAGCTTACATATCTTAAGGTACTTAGATTTCTGTCCATTCTTAAGTCTCTATATCAAAGCTCCAAAAATCACCCAATATGTAATCATTACTTGATCCTCCATAAAAATACAATTTATTTTAAAGACAAACAGAACAATGAGAATCTCTACCAGAGGGATGTTTCAAAGAAGGACTATTCAATCTTTCCCATTGAAATGTTAAACAATCCATACGATAAATTTATTCCCATTATTTAGCATTGTCTGATTTTCCACAACCACTAAAAACATACATGTATTTATCATGTACTACAGCTGTATGACCCCATCTCTTACAAGGATAATTAGGACTTTTCTTTTTATTTACACTTTAATTCTTAGATATCCATTATGCATTTCTAAAGATCTTTGTTGGGATTGTTGTAATCTCTTATTGAATTTAATTCATTTATGATTATAATTTAATTAATATTCATGATCACAAATTAAATTAAATATTCGTTTGCCCTCTATTAGAAATACTTCCTAATATCACAACACTATAATTAAGACATGTATTATCATCGCAGTATCAAATATATCTTATATTTTATTTAGTCCCTTTACGTAAAGAACATGAGGCTTAGCTCTAAAAATTAATTTCTTAAGGAGCTTAAATCATAGGTGGAGCTCAATTTCCATATAATGGAGCTTACTACATTGTTAATACTAATGATGACAACTACATTAAAACTTTTATAAACAATGATCCATATACTATTAATAATCTAGCAAAAACTTCATATGAATAAATCTACCCTCAAGTCGATAATTTTGATCAGTTAAGCTAATTATATAGTTATAAATGAAAATTATGTATAAATTCAATTCTAAAACAGCTAAATTCATTTTATTCAAGAAACTATTTAAATACTAAATTAAAGTATATATCAATTCTCTTAATTATAAATATATATTATATTCAGTTTAATCAAATAAATTTATTCTATGTATTTTTTCGTTTTACTTTCTATGTAAATTCAAATATCAATCTTGGATCCCAAGTATCTTTTTTCTATATAGATTTTGACATCACAACTTAATTCTTATTTTCTGGACTATTGTATTAAGTACTTTAAAATGATTAATTAAGTCTTATTTATTATTAAAAAGGTAAGTGCTATTATTATTGAGGTAATTCACTCTTAATTTAGTTTTGAACAACTTTAATAGATAATCCATTATTGATTGAAGGAACAATATGAGTTTTTTAAAACTAGAAATTTTATCTTTTTTGTGAAGATATCAAAATTTAATTTTAGCTCTATTCCATTTCTTAATTATTATTATTGGATTGTTGTGTTTTCAATTTATATTTATTTGTAGGAGTGATGTCAACATCCAAGTGTTTAAGTTAAGATTGTGTGGTATTCATCTATTAATGAAAACTTTAACTCTTCATTTATCTTTTTTCAATTTTACTTTTGGGGATTGAAAAATAACGAATATTAACATAATTATTATTATTGGCTAATGTTAATTAGGGTTATTATAATTTTTTGATGAAATTAATTTCTTTATTAATAGAAACCTTTTTTTCAAATCTCCTCTTTTATTTTGTTTATTTTTATATAAGGATACCATCCTCCGGATCTGAATCACTTTGATCTTCGACATGATAAAGATCCTAATGGTGGAATTATTGTCTATTTTTTTCTAATTCTAGAGCTACCTGTTATTTATAGGTAAAATTTGTATAATAGAGTAATAAACTTTTGTAAAGATCGCAACCAATTTACAAAAGATCGTGTGGAGTAAATTGTTTGATTTAATAAAATTCATTATATCCAAAGAAACTAGTTTCTAGTGTAAATATATCATGAACTTCATTTGGATAATATTTTTTAACTAATTTATATACAAAGGCTCTAGCAGTTTTCATTTTACATGGTTCTAGAGAGAATGTACAAGAATGAAAATCAAAGAATTTACTATTATATGAAAATATTGAAGGTAGAATCCTACATTAGACAGCATCTTAATCTCCTCTACAAGCATACATAAAAGAGTTTAATCTAGTGTAAATAAAATAAATACTTTTTTGAATGTCCATGCAAATCAATAAAGCAAACTATATTTCTAGTTTAAATAATATTTTTAAGGAGATTTTTGGTTTCAATAATTTGAAAATGTAATTATGGATTAGGTTTATGCCATGATCTATTTAAATCTTTACCACTTAAATCACATCTAAAATTGCCATATTGTACACCATCAGGATTAAAAAGTGGGATGACAATAAAGTGAAATAAGTTAGTAAGTAAATTATCTTTTTAAAGAGCACTTAAAAAGCCTTAACAAACAAAAGATGATACAGTTTCACCAGGATGTTAACGAGCTATTACAAGAATAACATCATTATTTGGTGAGCCAAATTTGAGTATGGGTATTTTAAGACCAGAGAGTGAAGTAGTAAGGATTTAATAATCATTTTTAAGAAAAGCCTAAAGATCTGAATTAGTATAAGGATTATTAAGAGATAATTTGAATTATTTATGTTTAGATGGAATGATAATAGTTAATTAATATAATTAACACATTTAAGTAGGGTACTAACAAAAAAAAATGATTAAGTACTTTTAATTTATAAAATTGGGAAGTTTTGATTTTAACATGAGTTTGAAGGGGTTCCCATTCAGAGCCAACTTTAATCATTACTGAAAGACCTTGTTTTAGTAATTTATATTCTTTAACCTAAATAAGATTAAGGATGATTACTAAATTAATTATATGAAGAGTGAGGATTTGACCTTATAAATTATTGACTTCAAAATAAAACCATTATGAATAGCCAACAGTATTTGTATCATCTTATAAAATTAAATTAAATTCATTATTTTTGATTTGATATGCTGCATATAGATTAGCTGATTCAAAATCTGAATTAAACATTCCATTGTTTATAATTGGTTGAGATTTGATTAGTTTATTATAATCATCTAATAGTAATCCATTAAAATGATATTTGAAATTATATGATGATGTTTGTTTATGTTTTAAATAGACACATTTATGTTAAATATTATGTATGGGTAATTGAATATTGATAGAAGTATCAATGAAGATTTCTTTGGGTAGTTTTAATTAATAATTATTTTAATCTGATTCTTCAGAAATAAATCCTTCATCATCATTCATATTTATTTAATTTTAATTACCCGTTTTTATAAATCATAATTAAAATAATGAAAGTGACAATCGCCCTTGTATTGTTAGTCACATTAGCATCAGCCACATCTACTTAAGATTAGATTCTTGCTTTACTCTAAACAGGCACAAAAGCAAGTGATGCCATTGATACAGTGTTTGGTTTGTTGAATGATTTAGTTCAATCTAATAAGGATGCTTAATTTGCTGCAGATTAAAAGAATGAAACAGATGAATGGGTAGGTGCATAAACAATAGAGTAATTTACAAAAATAAAGAATTTGAATTAGAAATTATTCTAATAATCAATTGAAAATAGAGCATAATTTGAATAAGAATTGTAAGATACAAAGAATTATCTTGCATGGAATGAATAAAGATAAGATGAAATAGTAAGAAAGATTGGTGTATTACTTGATGAATAATGTTTAAGTAATCAACTTTTTGTTAGATCAATTAAATAAAATAGAGAAGCTCTTGAAGTAGTAAGAGTACTTAGATAAGATGTTGCAGGATACATAATTAATGGAGATTCATTTGAATTAGCTTAAGTTCAAAGTGTTGCTGATAAAATAAAGCAATACAGAAATACATTCTAAGAATAAGAAATAGAATCTTTCCTCTAATTAGCAAATAAATAAGAAGATGGTTCAGTTAGTAGAGGAGCAACACTAGCAGAAAGAGTCTTAGCTGTATTAGAATCACTTGAAGCCAATCTTTAAGCTTCACTTGAGGCTCTTGAAGTTAATGAAATTAATGCTTCATGGGAATTAGCTGGTTGGGTTTCATTGAGTGAAGCTGAAGTTTCAAATCTTAAAGTTGAATATGAAAGAAAATAAGTCTATGCTGATAGATTAGCTACTGTATTTATTATTTATATTATTTAGTAAATATAAGCTGCTTTAGCTTAATAAGCAAAATCAAAGATTATTCTTTAAGAATCTTAAGATGCTTTAGATTAAGCATAATCTGATTTGGAAAATAAGAGAGCTGATTATGCTGAAGCCAAAGCCAAGAGAGATGAAGAGAATGCTATCCTTGAATAAGTTATCATTATGTTCAAGAAATAAGTTGCTTCATGGTCTGGAAGATGAGACTCATCATTTTATATCAATATTAATATGAATTTATTTATTCAATGTTTCATACAATAGGCTATTAAAATGTCTATTTCAGAGACCTATGCTTAGAAAATTCCAAACATATTTGAAATCAATACTCTTCTTATGATAACTTTCATCTTGTTATTTGTCTGGAGAATTATTACCTTGAAAAATAAATCATTTACAAATCCACTCAGAATATTTGCTATTGCTACTTTGAAATTAATTCACTATCTTTCATCACTTTATAGTCTTATCATGTTTTCATTTTTGATGTAAGTTTCCTTCATATCACAAGTTCATACGTGGCAGATTAATTGGCTTTTAAGAATTTTAACAAAATTAAACTTACTCAATTCTTCTTTGTCATCATAATCTTCTTTTGGGGAACAGATATTAACTTATATTAACTTACCCTTGTAACCCTTATTGAAAAAGCTACTAAAAAACTTATTTAATCTTATTCCATTTAAAAAGAAGATGAGATCTCAACCATTTTATCCTATGTTTTAGCTCTAGCAATAATCCTTACAATATCTATCTATGAAGTATTATCATCCTTCTAATTCAATAGATTTTTGCATCAGAAGAAGTAGAAGCATTCAATATTCTGGATTTCCCTATGCTTAATTTGTTAATGATAATCTTATTCTTTTTGGCTCTCTAAAAGATAACCTATAACATTACTAAAGAATAACATAATAAATTTATAGGCCTTATTATGTGTCTCTTATTTTTGATATATGAACTCAAGATCAAAATCTTTGATCGTTTCAATCATTAAGTGATGTGGATTAGTCTAATTGTCTTAGCTACTCTAAACCTTTTTGAAAATTCAGAACTAGAATCATAATTAGTCTAAACTAATCCAATATTTTTAGATAATGAAATATCATTCTAAGCTTTCTTAAATCATTTATCAAGTAATTAAGATTCCAAGAAATTGATGATTCAACTCTCTCTTAATTTTTCCTTTATGTTTGTTGAATTAATCTATGGTTGGATTAGTAATAGTTTAGGATTGATTACAGATTCATTACATATGCTTATTGATTCAAGTGCCTTAGCCATAGCCTTATTTGCCAGTTTTATGGCTAAAAGAAAAGCTAATTCAACATACACATTTGGATATGAGAGAGTAGAAATATTATCTGGATATGCTAATGGTGTATTCCTATTATTTGCAGTTGTTGAAATCATCTCAGAATCTTTTGAAAGAGTTATAACTCCTTAAGAAGTACTTCCTGAAAAAATGCTGGTTGTATCATTCCTTGGGTTGCTAGTTAATATTATTGGATTATTTTTCTTTCATAATCATGGACATATACATTCAGAAGAAGTTGATGAACAATTGGAAGAAAAACACCATCATCATTGTTCTCATCATCATGATCATAATCATAATTTATCTGGTGTATACTTACACATTCTTGCTGATGCTTTAGGTAGTGTTGCATGCATCATTTCTGCTTTGCTAATATATTACTATTAATTTCATATGGCTGATCCTATAGCCTCTATCATTATTTCATTACTCATTCTTACCACCACAATTACCTTACTTAAAGATACTAGTAAAATATTATTGATGCATGTACCTTATTCCGGAAAAAAGGTTCTTGAAGCTATTTCTCATGATGTAAATAATGTAATTAATTATTTAGCTTAAACATCGAAGCTTTGAACCTCAAGAAATGAAATTATGGTAATACAAAGAGAAAAAATTAGTTTTTACTGCCAGGTTTAAAATTAAGTAAGAAGATGAAGCTTAAATTAATTCAGAAATAGATGATATTCTTTCAAAGCATAAAGAGGTTGTAATTAATGCAATTGATTTTGATTATGTTGACTGAATTAATTTTGTTTTAATTTGCAATTCATATAAATATATTTAAATGGAAGACTAATTTTCTGAAGATTATCACTTATCTCTTCAGTAAGGTTTAATTCTTTATATCTTTAAGCATCTGCTAGGCTCTCTGATAGATTTCAAGATAAATTTAAACCTTAATCAATTTTACTTGATTAAAATCCTGTCCCAAACAAAAATACAGATACATCTCAATTATAAGCATGGGAATCAGTTTCTGAAACACCATTTAAAGAATCTCTTTAATAATAATAATTAAATGGCATTAATTTAAGAAATTCCTTAGTATTGCAAGTAATCTATAATTATTATTATATAGAATCGAACAATGACTCATATCCCTACAGTCAAAATAATAAAATAAATGATAAATAGAAATAAGCTACTTTTAGAAGCCAAAGATAAGCTAATGAGAATTGGTTATATTTATCCAAAAAATTAAAAAACAAATCTGATTAATTTTCTTAAAGAAAATTATTTGGGAGACTTAAATAAGGATCAAATAAGAAAATAAATTTTTTTTGAACCAATTAAAATTAAACTTCCAACCTTTAGTCCAACCAGCAAATTTATTTTAATTTGGCAAATATTTAGAATTATTTAAATAATGTTTTTATTATGGTGGGTTCCATTTAAAATTGCTTTCACACCTGAGGGTTCTACTGATATTTAGAATATCGAACAAACCTTAGTTTACTTTATGATTTTTGATTTAATTATTAAATTAAATGTTGGAATTATTGATCAGGGCCAAATTATGAAGGATCGCCTTTTCATCCTTCTTTATTATATCAAATATGAATTGTATGAAGATATCATTTACTTAATTACTTTAATAATAATTATAAGAGAATAGCCTATTGATACATATCTAATCAAAGAAATTATTGTTTTAACTTAATTTTCACTTAATTTCTTTAAATTAAAGAAGAAAATAAAAACATATGAAGAAACTTTGACAACCTAATCCACTCTTATTGAACTTGCTAATTTATCTTAATTAATTATTGTGATATTTTATTTTGCTCATTTTATGGCTTGTGTTTGGTACTATGTAGGTATTAAAAGTTTGGATTAATTTAATGAATCTTGGATAATCAAATATAAATTAATTGATGCTCCTATATCTTATTGTTATGGATATTCATTCTATTGGGCCACAGCTACAATGGTTACAGTTGGTTATGGAGATGTTACTGGATAAAATATATATGAAGTTCTTTGTTCAATTATATTAATGTTTTTAGCCAGTGGAATATTTGCATTTTCAATAAATTCCATAGGTTTGATATTTAGTACTATTGATACATAATAATAAGTATTCAAAAGAACACTTTTATTAATCAATCATTATATGTAGTTTAATGAAGTTTAATTATCATTGTAGAGTAGAATAAGAAATTATATTAAATATTTTTTTGAATAAGAAAAATAAGGAAGTAAAAATGAAATTGATGTTGTCTTAAATTAATTATCAAATAATTTAAGACAAGAACTATTATAAGATGTACAATTAAGAGTACTAAAACAAGCAGATTTTTTTATTAAAAATTTCTCTGAATCAACAATTAGATTAATTGCTGATCATGTAAAATTTTAGTAATGTACACCAAAAGAATTGATTTATAAATAATAAACTAATGATGACAAATCCATTTATATTATTTAAAAGGGGGAAATTTAATTGATTGATGATAATTCAGGTAAGATAATGAAAATTTTTACAAAAGGATAAAGTTTTGGAGAATTAGAATTTTTATCATAATAAACTAGATTTTGTAGTGCATATAGTGTTACATTTAGTTAATTATATAAAATTTCTAGAGAAGATTTTCTAAACCTAATAAAGGATAATACAATAGACTATTAAAAATTTTAACAAATGAAAGATTAAGTTTAGTTAAAATATGAAAATGAATAATTTAAATGTTATGCTTGTGAGTAAAGCCACCTTATTTGGGATTGCCATTTTTTATTTTACAAACCAAACATTGAAGTTTTGGTAAAGAAATCTTTATTCCATACTGAATAAAAACGAACAAATTTTAGAAGATCTGAAAAAAGATTTTTGAATATTTTACACAAAAGTATCGATAATGAAGATTCAAATGAATAAACATAGAAGATTGCTTCTCTTCCTTCTGAGACTTCTTCTTAAAATTCTTCATAAGATAGTCATAAAAATAATACAATAGAGGTAGAATAATAAAAAATTAGAGATTCACTTCAAAAGCTTGGATAATAACATTAATCAAGAAAAAGTTCAGCATAAAGTAAATAAGGATAAATAGTTATAGAAGAACTTAATTTTAATTTAAATAAAAGATTATCAAATCGTTAAAGTGTTAGATACACTGAAATTGATACTCCAATGACATCAAAAAGAAAATCTATCAATTCTATATATCCTATGGATGCTAAAAATTCTGTATCTGCTCCTTAATTAGCTCCAATAAAAGAGGATATTAAAAAGGAAAATAAAGATTATAGTTAAAATCTAAAAAGTTTTCATTAATTAGATGAAATTATAGATAACAAATATTATAATGATGAAATTGATTCTGTATTTTCATTTTAATATTACTTTCCACATAATAATGTTGAAAAAGTTTTATAATAGTAACAAAGATTTCAAAAGCAGTTTAGATAAAAAAAAGTAAAAGTAGTAAAGAGCAAATATATGTTTCATAAAATTGCCAAAATAACAAAATAAAAATAAAATAAACATAAGAAAGATTAAGCATCAGTTAATTCATTAATAATAAGAGAAAATATATGAATTCTATCAATTTTTTAATCCTTAGACTTATAAAAGACTTTCTAAAAACAATTAAAAATCATTATTTCTTTGTACTTTATTAAAAAACTCTTAAGCAATTTCTCTTTTTTATCTAATTCTTCCATAATCAATGAAAAATTAATCAACCATTTCTGAAACCTTTTTATTTGTACGTACATCTTATACAAATGACAGAAGAAACTGATTTTCTAATTCATCTTTTGATATTTCTTCATCTTCATTCAAATCAAGAAGATCAAAAAATAATATAACTTTCTATTCTAATTAACCTATTTAAAGATGGCTACAATATTTAAGAAATAATTATATTTCTGCTAATTATTTTTTCTTTCTAAATAAATAAAACCCAATTCGATTCAAAAATATTTTATCTTCAATTCTTAGTGTAGAATCTTCTATTAAAATTAACTCTTTAATTGGAACAATCTTTTCAACAGAAATTCTAAAATCTCTAAATTCTAAACCAGGGCCTCTTAAATAATAATCTCCTAAAAGATTATACAATTCATTTAATTTAGGTTGTCCAGTTTATAATTAAAGTGGAATATAAAAATATTCAATCTTTTTCCAACATCTTTTTGGTTCTGAAATTTTTATTTAAGATTTAAATTATTTAGCCAATTCATTTGCCACCATTCTCTAATAAGGTTTTTCAATTACTACATTAAGTTCAATTTACTCTAATATTTCATTTTTTTTTCTTAATAAATTAACATTATGTTGATTTTATTAGGTAATAGCATGTAATTTTTAGTAACATAAAGCACAAAAATTTTCAGAACATTCAATGCATTCTAAAATAGTTGGATTTTTGCCACATTCTTAGCAAATTGATATGATTTAAGATTTTGCCTCTATAAATTAAAGAATTCTTTTAATAATTAAAGCATTATCAATTTGATAGAATCTAATTTTCATAACATTTTAAACTATCATATCATATTCAGTCATAACCATTTTATCAATTTTTTTATATTTTGATATGCTAATGAATTATGATTCTAATTTAGCAATTTCTGCATCGTATTATTTTACTCTAATATCTGTTTACAAATCTAAATCTTCTTATTCTTTATTAATCCTTTTATTCTCGTCCCTAACAACAATTATATACGAATTACTTTAATTCTTTATAGTGTTTTTCTAAATCTTTTAATTTAAGTTAAGTTTTCTATTATTATTCAACTAATTATCTATGATTTATTTTATCAATCTCTTCAATAACCCACTCAGGTCTATCTGGAATTAATTCTCTGACTAATATTTTTATTAGAGAAATTGCAATTACACAACTTACAAAATACCATAATTCTAAATCATTTTCAACAACATAATCAACCTAATCTGTAAACATTCTTAATGTAGCAGCTCTATGCATAAAGTATAATACAATAAAATTTGTAAACACACCAATTGCACTTAAAAATTCTAATACATTAAGCCATTATCCAATACCAGGAACTCTTTCAGATTTGACTCTTTTAGTCATGTAAATCAATTTATATAATTTTACTTAAATGTCAATTGTATTCATTACTATTCCTATAAATGGACCTATTGGAAAAGCAGCAGAAAACAAAATAAAATAACCATAATCTGTAATAGCTTCCATAAAATAATCAAGTGTTCCTTCAAAATCATCTTTAAGAGAATTCAATTCGATTGCATCTACATCTAATTTAGTTTCAAAAGGCATATATTTAAATTTTGGATTTTTTATTTCTTCTAAAATATTCTCCTAAAGAATCTCTTCGTTTTCAATTTTTAAAACAAGTCGAGCTGCTGATTACAACAAATCTACTTCTATAGAATCTAAAGGAGGTTATTTCTAATTTTTTTTAAATTCATCCTAATTCCAATATTGTTCTATTTCATCTAAGTATAAAAGATGTTAATTCTTATCTTATCTGGTGTTTTATTAACTTATTGTTTTATTCTTTACTTTATTAAAATATTGTCTTATATTTGCTCTTAATAATAAAACAGGAATAAGAAAGTTCACCAAAATATAATATGCTTTTTTTACTAAGACTAGAGGAATTAAAAAATAAAAGATATCTTCTAGATTGTACTTATCATTTTATACAACAATAATATAAATCACAGGCATATATGAGTTAATAAACCTAAAAAATACATTTTTGTAAATTAATGATTTCTGATAACTTAGCTCATATTTATGATTTTCTTGATCTGCATACCATTTAGAAAAGTATAGAAAAAAAATATTTAAAATTTATATTGCGACAGCCTACAGAGCTCCTAGTAAAAATATAAATCCTTTATATATTTTTAATTCTTATTTAAGTAAATCAATTCCATAAACTATTCCAAAACTGCAAAATAAAAAGACACCTAGTAAAAAAATAAAAAAAACAAAGAAGGCTGCCATTTTAGTTATTTATTAATGCTTTGTCAATTTTCTTGTTATAAAATGAATTTCTTCATCACCTGAAAACTTATCTTTCAATGGACCTTCGTAATATGAAGATTCAGCTTATAACATTTAATCTATGCAACCCCATCTTGTATTGATTTCAGATGTTTTCCTTTTCCATAATTCAATTTAAACTGTAGACCATATTGTAACTAATAAAACCCAATATGGAATTATATTAGAATGGAAATCATAAAATATAGCATATAATTAAAGTATAAATCCTGGAATAGCTATTATCAATTATACACAAGATAAATAACTAATCCATGCAAAATAAAATGAAATTTATTCACCAAAATATAATCTCATTGTAGTTAATGAAGTAAAATTTCTTCCTTTACCTTCACTTAAATAATCTTTTATCTAACTTATTGGTTAAGGAATAAAACCAAATGATAATTTTTACCATTAATTTTTTACAATTTATATCCCACCAGAAGTATGCATTGCATAACAAGATTCAACAAGTTTTGATTTTAGTAAGGATTCTAAATTTATTGATTTTATTAAATGATCATAGACAATTTTTTATCTTTAACTTGATCTAAATGGTTCAAATTTGTTTCTTTAATTTTATTTAAATTATTCCAAATCATAAGAATCAATTAATTTTATCTACATTTCCATTTCTTCTGCTAACTTTTCTAATTTTTCTTCTTTTAATCTTAACATTATATAGATTTATGATTTCGATATAAAAGACTCCATCATATAGATTTAAAATTCAGCCTTTTATAATAAATCTAATTAAAAGTTTATTTATTAATCAATCATTTTCTTTTGTTCTTAAATTTCTTATTCATTTTATCTTTTAAAAATGTCAATGAGATTTGTTTTTACTGAATGATCAAATTTCAAAACTAAATCAGGAACAAATAATTAACTTGAAAATAAAATTAATTACTCTAAACAATCAAAAGAATTTTTCTTTTTTTATGAAAAAGAGGGGGATAAATTCAAAGGTATTACTTAATTGGTATTTTTTTTATTTTTTAGTGATTTAGGTAAAAAATTCTTATTTTCCCTTTGTACTGAAGATTTTAAGAAATCTGGACTTTTTTCAAATTCATTTTGTTAAAATTAAGATTATGTTTTTTATTCTCTAATTGATTATCTAGCTTAAGTTTATTTTTTTGTTTTAAGTTAAGATTTATAAAATTTACTTTTAGATAAAATATTTTCTGTTAAATTATATTAGTCTTCAAAATTAGCATTTTACTTATTTCTTTTTTATTTATGTTTTTAAAATATATCACTAACCGATTGATTAACTATATTTTAAGTTTGAGAATATTTTTTTTTTTTAATTAAACCATCATAATAAATTGAAGTAGCAATGTCTTTTGTCAATTATCTTGCTCTAAAAAACTCATTATTTTCAGCTTCAGGGTCTGCATATTTATTTAATAAATATTTAATTATTTTTTAATCACCATTTAATGATGCCAAATGTAATGCTGTATTTCCATGATTATCTTTTATGTCAATCTATAAAACTTACTTACAAAACAATTCTTTTGTTCTATCATAAAAATCTTTATCATTTTTAAGTTCATTTATTTACATCAATCTTAAATTTATCTTTGTTAATTCTTCTTTATATTATAAATCTTATTATCTATATCTCTCAAGTTCATGATAATATCTCACTTTGTATATTGATGAATCTTTATTTTCTAAAATATAAGTTATCCCTGGTATAGCTTATCGACTTATTTATTCCAAATAACTAATTAAATCCTTTGAATAATAATTTTTTCTATCTTTTTCTTTTTTAAGAGGCTTTTTCTTATTACTAGAATCTGGGCCTTTTATTGAAAGATCTAATATTTCAAATTTAATAATTATTTTTAAAGCTTAATAATTATTTTATGAACAACATGCATGTAAACATGATTAACTATCTAAAGTTTTAATTGGAAACATAATATATATTCTAGGTAAATTAATTAAGATATTTTTAATATGATGATTAATTGAATAGAGACAACACCAATAAAGAATCTTTGTATATAATAAAGGATTTTGTAATTCTGTCTCATATTTGTAACAAATTTCTTGAAATGTGATAAATTCATCTTCCTTTTTTCCTTTTAATTCACTATTCCAAAATTGTTGACATTCAATTAAAAATGACACAATTTAATCTATTATCAATTCTAATACATTTTTATGGCCATTTTTTCCTGCTAAATCCATTGGATATAATCCATTATTATCACATAGAAAAGAATGTGCTTACTTTTTTAATAAGAATTAAACACTTATTGAATCTCCATAAAATGCACACCAATGTATTGGAGCCCATCTGCTATGAGGATTTAGACAATTTACATCAGAACCATTTTCAATCAATATCCTTAAACATTCTTATCTATTATTTGAAAGTTTAGGATCATTTAAAAAACAACATATTTATATTGGTGAACAACCAAACATATCTTTTTATTAAACATATTTTTTAATTGATTCTAATATTTCTTATCCATCATTGTCATCAAAATCTAAATCAATTTCAATAATTTCTTCATCATCATCATCATCATCTTCATCTTTTTTTTTAGGATTTACTTTTCTCTTTTATTTACTTTTAGATTTCTTTTTATTATCTTAAAGCAATATTTTATAATCTTCAATTAAAATTTCTAAAACTTTATTATCTTATCTCAATGCTGTTTAATGTAAGATATTTCCTATTTGCTATTTATGATAATAAAATACTTTAATCTTAATCCTTTACTGTAAAATCACTCTCAAATCTTTAATTTTAATTGGAACCAACTTTTTTAATAAAATTTTTTTCAATAATCATGTCTTATTATTCTTCGTATATTTCATCTTTTGATTATTATTCTGATTTTATAGAAGGTGAATTCAAACTATTGTTATAAATTTTTGGAGATGTAAATTAAGTCCAACTTTAGAATTATTTTTAAAACATATAATAATTAATATAAGTATATATTATATAGGAAAAAAACAACAATTTAACTATTATCATTTACTGATTTTTTCCACTTTAATTCTTGAAACTTCATAAAATTTAGTTGAATTAAATTTTCTCCTTGCAGCTTATAATGAACTAAGATCAGCTGTTTATAATAATTAAGATAATTCTTTAGCACAAGGTTTTAACAAAGCTTCATTTAAAGTTCTATAGTTTGGACATCTATGAATAAAGTTGGATATATTTAATACCTTATTTTATTAACTAAAAATATAGCAGCTTATGTTATTAAAGATGGTTTATAAACTATAAATTTATATTCAACTAAAGCAAGTTCTAATATATATTATGCTAAAGCTTTGTTTTTAGAATCTAATTCAGATGAAAACTTTGATAAAAATTAATAAGCTGTTGGATTGCAAATATTGAAATTTAAAGCTTACAATATCAAACCTTCCATTTCTAAAACATCACTTTTTACATAAGCATTATCAGTAATATATACAAAATCTTTTAATGCAGGTGGATATATTTCCTCATATTTACATGCTATGAAGAGTGCTGCTACACCTACTAATTATAAACGCAATCTTGTAACTTCAGCCTTTGATAAATATCTATCTATTAAAGATATGGTAAGATATAATGTTTCATCTTTTAACTTAAATTTAGCATGCACATCTATTAACCAATCTACTAAAATTGCTCTCATTTTAATATTTATATTCGGCTATAACTCAGGAGTCATATATTAATCTATTTAATATTTATTCTAAATAATCAGTAATTATTTAATACCTCTTCCATCAATAAATGTTAAAAAATCTCATCTTTATACAAATGTATATTTTGAGGATTCTTTATCTCTTTTGACTTATCATTCTCAATCTCAATTTATATCCTTTCTGATTCTCTTCTAAATATTTTATTTTCTTTCTCATCTAAACTTATTGCAAATACTCTTGGAATCATAGAAAATGGTTTTTTTGTTTTTTCAACTATCATCCCTGTCTCCATCGATTGATAGACACATGAATTTACAATTTCCTTTCCAAAACACCTCGGATTTTCCATGATCATTCTGTTAATATTAAATAAAATTATTATTATCGTTAAAACTTAATTATATATATACTATTAAAAATATATTCATTAATTTATTCTCTAAATTTATTTTTCAATATTTTCATACTTTATATTTAATGATGCTTTTTTTCTTAATATCATCAAAAGTAAGAAATTTCATAATAATCCTACTATTTAAATTAGAAATATGTAATAATTAATTTTTATGTTGTTTTAATAAATTTGGATGGATTTAAAGGAATCTATGAATACTTCATATTACACCAGTTTTATTTATCTCTCTATTGGAGCTATACTAAATACTTCTCCGCTTTTGGAAATGTATTACCTATTTCTTTAATAGATATATAAAAATTTCTGATAAGAATAACTATTAGCAAAATCAACTTTACTTAATATTGGACTCCTTAAATGTTGGCAAGTATTTGTTAAAATCTTCAATTGTACATTCAATTTATATTTTAATTATATTTGCTTTTAACATATATATCATCATTCTGTTTATCATTTTGTATTATGTGAAAAAAAAAAATGTGTAGACAAACGTTGCTTATTCTATATATGGCTAAGTAATATATGAAAAAATATTTATTTAGATTATTGGGTATTTAATATAACCCTATTTTTGGTCAATCAATGGATTTTTATTTCAAATCTAAAATACTTATTTAGAATAAATACAAAATTTAACTTTTTTTTTTATTGATTGTATTGCAATAATTTTATAACTACTATTCTTAATAATCCTTATACTATTCCTACAATATGACTATTCTTAAAAAAAAAACTTTTTAAAAATTAACTCTCCTAAAACGCTTATATGTTAGATTTTAACTGTGTATTTTAAAAGCTGTTTAGAATTATTTATAAATACTAACAAGATATTAAATGTAAATATCAAAGTTATTTTTAGATTTCCTTTCCTATCATACTAGTATTATTGTTTATATTACTTTTTACTCAGATGCATTAAGATTTGCCTGTTTTCTCTAATAAATAATTAAACAACTACTTCTAAATTCTTGTTAGTATCTAATTTGCATTGGCTTTAAATTTGTTAATATCATGCTTTGTCAATATTTTTGAAGATCGCTATTGCCTTTTAGTTATTTTAGCTTTAGTATTTTTGATTTAATTAAATTCAAAAATTAGATAATATTTAATATTAAAGTCTATCTCTAATTATAGCACTACAAAAATGATTGATTAAAGAACTATAGTTTATTTAAAATAGAACCCATAAAATCTATTCTTACTTAGAGGTATCATTCAACTTCATCAATCTTTGTGTTCGAATATAAATTGCTTTTATCGTTTAAAAACAATATATAAAATAAGTTCGAAAGGAAATAAAAAAATTTATATTAATAGAGATACTATTAATGAAAACATTGGGAGAATTTCAACTTTTTTCTTAAAATGTATTTATGAAAGTTCATTAACTAAAAAATAAGATTAAAGTACAAACATACTTTTAATTGAGTTATTATGTTATAAACTTAAGTTGTACCCTGAAAGCTTGATGCAAGTCGAAAAATTAAATTAAGATAAACTAAACTTAATTTAACGCATAAACATAGCAAATATTAGATTAATTATTTCTAGAATAATAAAACAAAAAAATGTATAAGCTTACAAATCAAAGCTACCATTTGACCATCTATTATTATGTGAATCGTATATAAAAGAAACAGTTTAAATTATAATGAATATTTTTGGCTATTAGTTATAATTTTGGAATTACTTATTAAATGAAGAAATTAAATTAATTGAAGAATTGTTTTTTTTAAAAAAAATAAGCATTTAAATAAAAAAGTTTTTAGGTTATAGTAAGTAGATTTTAAGTTTGCATAAAAACCAAAAAGTTCCTATCAGAAATAAGTAATGGTTTAACTATTTTTTTTTTAAACTTTTTATTTTAAATAAAAAATTAAAATTGTCAGAATTAGAAATATTACCTGACTATTAACTTAATTTAGATTAAATTTTAAAGGATGATTAAATAGATGAAAAATCTTCTGATGAAGAACCAACAAATTATTATTAATAAAAGTTTTTAGTTTCAGGAAATACTTTTGTAATTTAAATTAATTAATCTGGCATGATTAAGAATAGTACAAATAATGTTTTTTAAATATTAAATTACAATAAATAAAGTTTAGTAAATAGTTCAGCTACAGTTTTAATGCCCTAAATGTTTAAACAGTATCATAGTTAATTTGTTAATCATTTCGAATAATCTGGTCAATCCTTTAACTTATATAAAAGAAAAAAGGCATTTTGTATGCATGATTCAGGTTATATTATAATAGTTTACAAATATTTGAAATTTATTTATAATTATAACTCAAATTAAATTGAATACATTGCTATGTTTAGATAAATCTAGACAAAATAATAGTATTTACTATTAAATGAAGATTGGGAAGTGGATTCATGTACATAATTAATTTAGGATATCATAGGAATAAAATCTTTAAGTTTATTTATTTTGGCTCCAAAAACTATTGTTTATTCTTAATATGAAAAATTTTTAAATTAAGAGAATAAAGAATTCTTTAGTTTAAATGTTCCAAATTTGGAGAAAAACTTGTCTCGATTATTTTATACATAACATTCATCACCTTTAGTAAGAGGTTCAATAACTTCAAGTAATGAATAAATTTCAATTTTATAAAATTAAGTTGAAATAAAAAAAAGTTTTCAAAATTTCTTAAACTAAGATGATGTTATTAATGTAGAGGATCAACATAAATAAAAAGTGAAATAAGTTTTATTCAATTTAAGAGTGCCAAAATAAAAATATGAATTAGTTTAAGATTTTTAATAAAGACTATCTGAATCTTATAAATAAGCAATTTATAATGAACCATTTCGAAAATAATTAATTGTTAAAAATTAATCTGGTAAATATAAAATAGTAAGAAGTGAATTTATTAGAAGATGTAAAGTTTACTAAGAGATTATAAGGAAAGAAAAATTTCAAATAATAAGTATTACATTTCTTTATAAATAGAGGAATTATTTTAAAAATATACTCAATCTGAAGAATGTATTGAAAAAATATTAAGAGTGGAAGGAACATTAAAATTAGAAAAAACTTCTCAATCTATCAAATACATATTAATTAAAATAGTTAGAACAGAAGTGATTGAAGAAAATCCTTTGCCTTGGAGAGAAAATAGTTGTTATACTTTATCTCTTTAAACTCATTAAAATTAAATGATATCATCGGTATTTTATTCAATTATCTTTAGTAACAAACAAAAAAGACCATTATTACATAGCAAAGTCCTAGAAATTTATATTCAATAGTTAATGGTATTTTTGAAAATAAATATAAGATTAATTTGATTTATATTCTAACAGAGAATCTACTGGAAAAATTTTATTGTAGGAAGTTTAAGTGAATTAAGATTTTGATTAAAATGATCATTACAAAAATATTAACTTTACAACTTGTAATAGCAATCTTTTAAAAGAGGATACTAATAAGATTGAAAAAGATAATCCATCTATTATTTAATATGTATATATTAGTAGAATCATTTTTATATTGTAAATATTGATAGCATTTATGAGTTTCTTTTTAACATCATTTATTTATAATAAAAGTACTTTAGAAGACTCAGTAATTAATAATAATTATTTAGGTAATTTTGGTTGATTATCTTTTTTAATTTTAAATAATTGTTGCAGAATCTTATAATGCCTAGATAGATATAGAATTATTTAATCGAAATTATACCTTTTCATAATTAACAAATGGAGATTTGATAGGTTTTTAATCTAAAGAACAATTTTATGAATACAATAAAAATGTGACTTAAAAATGTGCTGATTTTATGTATTTAGTTTTTTGGGAATCTAATTTTTTGAAAATGCTTTATGAGAATTTTTATAATAACTCTACTGAAAGTGGTTTGGATATTCAAACTGTTTATTAATTAAATATTTATCTATTAAATATGCTTTCCACTGAGGAATTTAGAGAAGACTTTGGCATAACAGAAACTTTTCATAATTATATGGTAATCCATTATAACATTGTTTTAGCTTCCATAATTTTAATAAATTTAAGCTACTTCAATCAATCACCTTTTAAATTAAGGATTAAAATTCTAAGAAATTTCTAATTCTAATTATATATTATTTCTGATTTTACAGACAATTCTATAAATTGCTAGTTTAATGTATTTAGTCAGATTTCAATTTTAAATTTAAAAGCAGTATAACGTAGAATATATTAAAATTTTTTAAGGTTTTATTTAGAATTTAAGCCATTATACCCTTTAAAGAAAAGATTGCTGTCATTGAAAAATTAAATACAACAATAAATTAATTTTGCTATATTACAAAATATGAATGTAAATGATTTTTAAATATTATCATAGATGGAGACTTAGGTTAATTCTTATCTATAAACAAATAAAATCCTTTATCTTAAGCATTCTAAATGAGAAACAATAATAGTAAGAATTAGTTTGAAAAAAATCTTTTAGATACAGACAAATATATTGAATAGTATGATAATAAAGCTAAAATTAAGTTCGAATAACTATCTCTTTTATATAGTTTAAAAGTAATTTTATTTATGTCATTTTAGCAAATAGCTACAAAAATTATTGTTAATTTATTTTTAATAGCCTTAATAAGTATTGCAGGATTTATCGCAATTTATCTAACAATTAATAATATAGAATTATTTAATTAAAATTAATTTATGTTTGATAGTTTGAATGTTTGGACACTACCAGCTATAAAAGAAATTGCTACTAGCCAAATTTATTAAGATTATTAGTTTAATGATACTAATGCTATTAAAATCCTTCAATTTTATGTTGAACAAATATAATCAGAATTTCCAGTATTTTATAAAACAAATATTAATGAAATAAATTCTTTATTCAACAATAATATTTGTGATGAAGACAGTATAAATTAACTTATTCTATTAAGCGGATATGAATATTGAATAATGTAATTTTATTGTAAATGGAGCATTAAACAGAGGAATTAGAGAATATGATTATCTACTTTCTTAGGTAGTTCTAAAAGTACTAAATCCAAATGATGAAAGATTTGAAAATATTACATACAAAACTATTTATGAATTTAATAAAGTATAAATTTAGTATAGTTTAGCTATATTACTTTGTTTTTGATCACTATTTACTTGCAAAAAACATATGGGTACAAGTATCATAAGCGACTTTAGATAAGCACGATTAAGTTAGTTTGATATTATTGTAATTTTAGTAAATTATTATAGAATAATTGTCATAATAGGGATATGCCTTTATTTTTTAATATTTAATGAAATTGGATATGTATTGTTTAAAAAGAAAGAGTACAAATTTATAAAAATGTTTTATAAATCTTATATGCCTAATGTCTCCATTAATCATTAAAAACGTTTGAGAGTAGAGTTAATAAAAGCAAGATTTATAAGAAAATGATTTTATAATTTATAAGAATTAAATTTAATTCACTATAATAATTTTTTTGTCCTTATTAACATGTTAACTAACGATTAATTGAAAGTGTATTTATGGTAAAATTTTTTCAATTCATTTAACTCTCCCTCTTCTTTTTTTTTATTATTTTAAATATTATTATAAGTTTTTATAATGTCTGTTGAATTTTGTTCACAAAAATAATAACGATAATTTCTCATTTGATCAATATTATTTTAATGAAATAATTATGGTATGGCTAATGATTCAAAATAATTATCATCTGATTTTTATTTTCTAATTAATGGGAGCTATAGTTCCATAAAAGAGTTTCTTTCTTTTATTTAAATCGTATTAGTTTTTAAATTTTTTGGAAATTTTTAAAACGAACTAGAAAACTATTATTTCTCCAAAAATTATTAATGTTAAGAGATTATAGTTTTATTTTATGTTTTTTAGGCCAAATTATCTTGAGTTTCTTGAACAACCAGCTTTGATTATGTTTAATCTTATTCAATCATAGTATCAGTCTTATCATTTAGATCATTTTAATCATCTATTAAAGATTCTTAAATATCTTATTAATATCTTAATATAGATTCAGCTACTACAGATTATGCTACTAAGGAATTATATTTTAATTGTTTTCTAATCCATGATTATCTATTTTATTTCCAAATATAATAAGCTTTCTTTTATCTTTATTCTAAATCTGGTTTATATTATATCATTCCACAATCAATTATCTAATGATTATACTATCCACATAAATGGCAGTTTAAAAAGATTTTGAAAAAATTATTTTCGAATAATATTGAATCCTTTATATGATGAAATCTTTCAGCATCTTTTTAAAATTTTTAAAGTTATTCTAATAAACTATCTCTACTAATTTTACAAATTTCAGAATATCCTTTTGATATTGCTGTGACTTTTGGAGGAAATCCAGTAAAAAATTAATATTCACCAAAACAATCATTTTATTACAACACTTGTAAAGGCTTTTTTGTTCTTTCTTCAATCAATTCTACTTTTCCTTCATGAATTAAATATCTAAATAAAAAATTAAATCTTACAAATTTTTTTCGTTTTAGTCATTTTATTTAAAAATACAATCACCTGGAGCAGCTTAAAATCTAATAATATTTGTAGATATTTGCTTTAATAGCTTTTTACTAAAATTCTATTTTAAAAACATTATTTTATTTATCAATATGTTTTAGATATTATTTATCATATCTGATTTTAAACTTTCAGGAAAGATTTAGAATAATTACTCTAATTCTTCTGAATTTTCATTTTTATCTGTTTATATATTAAGTTATAAGAAATTTTTGACTCTAGCCTAAATTTATGGTTTTACATTATTTTTTCTCATATAAGAACTAACAATTGCCATTTGTTTTCTGTATTTAAATCTTGTATCATTCATATGTTTAACTAATATTCCTATTGAATTCATTAAATATGCATAAACACAACTTGAAATTAAAATCATTATGCTTGAGAAAATAATTTCAACTTGATTTTAAGGAGTAATATCTCCATAACCAATTGTGGCCATAGTAACAGTAGCCCAATAGAATGAATAATTATATCTATGCCATATAGATTGATCAATTAAATTATACTTTATTATCCATGTATTTTCAAATTGTAAATCTATTGATCCAATATAATGCCAAATACTTGCCATAAAATGTGCATAAAAACAAATTATTATAACTAATGTTATTAGATCAACTAAACTATTAACACCTCCTTTTAAATAAAGATACTCAATATATCCAAAATAATTTTTAGCCAATTTTTTTATAGTAATTATACTTGATAGAATACCTAAAATTTCATTTATTATTGAAATTTTATAAAATTAAAGGAAATACAGTAACCAAATGCTTATCATTGATAAATCATAAAATAATTATTTGGTTACATATTATTTTATTATCGTTTTACGGTCCTCAATTATTTCTCCTTAATTTATTATTGCTCTATTTAGAGAAATAAATATTTCTAAAGCTAATCCTATTATGATTAAAATAGCTGTTGATGCTATTCCACCCTCATCTGGAGTAAAACTAGTTAAAAATGGACTAAGCCATAAACTAAATAAATAAATCATCATTATGAAGGTATCAAAAACAATTATAAAATTTGAACCAGGGTAGAATAAGTACTTACTAACTATCTGATAATCTTTATCTGTCTAATATTTAATTAAATTATACTTAATTCATTTTAAAATTAATTAGCCTATAAATACCAATCTGATAATAAAAGATTTTTTTTACTCTTTGGAAGAACATATGATTTCAAAAATAGATTTTATGAAAATTTTTTAATGTATCTATTCCTAAGGAGCATACCTAAAATTAATTTCATTTATGATTAAGCAGCTTATAAAGAATGAGAAATTTTTTATTAGAAGCTGCCTTAAGGTTTTTTAGTGACTTATTTTGATACAAGTGGCGAATTCTAAATTTTTAAAAAATGTTAGATTACATGATTTTTTGTTTAAAATCTTCTCACACTTTCTTTCTGTTTTATAAATTTTAGTTTACGTTGTTCAGAATACAATAAATCATTTTACTATTGATTAAAACCATCTTATGGATCAGAAACCATAGAGGCAAGGGAAGTTAATCTTTTTTAATACACTCTTGTAGATTATTAATGTATATATGGGCCTATACATTATATATTTTCAGAATTTCTTGAGTCTGATTCTTGAATACTGTCCATGTACATTTCCTCGGATAAATTTGTTGTTTTATAATTTATTAGATTGTGAATCAAAATTAATTAATTGTCAAAATAATCAGGAAAAAAAAAAGAATCATAAACAAAAGACATTTTAACAAAATATGTTTGTTATTCAGTATCATTATACTATCAATTTTAAGGTATCAAAATTTTTGTATGATTTTCTAAATTTATTCCATTATATACTTTCAGTTAATAATAATTTAATTAAAAAATTCATTATATTCATAAATATATATATTTTTATTAAAAATGAGTGAAAGCTAAGAATCTTCAGAATTTCAATCAGGTTCTTCAAGGCTTGAAAATAAGTACAATTTTCATTAATAAAAGGAGAAGTAACTAATTAGGATTGACTAATGTTGAAAGTGGAGATGAATTAATAAACAAGAAAACAAAATTAAATGATGAAAATGGTCAAATCAAAATATCAAGAAAGGTAAGTGATGATTTAATTAAAATGTTTGAGAGATTGCCAAATGACTAAATTACTAAATTATTAGATGCTATTAAAGTAAAGAATTCACGTATATATTAATTGATTATCTTACAAGCTGATTTACCTGTTAGAGTTAATCTTGTTGATCTTATGCAGAAGGATGAAGATTTTTATTTAGATAGTTAATCAGATTCATAAAAAGAAAAAAAAAGGAAAAAAAGAGAATCTAAAGAAAAAGAGTGCAGATGCTGTAAGCAAATAGTGAAACGACATCATTGTACTCATACAGAATGTGAAAAACCTTGCTAAATCTAAGAAAAAATTAAGAAAAACAAAACTTGAAAATTTTATTCATTTTTATACTAAATTTCCTTTCATTATTTTTAACACTTTGATCATAAAAACTATTGAATAATTACTTAATTGAGATTAAAACATAAATTTATAATTTATTCTTCTTATGATAATATATTTACTTATCCAAAAATTTCAAATTTTTTACGATTATCTTTATCTAAATTTGACAAAAATTACTATTATTTTCTTATGAGATAGTTTTAATAAAAAAATATATCTAAAGAGATTTTGCATCTTTTTATTTTGCTAAAAATTTAAGTTCAATTTTTAGAGAATACTTATATATAAAAAAATGATATTTTTATTAATTATAAAAATAACTCTGGCATGGAAAGCTAAGAACATAAAAGAAAATATTTAAACTTGTTAAATATTTCAGAGTACAAATCAACAAGAATGTGAATTAAACAATTTAATTTTATTTCGATTAGACTCTTATTTTGCAATTTGTGTTATTTCATCTGAGATTGGAATATAAAGTGTATTAGTAGGTACTACTGAGAATAATTTAAACTTTATTTGTGTGCTTAAAGAATAAATTTTGATTTATCCTTTGCCTTATACTTGTGGAAGTGCCTATTTGAGATTGTAACATTAGAATAAGTTTACAAATTTCTCATTAACAAGAGATAATTCTTCTCTCTATATTTTTGGAGGATTCGATGATACAAAACTAAGAAATCAAATGTATAAATACAGTATTTACGATTTATTGAATAATTAAGTAACAGTTTCAGTTTTACCTAATAATTTTATTTAAAAATTAACAGTTACATTAAATTTATGGGATGGAACAATGGAAGATTTTTAATTTACATCTAATTTTCCTTAAATTTAAAAATTAAAAGATTTGGGTTATAAATATACAATTAATTCTTTATTAGAAAATTCTGAATGTACATCTTCTAATATTCCAAAATGTTTATAATAAAGTGTAATTGTTTATGTATATGAATGTAATTGCATTAAATTATTTTATGGTAGAGATTCTAATAATATAAATATAATTGAATCTTGGATTTATGATCTAGATAATTAGGTTTGGTAATAAACTACAATTGATTCAATGATATAAGTAGGAATTACTCCAGTTGGGTAATATTTGGAAGAAATAAAAATGGTGGGTTTTTATGCAGAAAAGAAATATTTCTTTTATTATGATTAATAATGGTATAACAACTTAGAGTAATTAAATTTTGGATCTATGTTTAAATAAATGATTGTTTATGATAACAAGACATTTTTTTTGAATTCATCTGATATAATTTACAGTTTTAATGATCAAAAAAATCTTAATAGTTAATAATATGGAATTTATACTTGTACAGATAATTATCGTGGTTATGATTGTTAAATTTAAGATTTTCAGTGTCCAGGAAGTATTTGTTTTAATGATTTATTATTCGAAAGAATTTGTGTACATTGTTAAGGACATGGTACTTGTATAAATGGAAAATGTTAATGTGATGATGGATTTAGTGGTAATGATTGTAGTTAATATGCTAAATGTTTAAACGACTGTTCAAATTAAGGAAATTGTATTCAATATTTTCCAACACCTTAATGTAGATGTAATTAAGAGGATAAAAGAGGTGGAGAAGATTGTTCAATGATATTTTGTCTTAATGATTGTTCTAATAATGGAAATTGTAAAAATGGTATATGTGAATGTATACCTGGAGTAAAAGGGGATGATTGCAGTATATTAAAACTAAAATTTATTGATGAATGATTTCATTAATTTCATACATGTATTATAACTTATATAATAATATTTTATAAAAATAAAAAATCATTATATAAATTCTACATCTGAGAATTCATAGACACTTTCCATTTTAGTGATTATCTATTATTCTTAAATTTAATCTTTTAGTAAAAATTTAGGATATTATGTTTAAACTAATTTTATAGGAATTCCTTTTCGTTTCTATTAATTCTTATTCTATTCTTTTATGATTTAATTGTTTTCTGATGGAATATAATAGTTAATTAATTATTCTAAATCATTAAATTCATGAAACTCTAGTTTATAATAAAAAGATTGCAGCAAATCAATTATATCAAAATATGAGTAAAGTTTATCTTAAATATCAATGTTAAAATAATATTTAAGGTAATAAATATTAATTTACATCTGACTAAGTGAAGATTCTTTGAGATCAACTAAGTTTGAGATTTTTTTTTATGAAAATATTTCATATTCTAAAAATTATGGGAAACCATTATTATCAATTTAAATTACATAGGGTAACACTATGTTAAACAAGTTTGCCAAATAATAGATTAATTTATACACTTTAATAATAGAGGTTATAAAGTTTTCATAATATTGTAAATTATCGTGAAAGTATTCTTTCCAAAAGGCAGTACTTTTCTTGAAAGTTAAACAAATCTCTCCTTTTCTCACATTTATTTTAGGAGTTGATAATCTTTATTACTCATAATCCAGATTATAAAAACTAGTGCTTAATAAACGAGTGTCTTCATATGATGATAGATCTTATATTGTGTCATAAAAAGTTTCTTATATTTCATAATTAATTCTATATTATTTGTAAAACATATGATTATCAAAAAGAAAAGGTAATTAAGCAAATATGATATATTATCTATATTTTACTTGCTTTGCTTTCATTTAAATTTCTTTTTATTTTTATTTTACACTTTGTTTCAAGTTTTAATATTTTTCTTAAATGGATTTTGATAAGTTTTATAATTATTCAATAAATTATTTTTGATTATCTAATTCTTCTTAATGAAAGGCTAAATAACTCTTACGAGTATTTACATTATGAGCCAATTTATATTGTTTTTCTTTGATTTATGCTTCTTTAATAGTGTTTAAACTTTGTTAAACACCTTCATCCCATTTTTATTTATTTTTTTAAAAGTACTTTTAAAATTCTTACTACAACTAATTTTTTCTCATTAATAATTAACTCTTTTTCTATTATATTTCGTTTATGCTTTATTAAAAAATTTATGAATGACAATTTTTGCAACGAATATTTGGTCCTTTATCATCAAGAAAATAAAAAATTTTTTTACAATCTTGTTGCTAACAAATTTTAGATTATCTCATAAAAATTAATATTAATTAAGAATAAAAAGTATTTTAATTAGTATACATTTTTTAATATTCTTACATTTAAACTTAAATTTATTTATAAAAAACGAAGAGCTTTAAAAGAAAAGTTAATATTAGATTCTAGTTATGAAGTTGAAAAAATAATATTAAGAATCGTATATAAAAAATAAAATACAAGAAATAAAAGAAGATGAAAATATCGATTTTTAATGAAGATTATAGAATTGCTTTTAAAAATATTAGATATATTAATCTTAAAATTAAGTTACAAAGAAAAAGTTATCAAAAGAATAGAATTAAATTTTTTTTAAAAAGTTTTATTAGACATGTTTATGTTGATTATTTTGTGTCGCATTCCATATTAATCTTTTGGTATTAATACTAGATTGAATTTCTTTTAGAAATAAACTATTTGCTTTGAGTAATTTAATTTCATAGAATTAAAAATTTTGAATTCCTTTATTAAAAAAAAAATAATCTCTTATTTTTTTATTAAGAAAATGATAGTAGTGATATAATAGTGTTAGTTTATATAATTAACCAATCTAATAATGGAATTAAAGATCTAATCAAACTAGTTGATAATTCAAATAATTTATGGTTATTATTAAATAAAATATGAGTATTTAGAAAAAATCTGAAAGTAGGTTAATAATGAATTGAATGATTATTAAAAATCAAAAACATTTTGATTAATTTGAGTATGGAGAATAAGAATAGCTATTTTTTACATAAATAATTTTAATGTGATTATTAATGAATATTGTTAAGATATAAAAAAGGTTGTTTAATAAAAGATTGAAAAAAAGAGATCAGAGTGGCGAATGTATTTCAATCAAGAATTTCTGTAATATAATTCAATCATCATTAAATAGTAGAATGTATAAGTAATATATATATATTTGAATGTTTATTTAATATTTAATGGGATGAATGCATTAATCACATATTAAAATCTTTTATTTAAAATAAAAAAGTAATGGTGAGTCGTTTGAGGAAATGCCGTAAAATGAGAGGACATGTGTGTCATGGATATGGTAGAGTAGGTAAACACAGAAAACATCCAAGTGGTAGAGGTGTTTCAGGAGGTTTAACACATCATCGCATCAATTTCAATAAATATCATCCAGGTTATTTCCAAAAAGTATTAATTTATTATAATGATTTTAGAATGGTATGAGACATTTCCATTTAAAGAAGAACACACTCCATAGACCAGTTGTAAATATAGATAAATTATGGTCATTGGTTACAGATGAAACTAGAAAAAAATATGCTAGTTCAAAAGATAAAGCAGCTGTCATTGATGTTACAAAGGCTGGTTATTTCAAAGTCCTCGGTAAAGGCAGACTTCCAAATTAACCTGTTGTTGTTAAAGCTAAATTCTTTAGCAAAACTGCAGAAAGAAGAATTAAAGCAGTCGGTGGTGCATGCATACTTGTAGCCTGATACATTATTACATATTACAATATCAAATAAACAATATTCATTCAAGCTTTTTAAACATTAATGCACAATTAATAGCCAATTCCCATTGTTTATATTCTTTCTCATAACTCTTTTTCCCTTCATATATTTATTAGACTTTCATATTTTAGAGTATATCCTTTTCTTACAATAATTTTGCCCCCATTCCAGCAAACATTGCAGCTCCTGAAGCTGTAGATTCAATTATTTCTGGATATACTAATTTCTTTTATGTAATGTCTGCTTATAATTACATTAACTCCCTATTCTTTGTTAACCCTCCGTCAACATGAATCTTATTTATTTTTATTCCTGATTATTCCATTGCCTTTATCACATCTTTTGTTCTATAACATACTGATTCTAATATTGCCCTTCTTAAATGATCTTTAGTTGTATAATAACTTAAACCAATTATTGTTCCTGAAGCATTCAAATTCCAATAAGGAGTGAATAATCCACTAAAAGCTGGTACTATATATACTCCTCCATTATCATCTGTATTTATAGTACTTTAACTCAATTAATCCCAACTCTCAAACCATTACATTTTATCTTTTGCCCAATTGAATAGTTAACCTCCACTCTCTACAGCTCCTTCAAAAGCATATACAGCTTTCTCATTTTCTTTTTAGTACAACACTGTAGTCAACAATCCAAACTCTGAAATCTTTATTTCTTATCCAATGTTTGCCATAATAAACAATCCACTACCCTATGTATTCTTGCAATCTCCTTCATGAAATAATGCATGACCAATAGCTGCTGCTTATTAATCACCTAAAACACTATTTATGTCAACTCCTTCATACTCTTTAATCTTCAATGTTCCAAATTTACTATTTGATGCCTTTATTCCTGGCAAACAATCAATAGGAATTTAGAATTAACTATCATTATTATTCACTATTTTTACTTTAATAATTCTTGATCCCATTAAAGAGTTCTTAAATTCATTAAATTTGTTCTTGATGCATTTGTTACATCTGTCAAATGATTCTTTTCTCTTGTCAAATTCCATACTAACCAACAATCTATTGTTCCAAATAATGCATTTCCATTTTTAACATCCTCTTTCAATATCTGATTGTTTTCCATCATCCATTATAATTTATAAGAACTAAAATAAGTATTTATTGGTAATCCTGTTTTTTATTAAAAATGATTCTTTGGATACTTATTTAAATATTCTTAACATATATCATGTGTTCTTGTATCACTCCAAACTATTGCATTCATATATGGCTTTCCAGTATGTTTATTCCAAGCAACTACTGTTTCTCTTTAATTTGTCACTCCAATTACCACCAATTTATGCTCTCCATTCATCTTCTTATAGGCTTACTGTATGCATTCAATTGTATTATTTAATATCTCTATTGGATCATGTTCCAACCAACCTTAATGTGGAGTGATTTATTTATGTGTCACATAATGATAACTAAGTTATTCACCATTTAAATTGCAAATCGTAAATCTTGTACCAGTTGTTGAGGAATCTATTGATCCAATTAAAGATTACATAATTTATTTATTTAATACGTAATTTTAGTGATGCTTATAATATTCATTAATTTTCAATGTAAATAAATCAATTTTATTATTATTAATTTAAAGTACTTTTTTCGAACTCTTTCGATTATTATTTACTAATAGACTGTTGTTGAGATATTTTACGATTTTATTTTGAGGAAATAGAATGATTATCTGAAGAAAGAACTTCACTTTAATTCATTCTACCTTTGTATTTAGTAGATGAAGTTTTGCTTTTATTATCACAATAATTTAGAATAGATTACAAATCTTGTTTGCTATTCTTAATTATTTTAGATTGATATAATCGTTCTACTTATTATTGTTGTTCATTAAAAGATGGTTTACATAAGGAGGGGAGTGAAAATTAGTACTCTTTCATCAAAGATTCACGGAAAGATGAATTACTGTTTAAATAATTGCTCCATTGACCATTTACTTTCAATTACAACATTGTTGGTAATTGAGCATAAGGACTATTCTATGATTCTTTAGGTAATTTTTATAAACTATTAGATTTGGAATTTGAAGGTCGTAATCCTGAAATACTATTATATTCTTTGATGC